CATTTATTGGTTGACTCTTGTATGTACTCTGACCAGGGATTGAAGCCAAACTTGGCTCATTGGGACGATGCTCTAACCAGCTGAGCTATCTGGCCAGGACTGGGGGGAATTATTTAAGCAAAGTAGACACAACATTTTTATTTTGTGTAAAATACAGTGCTCTGTCACTTTTCATTGTTGTTTTTTTTGACAGTTAATTTTATTTATTGATTTTTGAGAGAGAAAGAGGAGGGGTGGGGAGAGAGAGAAAAAAAAAAACCCATCCATTGGTTGTTCCACTTATTTATGCATTCAGTGGTTGATTCTTGTATGTGCCCTGACCTGGGATTGAACCCGAAACCTTGGTGTAGAAGGGTGATGCTCTGAGTAAGCTACCTGGACAGGGCTGTACTGTCTTTTTTCTAAATCCTCATCTAAGGATATGTGTATTAATTTTAGAGAGGAACAGGGACAGGTACAGGGTGGCAGTGGGGGGCAGAGAGAGATTGATTGATTGATTGATTGATTGATTAGTTGCCTCCCGTATATGCCAGGACCTAGGTATGTGCCCTGACCTGGAATAGATCCTGCAACCTTTTGGTGCGTGGGTCGATGCTCCAACTAACTGAGCCACCTTGTCAGGGCTTTACTGTACTTTTTATTGTAGAGGAATTGTGATATGACATTATAGTTTACTTGTTTTGTCACCATTGTGAGGGTCGTAGATGTAGTTTAAAATAATTTTAGAGGAAGTTAAAGGTCAGATAGGCACATACGAAATAAATTATTTATTTTAGATCCTGGTTAAATTAAAGCATTCCAAACTTTACAGAAAAAGTTACTTTTTCCCATAACTTTACAATCAGTCAGGCTATCTAGACCCAACTACCTCTTTCTATAACTCCTGGACTTTAAAAAAATTTTTTAAATTTAATTATTGTTCAAGTATAGTTTTGTGTCTTTTATTCCCGTCCCAGCCCACCCCCCCATAACTCCTGGACTTTAAGAGGCTGGTGCTCACAGCAGTATTTGGTGGTAGTGATGGTATTTAAGTGATCCTAGGATTGTGGCTGATAAAGTTTGTGAGACTGCGTATGGCAGGGGTGTCAAACTCATTTTCACCGGGGGCCACATCAGCCTCGCAGTGAGTGGTCCTCAAAGTGCTGAATGTAATTTCAACTCCTTAACAGTTAAGGAGTAGTTACATTTATACAGTCCCCAAATTATTTCAGCCCTTCGAAGGCAACTGTGAGGCCGATGTGGCCCCCAGTGAAAATGAGTTTTCACCCCTGGCATATGGCTACAAAAAAAACAAGATGGTAGAGAAACTGGCTGTTTGACTGTTGCAGGGACTTAGTTCTGCCCTGACACCTGGGACCTTGTATAACTGTGGCTTACTCATTGGAGTTGGCTAATAGAGACCATTCTCACATTCTTGTCTAGTACTAGAAAATATTGAAGGAAGATTTGGTCAGTATACTATTAATTTTAATAATCCAGAACTATCATTATCTATTATTTTTGTTGCTTTTTTGGGACTAGAACCAAAAATTATTTTCCAGATGCACTTTGTTTTGTACAAAAATAGGATAATTCTTCCTCTCTCTGCCCCCATCTTTGATGGTTTTCTAGAATCCTTAGAAATTTGCAAGGAATCTATAATTCTCTTTAGGGAAATTACAGCTGCTGTATGGGATTAATGTATCTGGATGTTGCCCAAACTATATTGAAGTCTCTTATTTTAATAATTAGTTTTGTGGCATCAAGGCAGTAGTATATATAACGTGTGTTTGTAAAGTTCTTCTGGATCATTTAAGAGAGAAAGTGAGATCATGTCTAACACTAGGAAGCAACTTGTTTAAAATGTTCTGTCCATACTTCTTCTATCTAGGGAAATTCTTTTTATCCATACCTTTTATATCTGACCTTCAAAAACAAACCTCCATTGTCAGGTAGGCTTGATTGTGTAATTGGAAAACTTACAGTCAGTTGTGTAAGTCCTCTAACTATCTGAATAATGGAAATCTCAAAGCACGCTATTAGGTTAGAGATAAGTGATTTTCCCCCTTATAGAAGTCATGTTGCCATTGCCCAATGTCATTTTATCTTAAATGTTTAAATATTGTTTAGGCCAATCAGCACTGTTTTTAGATTTGCATTACTGACAAGTTATTAGATCTATAATTTCCTTGGTTTCTGTTGGAATTACCTTCTAGTTCCTCCTACCTTTCTTTCTCATCCTGTGATGATGTAATCATCTACAATAGTTTTTGGACACTTTGAATCAAAGTGCTAATTAGTAATAAACACTTTTTGAGGTCTCTGAGCTTTGATATGTCTTTTGAGTTATGCCTTGGAATATCTCTCAAGGTAGGAAATGTAAGGTTGAAAAGTTGAAAATATTTTATTTTCTGCACCAGGGCTTATGAACAGACTTGATACTGAGTCCAGGTTTATTTGATATTTAAATTTATAATTAAAAACCAAAAGTAAGATTTAGAACTATGTTTACATTTTCTTTGGAGCAGTATTTCTCTGAGAGTTTGAAAATGGGGCATTGTTGGTGTCAGAGGAGCATGGGAGTTCTGTCGGCATGGGTGGAAGGGAGCCAGGGATACCGTGTGTCTTGAATGTGGGGACAGTCCTGTACACTGATGTTTTGTTCTCAGTAGTTGTTAATGTCACAACTGAGAAAACCTGAAGATACGCCAGATACATTCATATCGGATAACATCAGCCATACTCATGAGTTAAACTTATACATTATTTCTTTTTGTTTTTTTTTGAGGTATAATTGACATGCAATGTACTGCACATATTTCTCTGGCCAGTAGCTCAGTTGATTAGAGTGTTGTCCCAATACACTAAGGTTGTGGGTTCAAGCCTCAGTTAGGGCACATACCAGAAGCAACCAATGAATACATAAATAAGTGGAACAACAAATCAATGTTTATCTCCTTCTCCCCCTTCCTCTCTAAAATTCAGTAAGTAAAAATTATTTTAAAAACCTCACATATTTACAGAGTGTTCAAGTTGATAAATTTGGGCGTGTTACATTTGTGAACCTATCACCACAGTGAAGATGGTAAACATACTGTCACATTCAAAAGTTTTCTCCTCCCCTTTGGAATTCCTCCTGCTTCTCCCCCTTCCCCAGCAATCTCTGATCTTCTTGCTGTAACTATATATTAATTTGCATTTTGGAGACTTGAACATTAATGAAATCATGTAGTATATACTCTTTATTTTTATTTTTTAAAATATTGCTGTTCAAGTACAGTTGTCTCCATTTTCCTCCCCCCCCCCACCCCAGCCATCTCCACTGCCCACCTTGATCCTGCCTTTGGTCTTGTCCATGTGTCCTTCATACATGTTCCTGACTCTTTTTAAAAAATGTTTTTAAAATTTATTTTTAGAGAGAAGGGCAAGGGAGGGAGAATGGGAGAGAGACAGCAATGTGTGTGAGATACGTTGATTGGTTGCCTTTCACATGCCTGTAACTGGAGACCTGGCCTGCAACCCAGGCATGTTCCCTGACTGGGAATTGAACACATGACCTTTCAGTTCCCAGGCCGGTGCTCAGTCCACTGAGCCATACCAGCCAGGGCAGTGTGTACTCTTCTTATGCCTTCATTGAGTATAATTATTTTGAGATTCATCCATGTCCTTTATGATTATTAATAATTCATTAAAAATTTCTGAATAGTATTCTATTGTACAATACAATAACATATGTATTCATATTCACTTGTTAATGGACATTTTGAATTGTGTCTACTGTTCAGCTTTTAAAAAGAAAGGTGTTTATAAACTTTTGTACAGATGTATGCTTTCATTTTTTTGGGTAAACACCTAGGATTAGAATAGCTGGGTAATATGATAGGTGTATGTGCCCAACTGTTTTCCAAGGTGGTTGTACTATTTATGCCTACAAGCAGTTTCTCTACACTTGCCCATCTTTATACAGCTCAGTCTGTATATATTTGGTCAATCTTTTTAATTTTATATCTATATCTATATATCTATATATATGGTCTGTATTCTTGCCCATTTTTATATAGGTCAATCTATATATATTTGGTCAATCTGTTCAATTTTACATATATTTTATTTATATATATGGTCAATCTTTTTAATTTTAGCCATTTTAGGTAGTGCTATCTCATGTTTTTAACTTTTGTTTCATCAGTTACTGGTGATGTTGAGAATCTTTTTATGTGTTTAGTTGTCATCTGTCTATCTTCGGTGAAGTGTCCAAATTTTTTGCCCATTTTTAAAAAATGAGTTTTTAAAAAATTAATTGAATTTTTAAAGTGCTTATCAGGTGCTTTGCAAATATTTCAGTCTTTGGTTTGTCTTTTTTTTTTTAAACAATGCCTTTTGAAAAAAACAAAAGTAGTTTTTATAGAGTCCAGTTTATTAATTTTTTTGTGAATTGTGCTTTTGGTGTTGTATTAGAAATATTTGCCTAATCTGAGGTCATAAAGATTTTCTCCAGTTTTTTCTTTTATTATATATTTCATGGTTTTAGATTATACATTTAAATCAGTTACCTGTCTGGAGATAATTTTTGTTTATGGAGTGATATATGGATCAAAGTAATGTTTCTGGCAAATGGATATCCATTTATTTCAGTACCACTTGTTGAAAAGATTATCTTTTCTCCTTTGAATCTTTGTCAAAAAAAGTAGTTGTCCTTATATAACAAGTCATGAAATCAGGTATTGTTAGCTCTCAACTTTGTTTTTCTAAAAGCTGCTTTGGCTTTTCTAGGCTATTATATTTGTATATTAATTTTACATTGAAATGACAAGTTTCTACAAAAACATGCTGGGATTTGGGGATGGCTTTGAATCTATACATTAATTTACCATCTATTTAAATCTTCTTTAATTCTTCTCAGCAGTGTTTTATAGATTTCATTGTACATGTTTTTCATGTTTTGTCAGACTTATCCCTAATTATTTAATATTTTCAATACTATTATAAAAGATTGTTTTTAAAACTTGCTTTCCAATCAGGTCTTATCTAATAAACATGTGGCTCCTGATCATCTGTTGCAAATCTGCCAGCGCATCGGTCCCATGTTGGATAAAGAAATTCCACCCAGTATTTCAAGAGTCACTTCTTTACTTGGTGCAGGAAGGCAGTCTTTGCTACGTACAGCAAAAGGTACCTTAATTTGAAGAAGTGTTCTGCTTTGTATTAGTAGCTTAATAATTATTATAATTGTGAAGTAATGTGAGCACTGTGGAAGAAAGGTGATATGTAACTATACACCGTACTGTGGACTATAAAATTCTCTGCATTTAGTATAGACATTGAATTTTATTACATTAGTGTTTAATGGGTCCTTCTGCATTTAAAAAAATGATGGAGGTATAGATGTTAAGCTAAAAAGTTTGACTATATTCTGAGATGTGTTTGAGGTTTTATCAATGTGAGTTCTTAATTTTCTACTTTGTAGCTCACTTATAACTTCATTGAATGTAATTGTATGTGTCTAATAAACTCTTTAAATGCTAGAACTATTTCATTTAATATTTAGATCTTTGAAAGCCCTTTGTTAAAAAGGGGAAGTGATTTTCTAAGTTTGGTAGCAGTTTGAAAACAAGCACCCAAAATGTATAATTGCATGGTTCTCTTTTCACCAACTTAATTTTTTTGCTAAGTTATGTGGTAGCAACTGTTGGAATTACTGTTCTTTTTCTGTTAGCTTGGTATAAATCACTTAGACTAAGTATATGTATGTGATATGATCTATGTATACAACATGGCTTAACTGCTAATGGGCAAGAATGTTGGCTCTTCTGATCCTGAGCATACGTCAAGTTCATCCCCCGTGACTATTTTTAAGATCTGTTGCTGATATGATACTGCCTCTTAGATGTACCACCAGTATAAAGTTTGACTGAGAAAGAACCACCCTCCCTCTTGATTCCATGCCAGAACAGTTTGTCAGCATTAGTTGTTTCTTTGTGCTTTATGGCCATGCCGCACTGTGGCTCGAATTAGGAAACTGTTCACATTCTTCCTTTTTCTGTGTTCCTATTTACCTTGTAATTCTGTTTTAGGTTGTTATATAGTAGTTGCCTGGGTAGCCTATTTCCTTTACTTGTGTCAAGCTCAATGTTGTTTTGTAATGAGCACTGCTTTAGAACTGGCAGACCTTAGAAAAGAGACTTCAGCAAGCTGACCTAGGGTAGGGGCTATATTTTGCTGTTTGTTTTGTACTAGTTCCACGGGAGGATGCCTGGTAACTGCTTTTTGATCATTATAGTGGTATTGAACCCATTCATGTAAAATGCTAACATGCCTGTTAGTTTGGAGCACCCGAGGCTCAGTAGAAGTTTAGTAGGATGTCTTCCTTCCCCTCCCCTTTTAGTTGTGAAGAAGCTAATTTCTAGCACAGAATAATCTGTATTCTGCTACTCCTCCCTATTGAGGGGAAGACATTTATTAAAAAAATTTTTTTAGTATATTTGCTGGTAGATCAAAGAGGGATGGGATGTTAGAATTAGTGTTCAGATTCATATATCCTACATACGTGCTCTTGTGTAAAGATCAGCTATGACCCTTAAACAAGAGGAAAGCCATTTAATTTCGTCAGTATTTCCGAAGGAGATTAAAGTCATAATAATATTGGCCAAAATTAATTTTAAAATCTAATGACATTTTAATAGTTAATTAAATCAAGGATCTTCATATAAATCAAAGAAATTGAAATTTTCCTTACAAAAGTTTTTGTTTTTGGGAAGTTGGATCAGTTGTGATTAAGACTTTATCATTAATATTGTATGGTATAATTCCACTTTGAAAAATAAAAATTTATTTGGCATTGAATGGGACTTGGAGTCAAAAGATCTGGTTTTGTGGTCTATCTTGACTGATCATTTGCAGTGGATCTCTTTAAAGGTCCTGGAACCTTTGAGCCTCAGTTACCTCACTTGTAAATTGGCGATTAATACCTACCTCACAGGGTTGTTGTGAGGACTCCATGAGATAATGTATGTGGAAAGCACTTTGTAAATTGTAAAGTGCTGTACAATGTTAGTTGTTGTTGTATCTGAGATGTCTTAAATTTTTTTTTCCTTCAGAAATAGTCTAATAAACTTCTAGGGCTTTTCTGTTAAAGTATATTAGTTGGTAAAATTTTGAATAAACAGTTTATTAAAATATACGTAAGTACTCTATAAAATCTTTCTTGGGGTTAACTTTCAAGATTTTATGTGTATCTAAAATTCATTTTAAAGACTGCAGGCACACAGTTTGGAAGGGCTCTGCCTTTGCTGCTCTTCATAGAGGAAGACCTCCTGAAATGCCAGTGAATTACGGTTCCCCACCAAATCTCGGTAAGTGAGGCTGGCCTTTGAGATGCTTGAAACCATTTGAATTTCTTGACCAACTTTGTAACTGCTCGGTTAAAATTTTAAAGGAAATACTGGTAGTAGCATTGTCTCAGTAGAAACAAGGATCAATTTTCAAATTTATTTTCCTAAAATACTAAAAGTAATAAAGATGAATGAAAAACTATTTTATTATTAAAAAAGAAGCCTACACCAGTGATTATAATAGACCAGAACTGAGAAGAAACTTGTGTCCTTAGGATTTCCTGAACATAGATTTTTGTTTTGGAGATTTTCTTAGCTTTTTACATATTGGCACCCCCTTAACCATTTTTGTTGTTTTTATTTCCTAGTGGAGATACATCGAGGCAAACAACTCACAGGGTGTTCCACTTTTAGCACAGCATTTCCAGGAACTATGTACCAGCATATAAAAATGCACAGAAGGATTCTTGGACATCTATCTGCTGTTTACTGTGTAGCATTTGATAGGACAGGACATAGAATCTTTACAGTGAGTTAACATTTTCAACTCAATTTGTTATCATCTGGAGCACTTTGGTGTTCGTCAGAATCTTTTAAGAAATCTTTTAAAACACATAGATTCCATGTTTCCTATTCTCAGGGATTTTGACTCACTAGGTGTGGTGTGGGGCCTGTAAATTTGCGTCTTTATTTAGTGTCTCAAGTGATTCAGATGTAGACAGGCCTTGTATAGTGGTTGTGAGACTTGGTTTAGAGTAGTGGTTCTTGGGAATGATCATCAAGGATGCTGAAAGATATACATGCCTAGTACTTCTTCAGCCCATTGTAGACCTACTGAATTAGGTCAATTTCCACTCTGTGTATTAATCAAAACCAAACTGCCCTGGCTAGTGTAGCTCAGTGGATTGAGTGTGGGCCTTTGAACCAAAGGACTGCGGTTTGCTTCTCAGTCAGGGCACATGCCTGGGTTGCAGGCTTGTTTCCAGCAGGGGACGCACGAGAGGCAACCATACATTGATATTTCTCTCCCTCTTTCCTTCCCTTCCCCTCCAAAGATAAATAAATACAATTTTTAAAAAACAGACAGACAGCCCTAGCTGGTGTAGCTCAGTGGATTGAGCACAGGCCTGTGAAGCAAAGGGTTGCTGGTTCGATTCCCAGTCAGGGCACATGCCCGGGTTGCAGGCCAGGTCCCCAGTACGGGACACATGAGAGGCAACCATACATTGATGTTTCTCCCCCACTCTTTCTCCTTCCCCTCTCTGTAAAATTAAATAAAAAATATTTTAAAAAAACAGACAAACAAATCAAAAAACAACAAACAAACAAAAAAACCCCAAACCAAAACCCCTCCCACAAGTCTCTAAATCTTTCCAGGTGATTCATAGTCACATTGAGTGCTCACTGATCTGGGGAAATTGATGATTCAAACAGATATTTCATAATTATTATAAAATTAATTGTAACTTTGGAATTTGATTTATATTTTTAATGTTGTAGGGGAAAATTAGGATGGGCAAAAAGTTCAAATTTTAGGCCCTGGTTGGGTAGCTCAGTTGGTTAGAGCACCATCTGATCTGCCAAGGATGTGAGTTTGATCCCGGGACAGGGCACATTCAAGAAACAAACCAGTGAATGCATAAATAAATGGAACAACAAATCCATGTTTCTGTCTTTGAAAAAAAACAGTTTGAACTTTATTTCTCAGTTGTGAGATTCAGAGTAGATACTATTTGCAAAATGCTGGTACTATAAATTTTAGACTGTGTTGTTTGGTTATTTAAAATGAGGGTGGTAGTCCCATTATTTTTAGTTGTGTTTGGGAACAACTACTCTTTTATCTCAGCCTGTAAAATGTAGATCTTTCCTAACACTCATCAAATTTTTTAGCTTCATGTGAACTAAATTGACATTTAACTATTGTTATTAAAATAGGTGAGCCATGAACTTGTAGTTGGACTTATTACTTGGCAGAGAATTTTGAGAAGATAGTATTATAAAATGGTCTGATTCATAGAAATGAAAACAGTATCTTTATGTAGACATTGCTTGATTTTAAAAACTGTTATAGGTGTTCTCAGTATGAGTCAGTCACACAGTATTCTACAGTTGGGAAGAGGAGTTACACTGGAGTGACATGTAAATGGTATTTTTTAAATGGTAAAGGACTTCTCCATTGACATTTATTTGGGATGTATTTTCTCTTAGGGTTCAGACGATTGTTTGGTGAAGATTTGGTCAACACATAATGGTCGCCTATTATCCACATTAAGAGGTCATTCTGCAGAAATTTCAGATATGGCAGTAAACTATGAGAATACGATGATTGCTGCAGGGAGCTGCGATAAAATCATCAGAGTGTGGTGCTTGAGAACCTGTGCCCCAGTGGCTGTGCTCCAAGGACACACAGGGTCAATTACGTCTTTACAGGTAAACTAGTGTTTGTGGGCACTTTGTGTGTTAGCTCCTCCTTCTTTAAAACTCCTCTTTGGAAATGAGAAATGGTAAGATGCTTAGTCATTATATACTGTATTTTAAATTTAGTACTCAAGAAAGAATATAATTAACCATGGTTCCATGATTCTTGGGAAGATGATTTAATAAATATGTGATGTGTTAGAGGTTTATATGAAGGCTTGATGGATACTAAATGAGTCAATTACAGACTGATGAGAGTAGTTAATGGTTTTGCTACCTTAAAACTTGAGGATTTTGGTAAGCTAATTAAATTTGCTAAGTACACTTAAACTCACTTTTAGTCCATATTCTAGAATTTAGATTTAAATAGTCACTTTCAACATTGCTACCCTTCATTTTGTGTACTTGAAGAGACAGCACTTGGAAGAAGCTTCTTTGAAAAAGTCATAAGTTAAATCCTACCTCCCTTAAAAAAGTATGTGAACTTGGGGGAGAAAGTCATAAAACAGATGATAGCCCTCGCTGGTGTGGCTCATTGGATTGAGTGCCAGCCTGCAAACCTTAAGGTCACTGGTTTGATTACCAGTCAGGGGATATGCCTGGGTTGCCTGACAGGTCCCCAGTTAAGGGTGTGTGAGAGGTAGCCAATGTCTCTCTCATGCATTGATGTTTTTCTCCCTCCCTTCTCTCTCTCAAAGTAAATAAACTTATAAACTATACCCTGAGATATAAGGGTAACTGTGAATCTTCTAAGAAACCACCAAAACCAGTTCTTTCTCTTTCTTTTCTACTGATGGTTTTTCTTTCCTAAGCTCCTTGTCATGAATGTCTCATGAATTAGCAAGGTTTGTTGCTTCTTCCAGGTTTTCCCCCATTCTGAGGGGAGGAGGAACAATTAAGGTTAAGGTTCTTAGATTAGTTGGTTGGTTGGATCAATTCTTGGTTCTTTATCTTACCTGTTTCTTTTCAATCACTATTTGTACATTGCCACCATACAAATCTTTTAGTTGACATCAGAGTTTTATTTGATAACTACTTCTTAATTGGGCTCAGATTCTCTACCCATTTCAGCACCACTTCCAAAAATGAACACTTTAGTCATGTAGGTCTTCCCATTGCTATCAAATACTAAATTCTCTATCATATTTGTACTTTTGTTCATATTACTTCTTTGCCTAGTGTGTGTTTCTTGATGGCTTGTATTTTCCTCTGTATCTTTTAAGCCTTCTTGGATATCTCTTGACAAGACTGAATTTTCTCTAGCTTATTTGTGTAGCACAATTGGGCATTAACATTTGTTGAATACAAATGTTAGCCTTATTCTGAAGTTACAGTATAATTCTTATAGTTTCTTCTAATACTTGTATGGTTTTAAAAAATGTTAAAATCGTGATTCACTTGGAAATTATTCTGGGGTGCAGTGTGGGGGGTAGATCCAGCTTCCCCTCAGGTTGCTGCACAGCTGTCCCTTTGCCATTGATGCAGCTGTCCATGCTCTCCCCAGTGGATTTGAGTTGGATTTTGGAGTCATAGATTTTTCGTTGGTGGTTTTGTTCACGTACCAGCTGTGCCTCATAGTTTTGATTTTTGAGGCTTGGTGATACACTTTCATATATAGGACTAGATCTTTACTCTCTCTTTGTAAAAGTTAATTTACATTGTGACTCAATTATTTTTTAAAATAATTTTTTTACTGAGATCATACTAATGTTTATAAGTTAATTTAGATATAGACTTTATTTTTTATTTATAGGTTATGCTTTCACTACAATAGTGTCACCTTTATTTTTGGATATCTTATATTTTAGATTGTCCATTGAAGTTAACTTTGAAATACTGTTTAAACTACAACGTTAGTAGGAGCTCAGGTAATTGGGTTGTATATCTTATTGCTTTTCAGTTTAGCCCAATGGCCAAAGGCTCTCAGAGGTACATGGTCTCAACTGGTGCTGATGGGACAGTTTGTTTTTGGCAGTGGGATTTAGAATCTCTGAAATTCAGGTAAGTGACTTTATGTAATAAGTTTTCTTTTTTGAAGGCTGTTTGTAAAGAGAAATTGCAGGTAGTGGTTACCTTTTTACTTTTGAACTTAATTTTTTTAAAGATTTTATTTATTTATCTTTAGAGGGGAAGAGAAGGAGAGAGGGAGAGAAACGTCAATGTATGGTTGCCTTTCATGCGTCCCCTGCTGGGAACTGGCCTGCGGGGAACCTGCCTGCAACCCCAGTATGTGCCCTGACTGGGATCGAACCGCGATCGTGTGGTTCGCAGGCCCGTGCTCAATCCACTGAGCTACACCAGCCAGGGCTGAACTTAATTTTTAAAAAAGGATTTTACATATTTATTTTTAGAGCGAGGGGAGGGGAGGGAGAAAGAGGGAGAGAAACATTTATCGGTTGCCTCCTGCATGTGCCCTGACTGAGGACCAAACCCACAACCCAGGGATGTGTCCTGAGCAGAACTCGAACTGGTGACCCTTCACTTCACGGGCTGACACCCAACCAACTGAGCCACACTGGTCAGGGCTGAACTGAATTTTTATTATATTACAGCACAGGTGGCAAACACAAGGCCCACGAGCTGAACCCACCCCTCCACCTTGTTTTATCTGGCCCGGCACCTTGTTTCTACCCGGCAGGAGCTCCTTGCCCCCAGTTAAGGAGTAGTTACATTTATACTGTCCTAAAGTTACATTCGGCCTTTGAAGGCAACTGCAAGGCTGATGCGGCCCCTGGTGAAAATGAGTTTGATGCCCCTGATATACAGCATATGTGTCATACTGACTACTTACTGTTTACAAATTTCTATTTAGATAGTTGGGTATGTAAAAGGAACATAGCTATTCTCTCTTAGTGCACATGTTTTTGTGAAAAAGACAAGGTAGCATGTGTTTGAAACATTTCAAAAATATTAGAAATGTATAATTAGATACATAGCAGTTTAGGCCAGATCATTTAAGAATCAGAAGACATGGATTTTGGACCTTTGTTGTTTAATACAGTAGCTACTAGCTACATGTGACTGTCAAGTACTTCACACTAGATGTGAAGTGTAATTCACATCTAGTGTAATTGAGAAACTGGATTAGTTTAAATTTAAACTGATAACTGGATTCAGTTATTACAAAACTCTTAAGTATATTTCAAACCACTTGAGAATGTGAGTTTAATTTTTAGCTATGAGAACTGAATATTTGATGGAAACATTCAAATTGAGATATATTCTAAATATCCAACATACTTGAAAAGATTTCAAAGATTTAATATGAAAGAAAGAATCCAAAGTTCTCATTAAAGGCCTTGGTAGAGCAGCTCAGTTGGTGAGAACATTGTCCTGTTATGCCAAGTTCGTAGGTATGATGCTGGCCAGGGCACATACAAGAATCAACCATTGAATGTATAAATAAGTGGAACAACAAGTCGATGGTTCGCCCCCCCCCCAAATTAATAAGTTCTCACCAAAATGTTATTAGTATTGGGATATTTCAGCTATTTGGAGTTAAATGAAATAAAATTAATTTCATCTCCTTTCAATGTGGCTACTAAAAAATTTAAAGTTACACATGTGGCTTGCATTTTTTCCATTGGACAGTACTATAACCTGGTGATTTTGTGCCCTGCTCTGTAGCCTTGATGATGGGTTCATTTAGAGACTCTGAGCTGTAGTCACCTCAGTTGCAAACGGGAGTTAGTAGGTCTGCTCTTTCTGTGTCGCAGGATTGGTATGAAGATGGAAATGAGACAGTTTTCTAAAAATCCATCTAGCTATAATAGCATATGTGGAAATACTTGGTGTACTGTGAAGCACTATAGAAATAACATAATATTTAAATATGCTAGCTTGAAATCAATATTTAAATAATGTTAATTGTAGAACTAATGTATTTTAAAACATCATCTTTTAAAGTCCACGTCCCTTGAAGTTCACTGAAAAGCCTAGACCAGGTGTTCAAATGCTTTGTTCTTCTTTTAGTGTTGGTAAGTACTTCTTTTATTTTATTTTAGCATTTATTGAATGACCACATTATTATTATTATTTTTTAAGATTTTCTTTATTTATCTTTAGAGGGGAAGGGAAGGAGAGAGGGACAGAAACATCAATGTATGGTTGCCTTTTGTGCATCCCCTGCTGGGAACTGGCCTGCAGTCCAGGCATGTGCCTTGGCTGGGAATCGAACCGTGATTGTCTGGTTCGCAGGCCCGAGCTCAATCCACTGAGCTACACCAGCCAGGGTGAATGACCACATTATTGATAAAAGCCTTTATCAGATAGATAGAAAGTGCCTTATGTTCATTTCATTAGGTTTAATCTGTGATTGTTCATTTTATTGGCCTTTTTTTTTTCCTCTTTCACTCCTTTACTCTGCCTTTCTTTGATTTTGATTAGTAATGAGTCAGTGATGGAAGAGATAGCTGGCTAATAGGAGGCTCAAAATGTCCACACCAGCAATTCCCGTGTACATGCCCCAGAGGTTACGCTATACCAAGATGGTGATTTTCTTTTAACAAGATAACCTGTATGTTTTTTTTTTGTAGTTTAAATTGTTTTCCACACATCTTGGTGAAATCATTCCCCATGTTCTTTTCTTGCACAGTTAACTCATGTGCTAACCTTTTGTTTAGGAGAGGTCAAGGATTTTTTTCCCTGTAAAAGTCTGGAAACTTCAACAAGTGAACTTCATATTCCATAGCTAGGGTTAGGTATGTAAAGTTGTCTAGAAAGCAGAGCCCCTTCTGCTCAACATTTTTAAAGCAGCACCACTTAGGGCCATTGCCACAACTCATAAAGCAGAGGGCAGCAACGAACATTTCCAGATTGAATTAACTTTAAAAAATTAAAGCCCCATCAGATTTTTTTCTCCACCACCACCAAATAATTCTTTGGGTGTCCCCACCACCTCAGTGTCCTACAATTGAACGCAGTCTGTCACTTTACCTAGAGAATAGTGAGAGATGCCACAGGTTAAGGGCTCATTCCTATATGATTCTCCTTCCCCCTACCTCAAGCTTCAGACCAGGTTGTCACCTGTGCTTCTGACCTACTGACTATTAGATTAGAGGTTTCCACAGACTCCTTTGAAGTTCTCTGAAGTCCATCTTTCTGGGGTTTTATGGAGGCTTGCTTACCACAAGCATGACCGAGTCCGTCACTGGCCATGGGGATTAATTACCACATTTTTTTTTTCAGACTATAAGATGCCCCCCCCCCCCATAATGGTTGTTAATGCTGCTGTTGAGTTCTATTTATATTTACATCGGTGAAATATTATGCTATTTATGTTATTAAATAGTTTACCACATTTTTTTGCTTCAAAAAATTTTTTCCTATTTTTCTCCTCTAAAACCTAGGTGCATCTTATGGTCCAAAAAAATACAGTAACTTCTTTCTCCCTCCTCAGCTGTTGGACTGAAAGTTCCCCTCCTTTATTCACATTGTTGGTTCTCCTGGCAGTCAGCACCCTCCCCCTGCCCTCCACTCCCTTCAGAATGCTTTCTTAAAGTCACCTTGTTATTATAAACTCTGGTGTGGTTGAGATGGGTTTGCTGTGAATATCAAGACACCTTTAGCACTCTTGTCATTTAGGAAATTCCAAAGGTTTTAGGAGCTGTGTGCCATGAACAGGGACAAAGAGCAAATATATATTATTAAAAACCTGTTATCACACTATATTATATTAATTTTATTTAACATGTCTTTATATAGTGAATTAGAAAATGGATTTGTTGAGGTAAACTTTTGTAATAAAAGCTCTAGCTTTAATACAGAAATTTCATTTGTGCAGATATTTGTTATAAAGTGGATTTTTAACCCTTAACATTTTATTCCAGGTGGTATGTTTTTGGCCACTGGCAGTACTGATCATGTAATCAGAATGTATTTTTTGGGTTTTGAAGCACCTGAAAAAATTGCAGAACTTGAAAGCCACACTGTAAGTATTCATGTTTTAAAATTCTGTAGGTTAATTTAAATAGTAGTCCTGTTGATATATAGTAAAATACTGCTAACAGTAATTGATATGGATTCTAATTTTAACTTAATTGTAGGAGGAATTGCATTTAAAGGTGAAGGATGTTGACAACTCAGGTAGCACCTTGACAGTGCTACTATTTTCCAGTGGTTATTTCAGCTTTAAGTTCAAAATCTTGATTATGATGGTTGATATGGGTAGGTTAGGTTCAGGCGGGCCAGTTTATCTTAACCAGGGTCTTGAAATCAGAATGCTTTTTAGTAATGTGTGGTAAGATATATAACTCGGTGTTCTGGGATATTGGTTAGTGGTCAGATCATGTTTTCTCCTAAATGCAGTTTTGTGAGGTTATTTGATAAACATAGATTTGAATCATTTTAAAAGAAAAAACCTTTTGGGGTATAAATAACATAAAACATGCATATTCAGCCTTGTTTTCAGCTGTTTAAACCTTTATATTTTGATTGCTTTACAAATGTATCAATTTTTATAGATATTTTACTGCATATGTCTTTGAAATGAGAGTCCTGTTAGATTAATAGATTCTTTGCACTTAAATGTGTAATTTATGTTTGAGTAACAAGACTGAGCAGCACAAGTGCAAATTTCTTGCTCTAAAGCAAATGTGCTTCTAGCTCTAAAACTGTTTTTTGTTTTTGTTTATAAACTATGCAAATGATGACTTTTGTGTTTTTTTTCTTCCTGATTTAGGATAAAGTTGACAGTATCCAATTTTGTAATAATGGTGATCGGTAAGTGTGTTTATATTTGTAGGTGTTTTAGGCATACATAACTGTGCTTCATATCAGTATAGCTAATACGTGGCTTTCTGTACTGCAGGTGTTTGTTAGTAAGTAGTTTATTAATTGAATGAAAAGTGCCTGGGCAGTGGGAAACACATGAAGTACAGGATTTTAGAATTGTGGTTTCTGCTGTGTCTTGTGACCAAATGTAGGTCTCCTTTAGCCTAAATGAACTAAATTTTTGATTTACAGAAAAATTATGTGAACTTAACTTTATATGTGAGTAGTTAAGACTTCTCATCAGCTACTGTGCTGTTCCTGAAATGGAATTATCACTTAAGTCTTTTTTTTTTGTTTTTGGTGATTCCCAATGTCTCTTAGTTGCCTTTTCTAATTTGCAGTTTCTAATACTGTTAGAAGATTATTTTTACACAGTGGCCAGCATGAATTAGAGTTTAGCATTAAGGTGCTTAGAATAGCGCATTTACTCTTACTACCATAATTTTCCCATGTCTTTAATTGTTCCTATTTTCCACCTCTCCAGGTGCTATTGTCTTGTCAAAACCAATCTATTTGACAAGCTATTGATTGAGTTTGAAGTACGCTTTATTTCACAGAGCCAGGCAGATTATAACAAACCAGATTGTTCCCATTTAGATATACCCTAATGCTCTGACTTTTCACCTAACACCTATAGATTTACCTGCAGTCAGGACAGCTACATTAAAAAAATTTTTTTTTGCTTGTGATTTTAACTGTAGCTGCTGGTGGCATGTGTGTGAGTATACATCTTTTTTTAATATTTTAAGGTTTTTAAGTGGTAGCAGAGATGGAACAGCACGTATTTGGAGATTTGAGCAGTTAGAATGGAGAAGCATTTTATTGGATATGGCTACCAGAATCTCAGGGTAAGTTGAGATGGTTTGTTTTAAGTATGGTACATCATAAGTTTTTGGTTTTTCCCGATTGGTTGATTGCTTTGTTCAGGGGACTGGAGCCCCACCCCCCTGTTCTGAAGAGTTGTAATAGAAGGGAATGGCAGGAGGACAGGAGTGGGTGGAGGTGGAAGAGGGTATAAAGGAGGATGAATGGTAATGGAAAAAAAATACAATAAAAAAGGAACTATTAGCCCTGGCTGGTGTGGCGCAGTGGATTGAGTGCTGGCCTGTGAACCACAAGGTTGCCAGTTTGAGGTCGCCAGTTTGATTCCCAGTTAGGGCACATGCCTGGGTTGTGGGCCTGGTCCTCAGTTGGGGTGTGTGAGAGGCAACCAATAGATGTATCTCTCACACATTGATGTTTCTCTCCCTCTCCTTCTCCCTACCTTCCCCTCTCTCTAAAAAGAAATAAATCTTAAAAAAATAAACTATTAAAAAAATGAAGTAAATGGCTATCCCCTCTGTGTCTGACAGACATTTAAATCTCATCTAGCCAAAAGAATTTATTCTTAACATTTACATAGGAGAGAACAACATAGTTGTTCTACTGTTTCTCAAAGCATTGACTTCCTCTTACGTGTTGTATTTAAAACCCACCTACACTTTAAACAAATTATAAAAATAACTGGGGCATGTCAAATGTGGGAATTTTACTTTTCTGCAGATAGGATTTTTGGAATATTTTAAAATTGGCTCTAGCTAAGTCTGATGAATAAAGGATGCAAAATTTATTGTTAAGGGGGGAAAGTTGTGGTCCAGTGGGAGAGTTTTTTTTGTATGCTAAAATTTTGGCTTGTAAAATGGCATTGGAGGCAAGTTTGTTCTTCTGTTCCCCTCCCCCAACATTCCAAAGTTTCACACTTCTTTTTAGTGTCTTATTGATAAGTTTAATACTTTCCAAGGTAAATATTACCAATTTGAAATACATTGGCTTTTTTTTGTTTGTACGTATTGGGAGGCAGTATAGGTGGTGGAAAGAGCACATGTTTTTGAATCAGACTTTTGCTTGGTTTATACCTGTATAATTTTGAAAACATCATTTAGTATTAGTTTGTTTCACTATGTGGAAAATGAAACAGCCCACCTTTAAGTATTATTGGAAATTTTAAATGATAGGATGAAAGATGGTAGCATACTGCCTGGTCCAGCGTAGGCATATCAGTATTCTTTTGCCTGGTGTAAATATTACTTTAGTTACACTGTAATAGAAATATAAAGTTAATACATTTTAGTTTAGAGTTTATTTCCAAGGTTTAGCTTTATATTTTTTCATACCAGTTTTTCTTACTCTTTTTTCATACAGAGTTTTCTGTATGTAAGGAATTGATGGATATATAATAATAGTTTTAGTGTTCTAATCTTGCCTATTCAACTTGATGAACTGTCATAGGTCTGTTAGTAAATTCCAGGTTATTAACGGGGGATACCTATTAGTTTAAAAGGGAGAGTGGAGTCTTATTCTCCTTTATATTTTGAAAATGTTCAGTATATGTTCGTAGTTCTCAATGTATTAGATGATTTCAGAAGCCCTTAGGCTTTTCCTCACCCTCCCACTATTTACTGCTGACTATATTTTACAGTGGAACTTTACATCTCACTCTTTAAAAGGCTGCAAAGCATTGCAGACATATGTGTCCAAGACTTCTTACTATGGGACCCAAAGGAACAGCCTGTAGGGAAGTATAAAGAGATGAGTACAGTTTCACAGGTCAGCAAATTGTGTGTCTGTGTCAGGCACTTTTCTAGACATTGGGGATATGAAGATAAATTTCTTTCTTTTTGTCTTCCTAAAATTTCTTATTCTTTCTGGAGAGAGAAACAGTTGAAAGTATTACTGTTAGGGCTTGGGCTTAGGAGAAAAGAGGTAGAGAGAAAAAGCTTTGTTTTTATGAGTAGCGGTGGTATCCTGAAATCTGTCTTAATTTAGTGTCTGAACTGCTTCTGAATAATCCCCTACCCTCTGGTTTTTGCCCTGATCTGTTTATATAGATTATCTGTTATGGGTTAGATTGACCAACCTTCTGTAGAGTTGGTAAGGTAAGCACAATGAACTGGATTACTCTAGTTATTTTTGTATAGATGAGGGATTGTTTACATTGTATAGCCCACCATTTAAGTGTATTTACACATTGTGTGTGTGTTTTTTTTAGGGACTTGACTTCTGAAGAAGAAAGGTTCATGAAACCCAAAGTAACAATGATAGCTTGGAATCAGAATGATAGCATTGTTGTCACAGCTGTGAATGATCATGTCCTCAAAGTATGGAATTCGTATACTGGACAACTGCTTCATAACTTACTGGTGGGTAGTTCTTATCCAATATAACAAACCAAGATTTTTTTTGAGCTATAATTTTATTTTTAAACTATGAAATTAATATATTAAACATGTTTCTTTTGAAGATTTTATTTGTTTTTAGAGAGAGAGGAAAGGAGGGAGAGAGAGGGAGAGAAACATCAACGTGTGGTTGTCTCTTGCACACTCCCTACTGGGCACCTGGCCCACAATCCAGGCATGTGGCTTGACTGGGGATCGAACCAGTGACCTTTTGGTTCGTAGGCTGGCACTCAATTCACTGAGCCACACCAGCCAGGGCTAAATGTGTTTCTTTCATTTATTTTATCAAATAAATAGAAGTTTGTATATATACTGGTGAAAATTACTGTCAAATACATTTTTTTCAAATACACTTTTAAAAGCCCTTACACACTATGCAAATGTGGGTTTTTAATTAGAAACTTATAAATTGCAAACCCTCCTTAACTATATGACTTTGTTGAATGAAGGGACATGCTGATGAAGTATTTGTTTTGGAGACACATCCCTTTGATTCCAGAATTATGTTATCTGCAGGACATGATGGCAGTATATTTATATGGGATGTTACAAAAGGTACCAAGGTGAAACATTATTTTAATATGGTAAGTGAAGTCTGTGATATCTTTATGCATGGTCGCATTTGTTTCAATTATATAGATTAAAAAGTTTAGCCAAAAACAGGTCTGCATGTTTTGGTATATTTCTAAAAACCAGAGTATTTAAAGCCTAACAAATACCTGATAACCATATCTACATATACATGAAATTCTCTGTGTAACTGAGGGAGAGATTTTCATTTAGCTTTGTGTGTATTGGTGAATATCTCTGTGTTTAAATTGGCAAAATATAGTAATTATACACAACTTGAGACTGTGCAGCAATATAAATTTTACATGGCAATCACAAATCTTAGTAGAAAGTTTAAACTCTAGAATAGTATTGATTTTTAGTTATAAATACTGTACTTTATTAAATTTTAATTATTTATATTATAGGCTATCAGTCAATAGTATTTTGTTATGTATTAAAACAAAAGTTTCTGAAGGTGCTTGTCGTTCATTTGTCTGAAAAAAGCCCTCATTTTGGATTGGTTTATGATACTTCATTTAATCATTTTAAGAATTGATTAAGGGTATTGGTATCTAAAAGTGAATTTTCTTTACTGAAAATATAAATTGACATGCTTAAAGAAAAATCTGTTTTTAAATTTGTTTACCTGAATCGCTATATTATAGCAGGGCAGCAACAGTGAAAACAGTTGATACAGCAAAAGCACTTGTGTAAACTTGATCATAACTTTATTCCTTCTCTTATGGTTAGAATGTGCCAGACTTTTATTTGACTCATGAGTGAGGCTTTTTCCCTCTGTGTTTCCTAGATTGAAGGACAAGGGCATGGAGCTGTATTTGACTGTAAGTTTTCACAGGATGGACAGCATTTTGCCTGTACAGACTCTCATGGGCACCTTCTGATATTTGGGTTTGGATGCAGCAAGCCATATGAAAAGGTCATTTAAAATTTTTCTTTTAAAGACATTTATTTAACGTCATGATCAAACTATTACATTTAGCAATCAACAGCATGGGTGCAAAAAGAAAAAAAAAAACTACATTAAAAACCCTTTGTTGGAATGCTTTACATTTTCCACAGAACCAGAAACTAAAATAACCTATTATACAATTAGTCACAAATACAGTCCTCGAGTTTTTTGCCCATTCACATGAGAATTGTCTAAAACATGTCTTCTCTGTAGCAGCCAGGCCCTGCCACCACTGTGCTTGGCTGAGTTCACAAATCTGTTGTGACCCGTAGTTTCTCGGTCACTTCTCTGGCTCTCCTCTCCTGCTAAGCTTTGTTTATTGGCAGTAATTATTGAGCCCTTTCACTGCCATAGCTATTGCTGCTGCTGCTGGAACCGCCATAGCCACCTTGGTTTTGTGGTCTAGCAAAGTATTGGCCTTCACAACCATAGGGGCCAGAGCTTCTGTCTCCAAAGGTTCCTCCTTTCATGGGTCTGAAATTTGAAGATTGGTTGTTGTAATCGCCAAAATTATTGTGGCTTCTGCCACCTCCAAAATACTTCTATCATTACCAAATCCATTATAGCCATCCCCACTGCCACCATAACCACCACCACCACCATGGCAACCGCCAAAGTTGCCTCAACCACTGAAATTTCCTCCATGACCAAAGTTGTCATTCCCACCAAAATTACCTCCATGACCACCTCTGAAGTTTCCAGAACCACTTCAACCTCGTTGGCTGGATGGAACACTAGCCATCTCTTGCTTAGATAGGGCTTTCCTTACTTCACAGTTGTGGCCATTTCTAGTATGGTATTTCTGGACAACATTCTTGTCTACAGAGTCATGGTCATCAAAGGTTACAAAAGCAAAGCCTCTCTTTTTACCAGTGCCTTGGTCAGTCATGACTTCAGTCACTTCGGTTTTCCCATACTGTTCAAAATAATCTCCTAGGTGATGTTTTTCAGCGTCTTCTTTAATACCGCCGACAAAAATCTTTTTCACAGTGAAGTGGGCACCTAGTCTTTAAGAATTTTCTCTTGAAACAGCCCTCTTTGGTTCTACAACTCTTCCATCCACCTTTTGTGGCCTTGCATTTATGGCTGCATCTACCTCCTCCACAGTGGCATATGTGATAAACCCAGAGCCTCTGATGTGCTTGACCTTTGGATCTCTCATCACCACACAGTCTGTGAGCATTCTGCGTTGCTCAGAATGGCTTCTCAGACTCATCTGTTGTTCAAAGCTCAAACCTCTGACAAAGAGCTATTGTAGTTGCTCCAGCTCTTTGGGAGACTGACTTAGACGTGACAACCACAGGACAGGGAACTTCAGTGATGCTAACTGAGCAGCATCCACTGGCAGAAAAGTTAAATATTTTTTATAGCAGGTAGAATAAGTAGTTATGAAGGATATTTTGAAAACAGGTTAGATGTATTAATTTTATTTCCTTATTTTTCTAATTATAATTAACTGCTTAGTATTTTTTCTAATATGTATAAACCTCATAGTATCAAGTATCAACATGTAAACTTCCTTCCCTTTTCATTTGTTTTTGTTTTTGTTTTAACTTGCCTTTTCTAGATTCCTGATCAGATGTTCTTCCATACTGACTACAGACCACTGATTAGAGACTCGAATAATTATGTCTTAGATGAGCAAACTCAGCAGGCTCCTCACCTTATGCCTCCACCATTCTTAGTAGATGTAGATGGAAATCCTCATCCAACTAAGTACCAGAGATTAGTACCAGGCCGAGAAAATTCTGCAGATGAACATTTGGTTCCACAGCTAGGCTATGTGGCAACAAGTAAGTACAAAGTCTTTTTTTTTTTTTAAACAAAACAAAGCAACTTTATTTGAAAAATGTAAAGAAAAACACAAAACTCCTATACTTGCAAATTCACCTGTTAATAGTTTGTAATAATTGTTTTATCATTTATCTCTAGATGTGTATTGTTTTGATTCACTTGAGGCTCAAGTTTGGAACCTCATGTTTATTTACTCCTAAGTACTTCAGTCTGTATTTTCTAAGAACAAAGATACTCTCTTACATAAACATAAACTATAGTCAACATTTGACAGAATGCAACATACAATGTTGTAGCCTTCCTGGTCAGGATGCTCATGATTGTGGTTTGTCCAATGGTAATGTCTTTGGACATTCAGGGTGGTGTCTACCAGGTGTTGCCACTTTATTTTTCTCTTTGTAAATAAGTAATCTGTGGGGACATATTATGTAGATAGTCTGTTCATTATTAGACTTGTGTTTTAGGATCTACTGATGATTTCGCCTCAGTCAGTTGTTACTTGAAGGTTGCAAAATGATTGTTTTCTAACTCCTATAATCATCAGACCTACATTTTTTTAGTTGGTCTTATACTACCCTTCCTTTTATATATGTAGTTCATTAAATTTTAGTTTGGACTTATAGATGGTAATACAGTGAGTTATAGTCTAGCACTGTTGTTGTTACTTTGTTGTCTATATTATCCTTGGATTTGAGTACTGGAGCCTGTTCTGGCTGGGTTTTGTGTCTTCTCAAGTTCCCTAGAGTACTTGTTTACTTTTTGGCATAAGGTATTCCAGTCCCATCTTGTACTTTGCCTGGCCTAGCCAATTGCAGAGTTTTTGTATTTTTCATAGTGGTACAGTGGTTCTCCTGATAATTATTAAGCAAAGGAAAAAATGCTTCTACAGGCATTTACCTTGGAGATACTGCAGGTTCAGTTTCAGGCCACTGCAATAAAGCAAATAATGCAACAAAACAAGTCACATGAAATTTTTTATTTCCCATTGCATATAAATACTATGTTTACAGCCCTGGCCAGTTGGCTTAATTGGTTGGAGCATTGTTCTGTGCACCAAACGGTTGAGGGTTTGATTCCTGATGAGGGCACGTTCCTAGGTTGTGCGTTCAATACCCAGTTTTGGTATGTATGGGAGACAGCTGACTGATGTTTCTCACATTGATGTCTGTCTTCCCCCTGTCCCCAAATCAATAAACATATCTTTGGGTAAGGATTTAAAAAAAAAGAACTTATGCTTACACTGTACTGTAGTCAGTTAAGTGTGCAATAGCATTGTGTCTAAAAAATGTACATCCCTTAATTAAAGAAAACTTCTGCTAGAAAGTGCTCGTCATCATCCGAGCCTTCAGCAAGCTGTGCTCTTTGATGGTGCAGGATCTTGCCGTGATGTTGGTGGCTGATGACTGATCAGGGTGGTTGTTATGAAGTTTGGGATGGCTGTCGAGTTTCTTAAAATAAGACAACAATGAAGTTGGCCACATCGATTGACTTCATTTATTTATTTATAGAGAGGGGAAGGGGGGGAGGAAGAGAAGGAAAGAAACATTGGCCCACAACCCAGAATCAAACCCATTACCTTTTGGTTTGCAGGTCAGCACTCAGTTCACTCAGCCAACCTGCCAGGGCTGATTGACTCTTTCTTTCACATACAATTTTTCTGTAGCATGTGGTGCTGTTTTATAGCATTTTATCCATAGTAGAACTTCCTTCATTATAGGAGTCAATCCTCTCACACCCTGCTGCTGCTGTGTCAACTAAGTTAAATTTTGTAAATCCTTTGTTGTCATTTCAACAATCTTCACAGTGTCTTCACCAGGAAATTCCATCTCAAAAAACCACTTTCTTTGCTTTCTATAAGAAGCAACAACTCACCTGTTAATGTTTGATCATGAGGTTGCATCAATTCATTTATAGTTTTAGGCTCCACATGTAATTCTAGTTCTCTTAATATTTTTTACCATATCTGCAGTTAAATCCTCCACGGAAGTCTCCCAAACTCCTGTTAATGTTGTTATTTTGACCTCTTCCCATGAATCACAGATGTTCTCTTTTTTTAAATAAGGAATGCTTCATGAATTTGCATGTTCTCCTCATGCAAGAGCCATGTTCATCTTCTCTGTATTGTTCCAATTTTAGTGTGCATACTGCTGAAGTGAGCATGAATCCTGAATGTTCTTAATGGTATCTGGAATGGTGAATCCTTTCTGGAAGGTTTTCAGTTTACTTTGCCCTGATCTATCAGAAGGATCACTATATAGCAGCTATATGAAATGTTAAATAGTAAACTTGAAAATAGAAAGTACTCCTTGATCCATGGCCTACAGAATGGATGTTGGGTCAGCAGGCATATAAACAACATTCATCTCATTATTGCATCCTTGTCAGAGCTCTTGGGTGGCTAGGTGCACTGTCCATAAGCAGTAATATTTTGAAAGGAATCTTTTTTTTTCTGAGCAGTAGGTCTCAACAATGGACTTAAAATATTCAGTAAACCATGTTGTAAACAGATGTGCTGGCATCTGGACATTGTTCCATTTACAAAGTACAGGCAGAATAGATTTGGCATAGTTCTTAAGAGCCCTGGGATTTTCAGAATAGTAAGCAAGCATCGGCTTCAGTTTCAAGTCACAGCTGCATAAGGCCTAACAAGAGGATCAGCCTGTCCTTTGAAGCCAGGCATTGACTTCTCTTGAGCTGCAAAAGTCATACATAGATGGCATCTTCCTTCAGTATGAGGTTGTTTTATCTGCATTGAAAATCTTCCTTAATTATCTTTAGGATAACTTGGTGCAGCTTCTATGCAAGCACTCAGTGCTTCACCTTGGGCTTGGTTTTATGGAGACTGCTTTCCTCAAACCTCATGAGCCAACCTCACCCAGCTTCAAATTTGTTTTCAGCAGCTTGCTCACTCTGTCAGCCATCACAGATGTGAGGAGAGGCAGGGCCTGCCCCTGGATTAGGCTTTGGTGTAAGGTAATGGTGTGGCTGGGTCGATCTTCTGTCTAGTCCACTACAGCTTTCTCCATATCAGCAGTAAGGCTGTTTCTCCTTCTTATTCCTGTGTTCCCAGGAGTAGCACTTTTTACTTCCTTCATGGGTATTTCCTTTGCATTCACAGCTTGGCCAACTGTTTGGTGCAAGAGGCCTCCCTAGCTTTTGGTGTATCTTTGCTTTCAACATGCTTCCCTCACTAAGCTTGACATTTGTAGCTTTTGAATTAAAGTGAAAGGTGGGTGTCTCTATCATTGGAACCCTTAGAGGCCATTGTAGGGTTATTAATTGGCTTAATTTCAATACTGTTGTGTCTCAGGGACTAGGGAGGTTTGTGAGGAACAGCTGGTTGGTGGAATGGTCAGAACACACACAACATTTACCCATTAAATTCACCATCTTACATGGGTGTGGTTCCTTGTGCCCCCAAACAATTACAATAGTAACATCAAAGATCCCTGATCACAGATCACCCTAACAAACATAACAGTAACAATAAGTCTGAAGTATTGCAAGAATTACCAAAATGTGACACACGGACACAGAGTGAGCAAATGCTATTGGAAAAATGGTGCTGATAGACTGTTCAATGCAGGGTTTCCACAAACCTTCAATTTATTAAAAAGAAAAACAGTATCTGTGAAATGTTATAAAGTGAAGCACAATAAAATGAAGAATATGCTTGTATTTTGTTCAGATGAGGATTGATTTACTGACACTAAATCACCAGTTTATATTAGGGTTTTTTTTTTTTTAAGATTTATTTACTTTTAGAGAGAAGGGAAGGGAGGGAGAAAGAGAGGTGGAGAAACATTAGTGTGTAAGAGGTATCGGTTACCTCTCACAAGGCAAAGGACCTGGCCTGCAACCCCAGGCATGTGCCCTGACTGGGAACCTAACTGGTGACCTTTAAGTTCACAGGCTGGCTGGACTCTGTCTTGTCTTGTCTTGGGATCACAGCCTTGTGCTGCCTGATTTCCAGTGTTCGAGAGCCCTTGTTTCCTTTATTTTTAAGCCATTGTTAATAGTAGTTTCTAGTGGAAGGGCAGTTCCTGTAGCACTTAAGCCTTCATAGGTTGAACCTACTTTAATATTTGAATAGTGATTGCATTATGCCAAATAGAAGCAGTTACCATTCAGATGATATTTGCCAAGCTACGTTTAAATGTTTTGTGCTGTGAAAGAAAAGGTATATAAAGTTAGGGTTTTGGGGGAGAAGTAGGGGATTAGAGTTCTTTTCTACTGTTTTCCCTTTGGTTCCATGTGTTCATAGGATTTTTATGATATGCCCACTGCTAATTAAAACCTCTATTGTTTTAGATTGGAGCTTCATTTCTTCTTAGCTCATTTTTTGATAGTAATAAAAAATTTTAGCCCTGGCTGGTGTAGCTCAGTGGATTGAGCACAGGTCTGTGAACCAAGGAGTTGCCGGTTCGATTCCCAGTAGGGACACATGCCTGGGTTGCAGGCCAGGTCCCCAGTTGCGGGTGTCTGAGAGGCAACCACACATTGATGTTTCTCTCCCTTTTCCTTCCCTTCCCATCTTTCTAAAAATAAATAAATAAGATCTTTAAAAACTTTTTTTAATGATACTAAGATTTAAAAAAATTTAATGATATTAAGATATTTAGTGATACTAAGTTAATCTACTGACAGTTAATGACATTCAGCTTTTGTGAGTTTCTCATTGATTTCCATAGTAAAATGGAAGTCTTAATCAGTGAACTATGACTATGAGGGAATTAACTTAGTAGGATGTATTTTTTTTGTTGGTACAGAAAATGACATTTTTTCAGTTTCTGGATCTGTTATATGAAAGTGAGTTAAATCTTTGAATTCCTTTTGCTTAATTGGCTACTAATTTCAGTTAGGGTTTTGCTTAAAAGTTGGTGAGGCGCTGGTCTGTCCTATATATTATGTTCAAAGAAGATGCATTTTGTGGTGGAAGGGCTATGTAAGGAATTTTTTGCACTAAAATGTTAATGTTTCGATGAATTTCCAGATCCACACTGTTGACGGAGAGACCCTGTTCTTCTTGCTGACTCATGTAAAGAATTACAGATCAGCAAATCTGTTAGCGTGTAATCAGTTTATTAGTGGCCCGGTCCCAGAGAAGAGAACGGGACTGGGTAGAGTGGGGGTGAAAGACAGAGTTTCAGGGCAAAGCAGGGCGACATAAGCAAGAGTGGCTGAAGACCAGGTGGCCAGCCCCCGGGCAGCCTGAGGCCGGGTGGCCAGAGGCCCATTGGCGAGGGAGCCAAGAGTGTCAAGAGCGCCCCAAGCCCCCGGGAGAGAGTTCTTTGTTCTGAGGACTTGCTGGTGGGGTAGGAGAAAAAAAGTTACATGTTGATTAACAGTAAATGTGGTGCCAGCTTTCCTGGGGGAATGTGACTACCCAAACTAGGTATGCGAGGGGGTCTGTTCTCCCAAATCCTTATCTTGCTCCAGACTCCATTTGTTCATCTTGCTGTAAAACAAATACGTGACAGGAGGCAGTTAATTAAAATTGGGGCACTTTTCAAAGTTATTTATGGGCTCTTTCTGTAAGCATCAGGGACTCCCTCGGAAAACAGATAGTGACCAGAGGTAGACAGTTAACCAAGGTTGTTTTATGGTCTCCTTCTTTGGGCACCAGGGACCCTCTCCCACATTCCAGGCCTTGGGAGGAAAGCACAGTGTCCAGGCTTTCTCTCCCAGATAGTGGAAATGCTACAAGAATTTCAAGGACTTCCCTTCTTTCTTGTTAACATAGTGTCTCTTGTGATGTTGAAACACCTGGCAATATTATTGGACTCAGGACTGCTGAGTTAGCATGTGAGACATGTCATCTTGCTCCCTGCCTCGGTTTACTGTTAAGTCTACCTAAGCGGTAAAAGGTGTTTCCTGGCATCCAGGATGCTGGCCAGTAGCAGTGCAGTCTCAGAGTTCTTCCTGTGCTGTCTCCTGCCTCACAACTACTGAACACTTTTTACTTGTTAACACTCATTCTGAACCTATCAAATATCTCTGAAAATGTATTATTTGAAAAATGAAGAAAAGACACTTCAAAAAATCTGATTTTGTACTTGAAGTAAGAATTATGGGTACTGGCTATGCTAAAAGCGTATCTCAGGGGGTGGGGGAGAAACTTAAACTGAGTGGGAGAGGCTTGTATAGATGCCTCCTGCAAAGGCCCCTGTTCTCTCAGGATGCTTGGAGTGGGAGGAGAGCCAGAGTTACATAGTTTGCTGAAGGTCAGAGATATACTCCCCCTTAAAAATTTTTTTTAAAACAGTGGAGAAGAATTGCCACTGCTTTTTCTCCCTCCTAAATCATTCATTGTTGCTGTGTTCTAGTGAGAGGGACCTTCGGCAATAAGATTTTACTTTTAATGAGCCATATTTTGTATAAATGAGGGGTGTAGGTTAGTGTGAACTAGCAAAATAAAATTTTCACTGAACTGTGCTTTCATGTGCTCACTTACTGGGGTTTCAAAGACTCTACTGAGGTTTCTGTGGCATTTATTATTTTCTGAAAGAAATGTTTTTTGTCTGACTTAGTTATGAATGTATAGGATATCTTTTTTTTTAAAGCAGGAACTCTGACAGTTGCTAACATAATTTTAATTGTAGCCTACTGGAAGTTTTTTTTTTCTGTTTATGTATGGATTATGATTTTATCTTCATTCTTTGAATTTGCAGGTGATGGAGAGGTAATTGAACAAATTATAAGCCTACAAACGAATGATAGTGGGGAAGGAAGCCCAGAGTCCAGTGTTCTTGATGGAATGATAAGACAGCTGCAACAGCAGCAGGATCAGAGAATGGGAGCTGGTCAGGATACCAGTCCCAATGCACTTCCACATGGGGGAGAAACACCACGAAGAGGTAATAAATGTGTGAGATGTGTTTTCCCATAATATGGCTGGATTGAAATGGAAGAGTAAATGAAGTCATTGTCAATTACATGTGAAAAGAAAAACTAAGCAGTGTTTTTTATAATTTAAGTATTAGTTTGGATAGCTTTTTAGATGTAGAGTTGATATGCGGACAAATGGACATTTGATTTTCAAGTACTATGAAAGGTTTTATAAAGGAAAACTACAATTCTAGGTTTTCCTTACTTTATAAACACTTACAATTTTTTGCAAAACTGAATTTAATTGGGCCCCAGCTGGTGTGGCTCAGTTGGTTGGAGCGTCCTCTCATAACAGAAAGGTTTTGGGTTTATATCCCGGTCAGGGCACATACCTAGATTGTGGGTTTAATCCCTGGTCTGGGTGCAGGCATGTGCAACCCCTGGATGCAAACGATTCCCAGTCTGGGGGCCAAACCGGTCACTGCACCAATCCCCATTCAGGAAGGGCAGCAACTAATCAGTGCTTCTCTCATCGATGTTTCTCTCCCTTCCTCTGTCTTTGAAGGCAATTTAAAAAATGTCCTTGGGTGAGGAATTAAGGAAAACTGAATTGGGTAGAGCACTGGTTGTGTTTTTTGAATCAGAAGGCTTGAAGTGAATTTTCAGGGCCAAGTACTTGATATTGAAATATAGTAGTAATTGTATTAGTAGTGGAAATGATCTGGAGGAGGCTGGTAATTGTTATGTAAATGAAAAGTCATTCTTGGAAAGATAAATGTGGAAGATTAGAGAAGCTTTGAGAAATGTCTCAAATGCCGTAAAATCCCAACAGTGCCACAAAGGTAATATTGGTCATACCATACCTGCGTGACCACTTGACCGTGAATTTCAATACCTTCTTTTTTGGCCAGTCTTTCTACTTGTCTGTTGGTGAATTTGCTTTTTTTATGTAGACTCTTTTAATTTTTATTTAGTAATGGCAAAATAATTCATTTCAAAGAAAACAAATTAATTTATAGGTAGTAAAGGTATGCTTTTGTTTGTAGACAGTAACTTTAAAATATATTTGCGAAGTTTACTCTATTTCCTGTGTTTCTATTATTCAGTGCTGTCCTCTGGACAGTTTCTTCACATCTGTCTCTGCCCTGTCACTCTCGATCTCTTACATCTGATCCGCCACGTCTTCAGATTTTTATTTGCAGTGGCTATTAAGTCTAGAAGTTCTGTTGATTCTCTTTAAAACCTTACTTTAAATTCAGTGACTTTTGCTTTAAATTTTACTTTTTTAATGTCTTTAATTGTTTTGGATCCTAGCTGCTCAGAATTGGGTCTGTCAATCCTTTGTTTATGACCTACCTACTCTTACTAGTTGTTTACACAAGGTTCTCTTTTATTTGTTTTAAATCATGTTGATAACCTACGTCTATTTATGTGGTCCTCCTTGTTTTCCCTCTCCCAAGATAGCAGTTACATTTCAAATCTCATTTTGGTCCTTTCTTTGCCTTTTTCAGAGTACATTAAAAATACATTCATATATGTATTACTAGAAAGCATTTGTTTTCAAACTTTATAAAAAGATTATTAGGTTGATTTGAGACTTCCTTTTTTCACATGATATTATAACTTCAGATTGCTCCACTGGCGGCACAGCAGGTTCAGTTTGACAGTTGTGTGTTACTCCTTGTATAACTGTATCTAATTTTATTTATTCATTCTCTTGGGCTTTTGAGTAGTTTTGACATGTTGCTAATCATGAAGAAATAATATTAATAGTCCTGTATGGGTCTTGTTTGCATTTGATTTTCTTTTAAATATTAATCTTAGAGTGAAATTGTTGGGTATAGATATATTATGCCAAACTCTCATCCACAGTGGTTGTATGATATATATAAAGGGTGCTATTGATTAATTTCACTGATATTTGGTGGGTTTCTTGATTTTTGCCATTCAAATGGGTGTCAAATGATAATGCAAATCATAATTTGAAATTAAAAAAATTCACTAATGAAGTTGAGTATTTTTTTGGCCATATTTTTTTCCTTATAAGTTATTTTATAGCATATATTTCTTATTGTCTGAAGTTTTTTGGATAGCCTAATTCTATATTGTCATGTATCTGTATTATTATATATTGCTATGTATTATTTTGGATTTTGAGTTCATCCCTAGTAGGGAATTGTCAGTGGGAGTGATGAAGGCTTTTTATTCCAGAATGGTTTAAATGATTCTGTAAGTCACCCAGGTTTATCACTAACCACTAGGCCCTTTTTTTCAGTAAAATATATGTTTAATCTATGATCTTAACCCATTTCAGAAGTCTTGTAAAACATCGAATTAAATATCTGACAGATTACCTTTACTGATAAGAACAGAATGATGTAAAAATCAGGCTACCCCAAAGACAGGGTAATCTTGGTGGAAGATGGCATTGAAATGTGCAGGTTCTACCAGGACCAGTTTGTACTTTGACTTCCCATCTTCGTGGGGTTTGGATCATTGGGCTTTTTGGGGGAATTGGCCTTGGAGGGATCTATTCCTCATTTATAGATGTGCACCTGGCATAGGACTGAGGCCTTATTTCTGATGGTTCTGAAGGATGGTTGTTCTATGGTTTAGTTATAATTTTGATGTTATGCAAGGAGGTGAGCCATGTTTACCTATGCCTCCATCTTGATGGGAAGTTCTAGAATTTGTTTTTAGTTTTCCATTCAATTTTTTTCTTTTTCTTTTTTTAAAGATTTTATTTATTTATTTTTAGAGGGGAAGGGAAGGAAAGAGGGAGAGAGAAATATCAATGTGTGGTTGCCTCTTGTGTGTCCCCTGCTGGGAACTGGCCTACAACCCAGGTGTGTGCCCTGACTAGGAATCGAACCACGATCCCTTGGTTCGATTTTATCTTAAACATCAAGTACATCTTAATATAAATGTTTAATGCCATTTTTAGTAGTTTAGCCAGTTTGATGTAGAATGGTTCATTTGATTGGTAAACAGAATGCTGTGCATAGAAGAATGCAGAAGTTATTTTACTCATGTGGGTTTTACCCTAGGCCAGGAGAACTAGCATAGCTCGAGTAGAATTTTATAGCCTCTAGCAGGAAAGCATATAGCCCCCTAATTTCTCTGTTGCATTTGTAGCAGGAGCCCTTTCCCGTGTTTTAAGAAAACAAACACTTGTCTAGGACTCCCTTCTCCCTTAGATAGGTCTCTGTGTTCTATGACTTGCACCTCCTGGGAGGTTGCCTTGCTTCTAGTGCTCACCTGATCAGCTCTGCACAGGCTCAGAGCTCACCGTTGTCTGCGTTGCCCCGTCACCCACTTGCCCAGCTTCAATTCTCAGTGCTGCCAGCGTTTCCTCCACTTGGCAGTTTTGTGGATTTTTAATACCCGCTCTGGCTGCTGTTTGCCTGAGTGGCTTGGATTATCTCTTGAGGTTGCAGTTAATGTTGTTAGAGCTCTTGTTATAAAGCCACTGCAGTTTGAGGAGTTTATCTTCAATGCTAATTTTTCCAAAAAGGTGTGTTTTTAATGTGCACTTCTGAAGACAAAATTTTTAGGAATCCAAATACAATGTAATAGACAATGCCTGTACTTTTAAAAATTTCAGAAAGTCTGGTAAAAATGGAAATTGAGGTTAGTAGTTAATGTTTGTTCTCTAGTCTACATTTTGATCTCAGTCATATGAAGATTTTTTTTCCCAGACTTTTTTCTGTAGATTTTTATTTTTGGTTTGTGTTTCAGAAGGATGTATATGCTTATTACATGTTAAATGCATATAGATTGAACTTTGTTTCAGAATCATTTCTTGATAATTTTTTCCTAGGTTTCAGAAGACTAAGCTTAGACATCCAGTCCCCTCCAAATATTGGTCTGCGTCGCAGTGGACAAGTTGAAGGTGTCCGTCAGATGCACCAGAATGCTCCCCGTAGTCAGATTGCTACAGAGCGCGACCTGCAGGCCTGGAAGCGAAGAGTGGTTGTACCAGAGGTACCACTAGGCATATTTAGGTTTGTTTTAGGATATCTATTTACATTGTTTTTAATCTGTGAAAATATATCTATATGATTATTTACATATCTTAATCCATTCGTGGTACAAATAATCATATAAATATATTTTAGTAATAGCTTGGAGTCTTTTAATTGTGGCAAGAAAATGTCAAACTTGTTCTCTCTTTGGTAAATTTTTTTTTTAAACTTTAAATTTAGTTGATCATTTTTTAAGATTTATTTATTTATCTTTAGAAGGGAAGGGAAGGAGAGAGGGAGAGAAATATCAATGTATGGTTGCTTCTCATGAGTTCCCCTGCTGGGAACTGGCCTGCAACCCAGGCATGTGCCCTGACTGGGATTCGAACCGTGATCCTTTGGTTTCTAGGCTCATGCTCAATCCACTGAGCTACACCAACCAGGGCTTACTTTGGTAAATTTTTTTATAACCAATCTTGTTTCATCTACATCATTTTGTCCAAAGTATGTGAATATATATTTTAAATGATGAGGGATTATCCTAAAATATAACTATAATGCCATTATTATATTTTATAAAAAATAATTTTCAATAAAACTGTATCTTAGTGTTTCGGTTTCAGATTGTCTCATGTCATAAATGTTTTTAGTTCTTTTGTAAGACTTCATTTGTACAATAGCAATAATTTTGTCAGAAAGCGCTTAAAAATCTATATTTTTCGTGATTCTACCAGGCATTGGTGCTCATTGCTTAGACTCATTATTTCATTAGGGATTATAAAAATAGTGGTATTACAACTCTATCAAGTCTTCATTTATTACTTGGGATATTTCTAAAAAAGAAATTTTCCCAAGTCTAATATTTGATAATTCAGTAGTATAGTTTGTATATAGAAGACAGGATAGATGCTTGATTACTTGCTGTGTTTGCCTTCAAAATGAAGATTTATTCTTTGTTATCTTTCAGTAATGACCTGATTTGTGTTTGTTTGTGTTTTTCACTGTATAAATCATACTGCTGTGATTTAGCTTATTCTGATACTCCTTATTGATATTTAAACTTTCCTTTATCTGACCCGGGTCTCTTCATATTGGCTTCTGAGTCCTTTTGAAATGATTGTAAGTAGCCTTCCATTCTGTTCTTGCTGTCAGGCATGGCAAAATGTCATAGGTTTGTCTTGTGAATTTCTTGATCTAGACCTGCAATTAGTCTTTTCTCTTAAGCAGCCCCGTTTTCTCCTGGTGGGAAATAATGTTTCATAATTATAGTCCAGGCAGTAGGTTCTTTCTGGTACTGAGTTGTTGAAATAGAGGCAGCAAGTACTGTTTTTCATTAATATCTAAAATCTTCCAGTATTTTGTCATATTTGTCTCATAATAATGAATACTTTGAAGATAATTTTGAAAAAGTGTTTTCTTCATGTGTTTATTAGCAAAAGTTTTAGTGATTGGTAGAATAATATTGCATAATACTTATAAATTATACAGTGAATTTGAGGTACTTGAAGTACATTAACAAAATAGTGAAAAGCAAAATCTGGTATCGGGATGAGAAATACAGCAAATCATCATCGTTTATGTAGAGTGCTGTAATCGAGCCTTACAATTGTGTCTGAGCTGTATGGTTATTAGAATGGGAAGTGTCACTTCCGGATACTTTTTGTTGTCAAAACCATGGGGAAGTAAACAGGTATCAGGAGTGAAAGACCTGAAGAGTTAGTCCTTGAAACATTGAACAAGCATTTGTTCTCTTAACATAAAGGAAGACTAGAAATAGCTTAAGGCTGGAATCATGGTTCTAGTTTATTAGTTCCTTTGTTTCTGATCTCCGTTTTAGAGTATGGCTTTTAATCCTTAGGTCAACTCAGAGTCCAAGGTAGCATTTGTGCTGTGGACGCTGGGGTTTAGACCAGAAGAAGGAAGAAGAGAAACAGAAAACAAATTCCTTTATTTGAGCAGCCTTGAACCCACATGACATTTCTGCTTATAACTCATTGAGCAGAATGTCGTCATATGGCCATACTAAGCCACAGAAGAGGCTAAGTAATAGTTTCCATTTAGGGCAATGAAGAGCCTAGATAAAAATTGAGATCGTTTCTAAGCAAGAAAGGGAAAATGGATTTTGAGAGTCAGCTGTCGGCTACAAAATAATTTTTTTGAAGAAGAGCATTGCTCTTTTTACTACTGTATTCTAGCTCATACATTGTGAGTTTATGAAGGAGATGCTGAGTGATAGAATAGTGGTCAGTGCCCTTGACAACAGCTCGAATAGTGGAGAGCAATGGCAAATTTCATGTGGTATTAGAGTGTCATTTGATAAGGATCAAGAGAAACTAAAACTTTGTTTTCTGCCTATAAAAGCAGTTTGTATCCATACTGAAGAATTTAGGTAATAGATAAAAGTGAGAAGATAGATAACCTTTTTGTGCAGAAAGATGAGCACACTGTGTTGTTTCCTAGTAGAGAAATTCTGTTTGGGGCTGTCATTCAGGTGTATTGTTTGTCTTTATCCAATAATGGTAGAAATTCTGTTTATTCTAAAATCTTCTGTAATATCACTTCATAGCTGAGTGATACTAGCAATTCATTAGGCTTATAATTGTACTCACAGGTGATACTTTTGAAGCCTAGATTGTTCCTTTATTTTATCATTGATTGAGAATGAATGGTATGTAGTGTTTTGTCAAAACGGATATGTGGTAGGGGTTTCATTTGGCTGCAAGTGAGAAACCTCATATAATTTCTTAAATGCACATAAAAGGGGTGAAATTGACAACTTTGAAGGGTTGAGTCTAATTTAGAATTTCCCTGTGGATAGAATAATGTTTCACTGTAATTTGGGCATGGGCTGCAAATGAAGCTTGAGAAAAAGGTGATTTCCTTAGAAATCAGTTTTTGCCCTTACAGCATTTGTGCTTGTACTCATCTGAGTGTCCAGTTATATCTTGGAGCATGGCCAGGTTTTGAGTCTTTTTCTGGTGAGGTTTTAAAAAAGTGAACAAAAACAAAGCTGTATGTTTTTCATAATGTTCAGATTGGGGAATGAGGACATTCATTTATTCTCTTAACCATAGAGAAGGAAAATTACAATAATCAATACCTTCCTCATAGTGGAAGGTCCCTTGCTTTGAAATTGGTCACAGTAACATCTTTTATATCATGTAAGTAAAATATAGGTGATTAGAAGAAGTACTAACATTGCTATTCTGGTTTTCTACAAATTATAAAACATTCATTTTGAGTAGTTTGGAGGAGGATTCTGCTCCTACCCGTTTGTTAGAGAAAGGCATTGCAATCTTGGAAAATTACAGGATCATTCTGAGTAGCTAATTTGAGAGATCCTGTTAGAGTTGGTCCTACTCTAGCCAATCAAAATGCAAATAACCATTTCTGTGTAAAATATGAAAAATAGGCCTTCCTAGCTACTACTGAGATTTTATTTTTATTCACATTAAATTTCTAACCTAAAATACAACTTGACTTAAGTCATGCTATAACTTTAAGTATTTCCTATATTAACTTAAAAGTATATAAGCTTATGATTTCTAGAATCATAGTGATTACTTTTCCCTGTTGCTATCCTCTACTTATCCATCAGTTTGGTAACAATATAACTGGATAACTAACTTTGTAGGAATTTGGAAGACTTCAGAATAGAGAAAGGTGAAGAGGAAAGAAATCTTTATGTAATTGGGAGAAAAAAGAAGACCCTTCAGCTCTCACAGAAGGTAATCTAAATTCTATTTTTCTTAAGAATGAGTAAATTAGAAATAAAACTGGAATTTATGGTTTTCTTTTCAGTGAGAACATTAGTAATTTTCACCTGAAGGAAAATAATATATCTTGCTTAAAGCCTTCTGTTTGGGATTTAAAATTGTAGACATAAGGTTGTACAGCTGTTAGGAAAGAGTAATAATTTGAACAGTTAAGGAAAGTAGCCTAATACCTAACAGGTCTAATGGATTCTAGAAAATTATTGCCTAATGACCACTCAGGTCAAGAACTAGAACATTACCAGCCCTTTAAAAGCATTTTGTGTCCATTTCCAATCACTACATTCTCCTTTCTCCCACAGGTAACCAATTGTTTTACTTCTAAACTGTTAGCTTTGTCTGCTTCTGAAATTTATCCAAATCATGCATTTACAAATATTTTTAGATGTTACAATGGTTGGTAATCCTTGAAACTCAAGAAAATCTTATTCCTCAGCATTTAATTTTTTGTTTAGAGTTTCTTGCCATGAACAGCATTAACATTGAGTTCATAGAAGATACACAAAATGTAAGATTAGTGCTACCAAACTGGTGAAAAATACTTGTGTATCTGCAGCATTTTCTCAGAATTCGTTTTAGTGTTTGGGATTATTGTCTAATTGTTCATAGCCTTGTTAGGTATATAATGCCCTCAAACTGATTAAAAAAAAATGTATTTTGACACATTGCTTGTTCTTCTGAGTAGTAATGTTCTTAGGGTTTGTGTATTTCATTTTTATTTTTTAATAGTTTATTTTTTATTGTATTTTCTCCCTTACCATTTATCCCTCTTATATCTTCTTCTACCTCCATCAAACCCCTTCACCCCTCAAATCACCACACTGTTGTTCAAGTCCATAACTTCTTTTTCCTTTTGACCCAACTGTTTTTTATATATTACCAGTTATGACACTCATGAGTTTTTGCCTTAACAAAAATTAGTACTGACAAATTTATGAAAACATTATTGATTTTGGAATCAGCCAGCGATACATTGAAATGTTAGTACACAGTACTGATTATCAAACAAAAGACACTAATATACCCTTATTGAGTGATTTCACATATGACTTTGGGGTTTGAGGAATATAGGTTGCCCCTCAAACCTTTAAAATATATTCTGTTTTATTTGGCTGAATTTTAAAGTTTAATTATTTTGTTTTGATAAAAATATATTTTCTATGGGTGGGAGTGGTGGGGGAAAATGGAGACAGTTGTACTTGAGCAATAATAGAAAGAAAAAAATACGATATTTTCAAAATTCAAGCAGAATTTAAAAGTATTGACAACAAAGCATCCAAAAAATTAAAACCTGGAAATAACTAAGGTTAATATTTGAGGATAATTTCAGATATTTCTCTATACCTGTATATATACACAGAATGATACATTTCTCAAGGTTGGTTATGCCTCATAATACGTATTTTCACTTCTAAGATATATATTTCTAAAATGATGAACTTGGGTTATTATGTCATTCATGGTGAACCAGTTAACTGACAGCTTTATTTGAAAAATGCTAATCTGATGTGCCTAATATAGCTATGTCTTCCAAGTATCTTAAAACTACCAAGGTTGATTTAACAGCATATGGCAAAAATAAAATCTATTAAAGAATATTCTATTTTTTCAACTATTATTATTTTTTTTGCCTTAAATTTTGAATGCCCTTTTTGCTGAAGATTGTACTTACTTATTTTGGTGTTGATTTCATCTGCCTGTTTCTTCACGTTGCAGTCTGACTCGGTGGTTTCGATGTCACAGTCCAGGCAGAGGACATGTAGACGCAAATACTCAAATTATGGTAGAAGAAATGTTGCACGGAATGAGTTATCTTCTGGAAATGAGTCTTCAAGCTCTATAAGACATGTGAGTTTTAACTGTAAATTATATAAAATAATCTTAAATAATTTCTCTTACTTTGACTCTACCCTGAAATTATGTGAAAATATTACTATTCTTTTTTTCTTTAAAGATTTTATTTATTTATCTTTAGAGGGAAAGGGAAGGAGAGAGAAAGAGAAATATCAGTATAAGGTTGCCTCTTGTGTGTCTCCTGCCAGGAACTGGCCTGCAACCCAGGCATGTGCCCCGACTGGGAATCAAACCATGATCCTCTGATTCACAGGCCCGTGCTCAATCCACTGAGCTATACGAGCCAGGGCTTTTTTCTTCATTTTTAAGAATTTATTATTTTTATTTTTTTCAAAAATTTTATTTATTTATTAGAAAGAGGGGACAGAAGAAAGAGTGGGAGAGAAACATCAATGTGTGGTTGCCTCTCATGTGTCCCTTACTAGGGACCTGGCCCGCAACCTAGGCATGTGCCCTGACTAGGAATCAAACAGGTGACCCTTTGCTTCACAGGCCCATGCTTAATCCACTGAGCTACACCAGCCAGGGCAAGAATTTATGTATTTTTAGAGAGAGTGGAAGGGAGTAGGAAAGAGAGGGAGAAAAACATCAATGTTTGTATGCTTCTCCCATACCCCATATTGGGGACCTGGCCTGTAACCTAGGCATGTGCTCTGACTGGGAATCAAACCAGTGATCCTTTGGTTTACAGGCTGGCACTCAGTCCACTGAGCCACACCGTCCAGGGCTGACAATACACTATTCTGTAGAGATTAAGATAAAATTTCACATTTTGAATTAAAAAAATTATGCACAGCTTTGTTGGGATACTCACTATACTAGTGTACCATCCAGTAGTTTTTGTATATTAACACAACAGTGCCATTATCACCACTATTTAATTTCAGAATACTTTTATTACCTCTAAAAAGAAACCTTGCACTCTTTATTCCCATCACCCCCCAGCCCCTGGCAACCACCAATCTACTTTCTGCCTCTGTAAATTTTCCTATTCTGGACATTGCATATCAATGGAATAATATATGATTTTGTGACTGGATTTTTCACTTACTGTAACATTTTCAGCGTTGATTCATGTGTAGCATGTATGAATACTTGATTCTTTTTCATTGTCTAATATGTGAACAGAGCACATTTTCTTTATTCACTCATCTGCTGAGGGACATTTGTATTGTTTCCACTTTTGGCTGTTAATGAACAATGCTTCTTACTAACATTCATGTGTGGGTTTTTCTTTGAACATAGCTTTCAGTTCATTTTAGTATTTATCCTGTGTTTAAACCTATTGAGGAATTTCCAGACTCTTTTCCTATATGGCTGCATATTTTATATTCCATCAGTATTGTATGAGGGTTCTGGTTTTTCTACATCTTTGCTAACACTTGTTATTGTCTGTCCTGATTTTAGCTATCTTAGTGTGAAGTGGTATTTCATTGAGGTTTTGATTTGCATTTCCCTAATAACTGATGATGTTGAACATGTTTTCATGTGCTTATTTTCCGTTTGTATATCTTTTGAAAAATTTCTGTGCAAATCTGTTGCTCTTTTGTTAGTTTGGTTATTTTTAATTGCTGTAAATGTTCTTTTGATATTCTGGATACAAGTCCTTTATTGGGTACATGACTTGCAAATATTTTGTCTCATTTAGCAGGTTGTCTTTTCACTTTGATGGTTTCCTTTGAAGTGCAAAAGTTTGACATTTGATGGAGTTCAGTTTATTTTTCCCTTACTGCTTTTACTGTTGTATCTAACCTCTTTCTTTGACTTTCAGTAACTATATGTTAGTCACTGGTCTTCATTTTGATTTTCTTGGGAATCCAATATTTCTGGTAAAGCATATTTAAAAATTAACAATAGAATCTTAATATTTTATAATTAATATTTTGATGAATGAAATGTTCCATATGGATGAATAATTTATTTTACTACTTTATAAAGCATTAGGATAATAGTGAACGTACTGGATTCTAGTTTAAACCCAAATTCTTTCATTTTGATACCTTGTTTAACCTTTCTGTACCACTGCCATGTCTGTGAAAGTAACTGGTAATAGGATGTCCTCAGAGGTGTTGTGAGAATTGATTTATGTAAAGTGCTTAAAACAGTGCCTAATATCCAGTAATGTTACCTGCTGTTATCATCAGAGCTGTTCATTTAAATGATTTATTTGACCTTTTTCTATCACCCTTTATTCCTTCATACCCTCTTCCACCTCCACCCACTCTCCTTTCCCGCTGCTGCCATAGCCACACTGTTGTCCATGTCCCTGAGTTCTTTCTTTTTTTAAATCTTTTGCTCAATCCCTTACCCCCAACCCTCCCATTAAATGGTCTTGTTTTAGGTACTGAGACTATTTCATCATTTTATTGACGTCAAAAGATATTTCATGTTCTAGAGCAGTTAATAGGATTTACAGAAAAATTGCGAACACAGTAAGAACGTCAGGTTCTCATGTACTCCCTTGCTCCCTGCACATGGACTTGAATTACTGTGGTATCTGTGCTGCAGCTGATGAACCAAACCAATTTTTGTGTGGTCATGAACTCAATTCCATAATTTACTTTAGGGAGCAGTCTGTTGTGCAATTCTGTGGGTTTTGACAAAGGTATAATGTTACGTATCTATCAGAAGAGTATTATACAGAAAAGTTTCACTGCCCTGAAGCCCCCCTGTGCTGTATACCAGGTCATACCATCCTCCCTCCTGAGGCACTTGTAACTCCTGATCTTTTATTTATTTATTTTTCATCTTAAATTCATTATTTATTGTTTCACGTTTCACTATGTCCCTTTTTAAAAAACTTTCTTTGATCATCTTTTTTATTGTTGTCCCAATACAGTTGTCTTCATTCTCCTACCACCACTTTCTCCTGCCTCCCTCATCCTGGCCTCCCACCCTCAATCCTTCCCCACTTTGGCTTTGTCCATGGGTCCTTTATACATGTTCCTTGATGGCCCTTCCCCTTCCTCCCACCTCCCCTCTGGTTACTGTCAGTGGTCTTTATTTCAATGTCTCTGGTTATATTTTGCTTGCTTGTTTGTTTTGTTGTTTAGGTTCCACTTACAGGTGAGATCATATAGTATTTGTCTTTCATCTCCTGTCTTATATCACTTAGCATAATGCTCTCCAGTTCCATCCATGCTGTCGAGAAGGGTAGGAGCTCTCTCTTTCTTTCTGCTACGTAGTATTCCATTGTGTAAATGTACCATAGTTTTTTGATCCACTCATTTACTGATGGGCACCTAGGTTCCTTTCAGCACTTGGCTATTGTAAATAGCGCTGCTATGAACATTGGACTGCATAGGTTCTTTTAAGTGATCTTTTAACTATTTCCATAGTTTTTTGACTTTTCAGGAATGTCACGAAGTTGGATTATACAATATATAGCCTTTCCAGGTTAGCTACTTTTTAATAATAAGACTTTGTTTCCTCTATGTCTTTTCATCACTCCATAGCTCATTTCTTTTTCATGTTAAAACTCTTGTCTGGATTTAACAGTTTATTTATCTATTCGTCTAGTGTTGGACATACTGGCTGCTTCCAAGTTTTGACAGTTATGAATAAAATTGCTGTAAACATCCATGTGCAGCCCTGACTGGGTAGCTCAGTTGGTTGGAGTATCATGCCAATATGCCAGGGTTGTAAGGTTCAGTCCCCACTCAGGATATGTGCAAGAATCAACCAGTGAATGCATGTATGGGTGGAACAACAAATTGATGTTTCCCTCTTCTTCTCTCCCCTCCCTCTATTTCTCTTCCCTCTGCCTCCTTCTTACTTTTCTTTCTTCCTCTTTCTAAAATTAATTTTTAAAAATTTGTGTGCAGGTTATCGTGTGGACATAATTTTTCAGTATATTTGGGAAATACCAAAGAGCATGATTATTGGATCAGATAGTATAACCAGGGGTGTCAAATTCATTTTCACTGGTGGCCACATCAGCCTCACAGTTGCCTTCAAAGGGTAGAATGTAATTTTAGGACAGTATAAATGTGACTACTCTTTAACCTAGGGGTAAGGAGCTTGATGCTGCCGCTGGGTAGAAACAAGGTGCCAGGCTGGATAAAACAAGGTGGAGGGCCGGATTCGGACTGTGGGCCTTGTGTTTGCCACCTGTGCTAAGCCTATGTTTAGATTTATACAAAACTGCCAAACTGTCCTCCAAAGTGTCTGCACTAGTTTGCATTCCCATCAGCAGTAAATGAGAGTGGGTGAAATGGGTGAAAGGAGTCAGAAGGTATGAACGTCCAGTCATCAAATAAATAAGGCATGGGGATATAATGTACACTGCAGTGACTATAGTTAATACTGTATTGCATATTTGAAAGTTGCTAAGAGAGTAAATCTTAAAAGTTCTCATTATGAGAAATTCTGTATTGTGCATATTAACCAGACTTATTGTGGTAAACATTTTGCAATATATACAAATATCAAATCATTATGTTGTATACCTAAAATTAATGTAATGTATGCCAATTATACTTCAGTTAATAAAACAGTTCTTTCTAAGTTCATCTATAGATTCAACCATCCCAGTCAAAATTCTAGCAAGATAATTTGGTGGATAGTGACAGTGATTCTTAAATTTATAAGGACAGGAAAAAGACCTAGAATAGCTAACAGAATACTGAAGAACAAGGAAGTTGGAGGACTGATACTACTTGACATTAAGATTTGCTATAAATCTACTGTTTTTTAAGACAGTGCGGTATTGGTGAAGAATATACAAGTAGACCATTGGAACAGAATAGGGAACCTAGCAATAGACCAATACAAATACAGTCAACTAGTCTTTGACAAAGGATCAAAGACAATTCAATGGATAAAGTATATTCTTTTCAGCAAATGGTTCTGGGACAACTGGATATCCACAGTCACATGCGAAAAAAATGAATTTAGACACAGAACCTGCACAAAAATTAACTAAACATGGATCATAAACTTAATTAAAGCATAAAATTATAAAATTCCTAGAAGATAACATGATAAAATTCTAGGTACCTTTGGGTACAGTGCTGACTTTTTAGATAATAGGATACCAAAAGCATAATCTATGAAAGAAAAACTTGACAAGTCCCTTCATTGAGGTTAAAATCTGTTGCTCTGGGAAAGACACCGTTAGGAGAATGAAAAGACAAGCTGTGGAACAGGATAGAGTATCTGTACAACGCACATCTGATAAAGGACTTGTATTCAAAATATACCACAACTTCTTAAAACTTATCAGCAAGAAAACTCCGTTTAAAAATTGGCAAAAAATCTGACACCCCCTCAAAGAAGATATAAGATGACAAATAAGCATATAGAAAGGTACTCGACATCCTGTGCATTAGGGAATTGAAAGTGAAACAATGGTGAGATACCAGGACATACCTATTAGAGTGCCTTAAGTCCAAAACACTGAGAAACATATACATGACTTTTTATTAACTTCACTCAGAGATCAAGATTTTTATTTTATCCCCCCCCCAACCAATTAGGAGACCTCCTGTGATCAAAGTGAAGGTTCTTGTTCTTCAGAAGAAGAAGAATGGAAAAGTGATAGAAGAAGTGAAAGTGATAGTGAAAGTTCAAGGTATCTGTTTTTGATTGTTTTGATCTTTTAAGCATTTTAGTCAGAGCCTTGATTGGAATTGTATTTGGATGGTGTTCAAGTTGCAAGGGTTTGTAACTATGGAACAGTTTACATTGCGTTTTTAATACATTTAAAAGGAGAAGGAAACTGGATTAACCACAGTTTTTATAGATGATATTTGTGTATTCTTATTTAACTACAGTTAAATATGTAAACACCTGAGCCAGAAGTGTAAAATATGTTTACTCAAAACATTGATTTAGTCTTGGACTTCATTTATAAAGAGTAGTGTCCAGAGTATGTGTGGTAAAACCATTATTACATTCATTACTAGTTACTTTTTGTTTCATTTACTTTGATAACCAGATTTCATTGGACCAAGATGTTAACATCTTTTTTTCATGATTGAGTGATCTCTCTCTCTTAATTTTTTAACATTTATTGCTGTTCAGTTACAGTTGTCCAGCTGTTTTCCCCATTGCTCTCCTCTACCCTGTGCCCCCCACTAAAATATGGAACGCTTCACAAATTTGCACATCATCCTTGCTCAGGGGCCATGCCAACCTCTGTCGTATCTTGGTAAATGTCAAGTTTGTTTTGACAGACGCTTAAGCCATATACCTGGACATAATTTTCTCTTCACAATGTGTCTATCACCAAGTCTAGAAAATTTCCTTCTAGATACGACTCAAATCTCACTTCTGTTTCCACTGATACTGGGCAGGTCTACACCACTGTACTGTACTTCCTGCTTGCTTTCTTGTCTGCTTTTATCCCATTATGAGGAAGAGCTGAAGTGATTTTTAGAACACTTGTCTACTCTTAAATTTTTAAAAATATTGTGACAATTTACCTAGCATAAAATTTACCATTTGAACCATTTTTAACTGTACAGTTCAGTAATGTTAAGTATATTCGCAGTGTTGTGCACCTAGTCTCCAGAACTGTCTTTTATCTCACACGACTGAAGCTACATGCCTGTTAAACAACAGCTCTCTGTCTTATTCCTGCCCCTGGTAACCATCGTTTTCCTTTCTATTTCTACATTCATTGTTTTTCAGTTCAGCTTTTCTTGGATGTTATAAAGTAGATGCTCTTAAATTTTCTCAAATACCTCTTTTTATGGTAAAAAGCTTTTGGAAATGTGTTTGTGTGTGTTTTATCGAGCCTGTGAGGTAAGTGGTTGGCCAGTGATGGTCACAATAGAGGCCTCTATGTGTTTGCTGAAGCTGGTGGTGGATCTGTGGCTAGTATTCTATGTCTCATTTCCCATTTGACTCTGCTTTTGCTCAGGGTAGCTAGGAGTGGTCCCTTTCTTGGGTCTTCCATCATAGCTGGGAAAGTTCCTTTCTTGGCAAGAAACTGACCTCTTAGTGCTTTCTGGTGGGGCTGTGTTTTCCTTGGGCTTCTCAGTGTATTCAGTGGTTTGTTAATCCAATTAAAAGTCTGTTCCCAAGCCTCCTCTGTCTTGGTGGAGTGCTGCTTACAGTTCTGTGTGACCACTACTATTTCATCTTCACCACACTTCATTTTTTAAAAAGGGAATTGTTAGTTGGCTCTAGATGTCTTCCATGAGATCTTATTTATGTTATAATTTACAGAAATCCCTCAGGCTTACATTCTTTCCTAATTCCCAGTGTCAGTGAAGGTTTCTTTCTCATGATCTTTGATCGTTTCAGTATTTGTTGATGGAGAGGGCAGATTGTTCAAGTTGAAGCTCCTTGGAGGTCTTTTTTCTCCTCCTCATAGTCTCTCAAGGCTTAGATTCTGGTTCCCTACAACTTAAAATGTTTTCCTTTTTTTAGTGACTCTTCATCTCAGTATTCTGATTGGACAGCTGATGCAGGCATCAATTTGCAGCCTCCTTTAAGAATGTCATCTCGTCGGCGCATTACCCGATTCTGTAGTAGTTCAGAGGATGAAATGTCTACTGAGAATTTATCTCCTCCTAAAAGGAGACAAAAGAGAAAGAAAGAAAATAAGCCCAAAAAAGAGGTAAGGAAAGTATATCTTTAGAGATAACATACATGTACAGTTTTATAGAGGTATTTCTGTTCATATTTAAAATTAGAAATCTTTTTGAAATTGGAGCTCTTTTTTTCTCTTGACAGTGTTATGTCATCAGGAGTTAAATGTAAAATGCAAACTTATTTTTGGAAAAGCTACTTTATTATTAAACTTCTCTTTCTAATCTGCTCTGAGTTGGACATGGGACTTAAGCCTTTCTAAATCTGAAACTGAAAGGGAAAGTTCTCTTTTACTCAGGATCCTACCCTAACACATTTCTCCTATTAATTTCAACATTAGAAATATACTTAAAGGCATTTTAAGGCTTTTTCTTGTTGTTTTGTCTGTCACTGCCATGTTTCCCATTTTCATTTGCAGTGTTCTTCCTTCATATGTTTCTTCTAACTGTCCTATCCCTATTCCTTACATGTACACTGCGTGTGTTCCTGTTGTGCAAGTAGCTCTCATTATTTAGTAATGCCATGTCTTTGTTAGTTACCTATTTATTTGTAACATATCTCCTTGAAACCTAGCTGCATAAAATAGCAAATGTATACTTCATGTTTTGATGGGAAAGGAATTTGGTAGCTGATTAGCGTACGGAATTTGGGCTCATAAGGTTGCATAATCATTTGGTTGGGGTTGAAGTTGTCTGAAGGCTTGATTGGGGCTAGATGATTGTCTTTGAAGCTCATTCGTGTGGCAGGTGGCTGGTGGCCTCAGTTCTCCACTGCATGAGCCTCTCTGTAGGGCAGCTTGTGTGTCTTCAAAACGTGGTAGCTGTGTTCCTCAGAGCTAGTGATCCAAAAGCATAAGCGAGGGGTATACTCATGCTTTTTATTACCTAATCTTAACGTCACACATTGTCATTTCTGCTTTATTCTTTGTGTTAGAAGCAAGTTGAGCCCATATTCAAGCAGAGGAGACTTGGGAGAGGATGAGTATCAATGAACTTGGGCCATATTTGAAAATTGCCAGTATTAAAATCTGAAATCAAGAGGAGATTGCCTGTGATGATTAGTCTGTGAAAAAATTCAGAGTGGTGTCTCAGGCAGAGCAGGCTGTGTAATGAAGAGGATTTAGGGTGGAAATTAGTTCCTTTGCATATAGCATGTCAAATGTTATAAGAATCTGTTAAATTCAGGAGATGCAAGAACATGCAGTGTAGATCTACAGTACAGACTAGCGACATGTCCCTGTGTGTGTTCGGGAACTAAACACGTACGGTGTTGAAAAAGGAATCATCAGGTGACTTGCAGTGAAGAGTCATTCTGAATGGTGACATTTCTTTTATTTTTCAATTAAAGAGTACATGCTCCTCCTTTATATTCTACTAAATGCTGTTCTCTTCCTCTTGGCAGAATTTACAGAGAATGACTCCATCAGAGCTTGCAAATATGGAACATTTATATGAATTTCATCCTCCAGTTTGGATAACCGACACCACACTTCGAAGGTCTCCTTTTGTTCCACAAATGGGTGATGAGGTGAGAGTAATTAAATAACATTTAAAAACTTGAATATGGAATATAAAATTAATGTTACTCTTATGTTTTTATTTTTACTTGTTGTGTTTTAATTATTCTTTTGTAGGTAATATATTTTCGACAGGGTCATGAAGCTTATATTGAGGCTGTCAGAAGAAATAACATTTATGAACTGAACTGTAACAAAGAGCCATGGAGAAAAATGGATCTTAGGGTAAGGTGACGGTATCATTAAACATTTAGCACATATATAATTTAATTACTTATAAATCATTTTAAAAACCTGGAGGCATATTTCATTACTATTTTCATATTAATTTCCTATTTAAAAACATTCCTGCTATTACTCTAAGCTTTAAGATCCAGTAGGAAGACTAATGTTTATCAGTGGGCAGTCTTCATGTTGCTGATTAACATGTAAAATTATAAGTATGTTTAAATTTCTTAGGAAGGCAGGTTCGCAGTATGTATCAGTAATCTTAAAATGTGCACACCCAGAATAGATTTTAGAAAGCAGTGCAAGTTTTCAAAAAAAGAAATACAAATTGGGAAAAAGGAAAAGGTTCAACCTCATGCATAATATACAAAAGCTTTAGCTCTTCTGTACTGAAACAGTTGTCAATCTGATAACCGAGAAGGCCTCTAAGTAACTAATGGGTGGGTGGTTTATACAGTGTGGATACACTGGACAAAGGGATGATTCATGCCCCAAGTGGGGCAGAGTGGAGAGTTGCATGAAACTTTATCATGCTATTCAGTAAGGGCACAATTTAAAACTTAGGAATTGCTTATCTCTGGAATTTTTTATTTAATATTTTTGGACTGTGGTTGACCACAAGTAACTGGAACAGTAGAAAGCAAAACCATGGATGAGGGAGAATTATTGTATTTTCCAAAGTGAATATATTTCTTACATTAGAAACTGTTAAATGTCTGTTCAAAAAGATGCAAAGGTAAACTTTAGCAAAAATGATTTTAATTAATAGTTACCTACACTTATCTGCTAGTTTAGAAATCTAAATTGTGAGTTAGCTAAATTTTCCAATATGTAGAGAATTGGAGTCTTGAGGAATTGATTTATTTTAACCATTATTCTTTTTAAAAAATCTGTTGAAGGATCAAGAATTGGTCAAAATTGTTGGAATACGCTATGAGGTTGGGCCCCCTACACTATGTTGCCTCAAACTGGCATTTATAGATCCTGCAACTGGGAAACTTACAGACAAATCTTTCTCTATTAGGTATGTATTATTTTTTGTGGAGTTATTTAAATTTGGGTTTCCTTTCTTGCTGGGTAGCTTGCTATGGTTATTTAGCTGCAGGGTAAATAGCAGAGTACTGCAGACAGCCTACGGTAAGGGTTTAAGTTCTGATAGACGGGACCCCACTGGAGGCGAAACTAAAGATGCTACAGCAGCCGCAGTTAGGCACTGGCACTGGACTTTTCATCCAGTTTCCATGCCAGTTAAATGTGGGTGGAGTTCTGGCCTGTAGGTGAAATGACTTCTGCTTTTGTTTTTGAGAAAATGTTAGAATTAATAATTTTCTAAACCTGTGCTGTCCGGATGGTAGCCATTAGCCACATGTGGCTTTTGAGCACTAGAAATGGGGCTGATTAGAATTGAGTGTGATGTAAGTATACACACTGAATTTTGAAAACTGGTGTGAAGAAAAAGAATGTAAAATACCATTATTTTGTATTCATTACATGGTGAAACAAAGAGGATATATTGAATTAAATATGATATACTATTAAGATTAAGTGCACTGGTTTTTATTTATAAAAATTATAAATGCAGTTCCCATTGTATTTCATTTGGACAGTGTTGCTCTAGAGTATAACCTGCTATACAAGGAATTTAACAATTTTTTATTTTTGTTTAGATATCATGATATGCCAGATGTTATTGACTTTCTTGTGTTGCGTCAATTTTACGATGAAGCAAGACAAAGGAATTGGCAGTGTAGTAAGTCTGTTTTTACTGAGTTTTATGTATCCTTAGGTATTAATCTCTCCTTTGGTTGGTGGGTGCAAACATGTCAATTCTGGAAAGAAATACAAGGGACCGATAAGTATATTTTGCTTAGGACTTGGTACTTGCTACTTCTTAGTAAACTTTTTAGCCACATAGCATTTCTTCTTGTGATATGTGACATTGTGAAGGGATATCTCTTACTCGCTGACTGTAGTCCAGACCTTTGATTTTCTTTCAGACTTCCCCATACTACATTATCTGTAATTACGTTTAATGTGACACTGGTCAATTCACAGAATTACCCTATGATGTAAAATAATCAAAGTTGAGAAGTAATGTAAATTTTACACAGATAATGTCTGGCACAACAGAATATTTTACCTTTGTTGTCATATCAGTTCAGACTTAAAAGAGGCTGACTCGAGGAAACCATTTCTTCAAAAAATAAAATTATGTAACACTTGTGCTTTATAATCATGATGTATGTAGGTGGACAGAAAAAACAAATCACTTCAGCGTGGGCACTAACTTGAATGTGGTTTTTATGATGGCCATAATCAGTTGTTATAGGTCATTAACCTCTTCAGGTCATAAGTGATGACTGATTAGGCCAGGTAATATCAGCAATTATAATGCGTGTTTCACAGGTGCACATAAAATATTCTCAGTATGTACGGTTTTCTTGGGGAGCTCATATTAATGTTGGTCATTTTAGGATAACCTATTCTACTATTACCAGTTTGGATAATATTGCTTATTAGAAATACTAAGTTTTACCCAGGCTGTGTCCTTTGGTATATACATTCATAAATGATGTTAGGGCCTCATTAATTTTCCTAGTTTCTGCTGCCTTTCTCTACAGATACTATAAACAGGTACATTTCAGATAAATTCCTTGAGCCATCTCTGTTCAAACAAAAGATTGTCAGAGTGTTGCTGTTCTTAGCAAACGATTTTTACCAGTAATGTGAGAACAAATAATCAAGATTATTTTGGGATGAGAGGTAAAGGAGTTGTTTTTGAAGAAAAGCATCTCACCGTTTACTCACAGAAAGAGACAGCTAGAATATGTGAGTGTTAGCAAGTCATACAGCCACGTCCCAAAGAACTTAAAGTTTCTTATCTGTTAATATTTTTTCAATCCCTATGACATCTAAATCAGAAGCTCTTATTTTGCTCTGCTAACATGTCCATTCAAAAATGTTTTCAGACTTAATTTTCTATAGCTAGATTCTAGATACATATTCCCGGTTGCCTCTTACAATGTAGTGATTTTTGTTTTATTTTTGTGGCTGAGAAATTATTGTACTAGATCTTCTATACTGCTATTCAATAATTAATTCATTTTTGCTTCCCCATAAAATCTTACCTATTCTGAAGTTTGAGCTGTACTATTAGAGGAATTTTTGCCTGTTTCTGTTTATACTGTGTTGAGAACTTATCAGAAGTTTATCCTACTTGTGAATAGCAAAATAGGTTTACTTGAAAATTCTTAATGGAAATTCAGGACAGCAGCAGAGTAGGTGGAAGTTCTGTTCATCACCTGCAGGACCAAATTGGAGTTACAACTAAATTATAGAGCAGTCAACATGAATAACCAAGAAAACAATTAATGAAATAGAAAAACCAATTTTTACCATGAGGAAAGTAATTTTTGTAGCTCCCTTTAAAATGTTAGTCTTAACTAAAGAAATATTTTTTATCTAAACTGGGTGAATCTTCTAGTATTAGGTAAATAGAGAAGAAAAATACTATAAAGTAAATTTTTGTTCTCCAAGACTGGCTCTCTAGCCCTTACTGGTGTGGCTCGGTTGGGTGTCATCCTGCAAACCAAAAGGTCATTGGTTCAATTCCTGGTTGGGGCACATGTCTAGGTTGTGAGTTTGAGTCCTGGGTTGGGATGTGTATGAGGGATGACCAATCGATGTTTCACTCCTTCTCTTTCTCCCTCCTTTCTCCTCTTTCTAAAAATAAAATATTTTTTAAGAAGACTGGTTCTCTTATAACCATGTTTTATAGGCATCTCAAAATGAAGCCATTGGATTTGTTACTATAATATTTCTTATAATAAATATGTGATTGATATTCATGTTACATTAGGTTATTTACATTATAGGATTGGACAAAAACCATGACGTTATATCAGATTTGTAGTATGTGCCTTAAATGAAAAAAATTAGAAAACATTTATTAACATTTATTTTGAAAGTTAAAGTTTTAGAATATCTATATATTAATGAAATACTTTCAAAAATGGGATTTTATTAACAATAGAGAGGTGGGTGGAAGGAATGATGTAAAATATACGTAGCAGTCATGTTTACATGAATTTGAAAATACATTAAGAATATTAAACATGTAACACTGATAGTTGTGATATTGCTGTTTTTACAGAATTCACTGTAAGAATACTCCATTTAATCAAGATTGTGTCTTTTATTAAGTAAATAGTCTCTTTCTTAGGGGTGAAATGTAGCTTTGATTTTGATTGGTATTTCTGCAAAACTTTCATTGAAGAAGAAATTGTTAACCTACTAAATAATTATTTTATTTTACTTTTTTAAATGACAGTATCTAACGAATTATTAATGCTGGATGATTGACTTTTTCCGTCATTTTGTTTTGAAAAATGGTGGGATTGATGGGAAGGAGAAATAGGGTTCATAGAGCAGTCTGTGTTTCTTTGTAATCTATGTAATACAAAGGTGAAATGCAGTTTATTTCCCTAGAACTGTTATAATTGTAGGATACATTTAGAAATCTGTGTAACCTAAAATCCTTGAAGTCATTGAAGTATTTGTTCCACAGTTGATTTGTACAAAGGCCTTCCTAGGACCTGCTTCCTGCTTTTATATTATGCTGAGATAATAGGATATGTGGATGTTTAACGTTTTAAAACAGTAAATATGTATTATTGAAGATAGACGTATACCTGATTTTTATTATGAGATCTTAAGAATTAGAACACTGTTTTATGTGAGGATACTTATACAGGAACAGTGTTAAAATAATCATGGATTAAATCTAATTATACTTTTATAATTCTATTTTTCAGGAAATGTTTTATTTTTTTAAACATTCCATTTATTTATTTTTAAAGAGGGGAAAAAGGGTAGAGAGAGAGAAAATTTGATGTGCCAAGAGGTACATTGTTCGGTTGCCTCTCCCATGCCTCCAACTGGGGACCTGGCCTGCAACCCAGGCATGTGCCCTGACTGGGAATTGAACTGGTGGCCTTTTCAATTTGCAGGCTGGCACTCAATTCACTGAGCCACACCAGCCAGGACAGGAAATGTTATATTTTATAAGTATGTATTTAATGTAGTTATTACACAAGTATTTAGTGATAGTATATATACACCGTTATAAAAGATTTTTGTTAAATTTTTTTCTTTATTGTAAAGTGTAATAGAACTTATTTTAGAGTGGGCATTTGGATTTACTAAACAATGGACCCTCGTCATAAACCACTTTAGCCAATTATGTTGTATGGTTACATATTTCCAGTGAACATCTGAGTGTAACAGATGTATCTTTTTTACATCTGCTTTATCACTGAAGATTGTTGGAAAGTGGGGAGAAATGGCTAATTTTGATACAGAAAAATGTTTTGATTACTTTATCTTTACTGAAATCTTTATCATACGATGTTTTAGAAATTAAAAATATTACTGTTTCAAATTGGTGTCTCAGACTGGGTCATATCTCTTCTAGGTGACAGATTCCGTTCTATCATTGACGATGCCTGGTGGTTTGGAACAGTGCTAAGCCAAGAGCCCTATCAGCCACAGTACCCCGATAGTCATTTCCAGTGTTACATTGTTAGGTCTGTATGCAGATGGATACGAATCATCTATAAACATTTGTTCATTGTGGCAGGTTGTTGTATGAACAACTAACACATTTCAGGTTAAACAAATGCCTGCAATTTAATCTGTCATTAGTCACATTAATCTCACCTCTACGGTGTCTCTTTAACATGTCCCTGTCATTTCTTGTACACTAGGACCTGGGAGGGTGCAGTGTCTGCTTCCTCCCCTGGGGCCTTTCTGTATCTCCTTGGTACTTCTCCATCTGACATTGCTGGGCCACTGTCCAGGAGCACATAGCACATCACTTCCTTTGTACACAAAAAATCTTTGTTGCCTTTCAGTTGACTGTGGAATCAAATCCACATGCTGAAGCGTCACATTCAAGGGCTTCACAATATGTGTGAGGTTTTCTTCACTTACCCTAGTGCGGACTATAGGTTTCTGGTTTTGTCCTTGAACTTGCCATACATTTTCACTTCATACAGCTTCCTAAAAAATTTTACTGTTAATATTTAAACTTTTTTTGCTACAGTCAGGTTAATTTTCTTATTTTTTTCTCTTCCTGTTTCCTCTTGTAGTGGATCCTAGGTATTAGCCACAGGTTGTCTTTATGAAAGGCTGAGCAGACTTTTCTTTTGGTTTTAACAGGTGGGACAACACTGAAATTGAAAAGCTTAGCCCATGGGATATGGAACCAATTCCTGATAATGGTATGTAATTGCTAAGTAATTAAAGTATTTTATCTTGATATTTTCATTTTTATCTCACTAAATAAAGTACATAGAAGAAATTGTATTCTCCGAGAAATGTTTTTAAATTACTGCAGTAACTGTGAGCTTTACTAAAAGAAGTCAACAGAATTATATATATCTGGTTTCTTTTTTTTTATCCTGAGCTTCCAGCTTGATGCTGGCTGTGTCTTAGTAGACCACTGTCATTTCTCATGTAAACCTGCTTAAAACTCACATGGAAACTCCTTTTCCTCATCCTTACTCTGTTTTCCTTGTTCTTCCTTCAAAGGAGAGCTCTCACTTGACTTCCTTCTGTCTTTGCTGTACCTCAACCTATCTGTCTTACTGTGGATTGTCCATCCCTTTCCTGTGAGAGAGAGGTGTGTCTGCTACATCCAACCTCTTCCTTCAGTGCTTCCTGTCCCACTGCTTTTAACTTCTGTTGGTCCTGAGACTTAACACTTAATTTATTCCCAGCAACAGTTTTAGTTTCCTTCTTTTTTCTCCTTTTGAGTTTGCATTTGTCTCTTGTACCTTAAAATGCCTTTCGTTTGACATTCTCGAACATTTTATCTACTGAATTATTTTTCTCTTATAAGTTTTTTGGAGGAGTGCTCTGTGTCTGTTGCCTCCATTTCTTCACTCTCAAGCTTTCTTTTATGTTAGTGTTTATTCAATGTAAAAACAGAGAGAAACTTTTGTCCTTCCACCCCCACCTATGAAATCATTGCTTCACAAGTTTTACCTGTTTCTATTTTAGTCCAGCCCTTTGTGTTTACTCTCTGATAGATCTCCATCAATCATGGTGTTGGTTTGCTTTGGAAATAAAGATTTTTATGGAAATGAGAACTTTCTTTCAAAAAATGTTTTTCTAACAACTGCACTCTTTAGAGTCACCAGTGACCTCCCTTTGTTAGATTTTCATTTGAGCTTAGCATCTTACAAATAGTAGGAGATGATATTTTTGTAATGTACAAAGCAAATCAAAGATGAGTAAAAGCCAACATTTTTTGAGGTCTTATTCTGTTTCTAAGAACTGTGCGTATCAGTTCATCCCTACTCTGGGGTTGGTGCTCTGTTACTTAGTTTGCAGATGAAGGAGCTAAGGCTCAGGGAGTTGGCAATAACTTGTTTGAGGTCACTCACACATCTAGAAACAAGGACAGGAGCTGGGATTCGAACCCAAGCTGTCTGCTCCATCCAGTGCCTTTACTACTGATTATAGCTGCCCTTTTGTAAAGGATACTGCAAATCAGTGAAAGCACTTATATGAAGAGATTTTTCATGTTAATGAGGTCAGTAAGTCTTTAGAATTGTCAAAAGACATCAGCAGGCAGGAAAATAAACATAGGAAAAGAGACTTACTTGTACTAGTACTCTTGGAAATGTATATTAAAATAACAAAATATGGTTTTACCTATCAGATTGTTAGATAGGTAAGTGTATCTTCTAGTCCTGTTAACATCTTTCTCCTTTTATTTATGATTTCTAGTCAAGAAAATGTCCTCTGAGTATTAACAGTGCCTCTTGTTCCTTTTTAAAATGTGCACTCTTTTATTATCAATTTTTATTATACTTTAAAAAAACTTTGTTTTGAAATAATTTTAGACTTACAAAATTATACAAAAATAGTACATAAAATTTATGAATATCCAGTTTTCTCAAATGTTAACTTAGATAACTATGGTACAGCTGTCAAAATCAGGAAATTATCATTGATACAATTCTAATCTATAGACCTTCAAATTTGGACTGTTGTCCTAATGTCCTTTCCCATACTGGATTTCATTGCCATGCCTTCTTAATCTCTTTCAATCTGGGATCCCTGGGTCTTTCCACTATTTTTCATAACCATGACACTTTTTGAAAAGTACTGGCTGGTTATTTTGTAGAATTCCTCTTAGTTTGGGTTTGTCTGATGTTTTATCATGATTAAATGTAGGGTTTGCATTTGGGATGAGAGTGTCAGAGAAGTGATGTCGTGTTTTCAGCGCCTCATGTTGGGGGCACATGATACCAGTTTGTTCTATTGGTGGGAATGTTAGCTTTAATCATTTGATTGTGGTGGTGTCTGTCAGGTTTCTCTGCTGTTAACTACTTTGTCCTTTGTAATTAGTGGCTTGTATATGACCTTTGACAATTGAATGTATAGTGTATATTTGATTTTCAGTTTGTTTTATCCTTTTTGTTCTTTTTTAATGGAATTCTTAGTTGATCCACCTGAAGAATTAGGAGCTAGTATTTCTGTCACTTCAGATGAGCTAGAGAAATTGCTCTACAAACCACAAGATGGTGAATGGGGTCATAAATCAAGAGATGAAGAATGTGAACGAATTATTAGTGGTATAGATCAACTTTTGAATCTTGGTGAGTATTTTTAGTATGAAAAGTTGCATGTTGCCCTGGCTGGTGTAGCTCAGTGGATTGAGCGCGGGCCTGCGAACCATGCGATCGCGGTTCAATTCCCAGTCAGGACACATGCCTGGGTTTTGGGCCAGGTCCCCAGTGGGGACCATGTGAGAGGCAACCACACATTGATGTTTCTCTCCCTCTCTTTCTCCTTCCCTTCCTCTCTCTCTGAAAAGTTGCATGTTCAGGCTCTCTTTTCCACACACATATTTTAAAAAATCACAATTGTGGTTGTGTTTATTACTCCAATTTCTATATGTTACCTTTCAGTTACGCCTGCAGTGTTAAATGTAGCTGTAGCATATTTTATGAATTTGTAGAGAAATACCACTTACAGGTCATGAATTTATTGATAAAAACCCTTCTGTCTGCCCTGACAGATATAGCAGCAGCTTTTGCAGGTCCAGTTGATCTGTGTACCTACCCGAAGTACTGTACCGTAGTGGCTTACCCAACTGATCTTTACACAATTCGAATGAGACTTGTTAATCGATTTTACAGGTGAGTAGAAACCTACTTTAAAAATAGCTTGAAAAGATACTTGGCCGTACCAACTAGAGTAAATAGAGGTAATGGTAGTTGACTGTGACAGTGGTAGACTGGCAGGGACTAACATCATTTACTGTTTTTTTGTTATTGTTGTTTTGTTTTTTTTTTAAATTATAATTTCTTGGTCCTGTAAGACAGTGGTGCCTGACCTTTTTGGTACCAGGGACTGGTTTTGTGAGCGGGGGGGTGGGGAGGGGTGGGAGGGACACACAGGAGCTCAGGTGCTCAGGCTGACCTGCTGTGGATGTTGGGAGGTGGGTTCCTGGTGGGATGAGGGGGGGTGGGTTACAGGAGGAGGGTTTTCTCAGGTGAGCTTGTTTTGCTGCTCTCACTTACCCACCTGCCTGGTATGTGAAAGGGGTGGGAAGGAGACAGCCAGGTTAGTGGCTTGGTTCTTGACCCATAGTGGTCCTCGGCCCAGGGGTTGGGGGTCCCTGCCGTAAGAATTGTGTTAGGTTTCTATGGGTATGTGTTGATAGAACCTGGGTAACAAAAATTTTCGGATTTCATTCTTCAATCTTCAGTCTGTTCTTTTTACAAATTATGTTAAGTAGTTAGAAATTACATTTTTATTTGTATGTTTTACATTCTTATTTAGCTGTACCATTTAAAAATAAAATATAATTTTGTTAATAATTGGCCTTTGAAAAATTAATTCCCTAGAGTCATGTACTTTTTATGTTTGACTTCTAGAGCATTGATAACTCTAAATTTTCTATTTTCAGTGATTTTTTATTAAAGCAGTTGATGGTATCAAATTTTTTATAATTCAACTACTTCGAAAAATTGTTATAAAAATTTGACTTTTTGAGTTTATGTTGTTGGTATAATTTATCTCAAACATGGAAATGTGCATTTAATCAGAAACCCCTTTGCAAATTTACAGTGAGAATGACTCCTGGGATTGATGGTATTGAACACATTTCTTCACCGAGTCTCAGCAGCTTCAAATGTACCCATAGGCAGTGTGTAAAGGGAGGATTGCTCTGTTGGTTTTCTGGTGGTCCGTTAAGATTTGTATCCTTGAATGTATTCTCTGTCGTTCATATGAATGTATTCATAGTCGTAATTACTTATGACTGTGATCAAGTTGACAGCATGAGAAAGTTATTTATTGTTACTTTGCAGTTACGATTTAAGTAATATTATCATGCTGGCTTAACATGCTAGATTTTTTACTAGGTTTTTTCTTGTCCTCTAAACCCTAAATTGTCCTTTTGTTTTGAAGGAGGCTATCTGCATTGATTTGGGAAGTCAGATATATAGAACATAATGCCAGGACATTTAACGAACCTGAGAGTGTAATTGCACAATCAGCTAAGAAGATAACTGACCAACTTTTAAAATTTATCAAGTAAGTGACTTCAAATGTAGGCATTGTGGAGAAGTGAACGACTTGCATTTTGTGTTCTTGCTATCCAGTTCTTAATTTAAGCTTGCCAGTAGTTAGTTTTTGCTCCCTGAATTTTATATCCTTTTAATATGTTACTTTAAATGTCATTTCTTTACATACTTACTATGATTGTAATTTCTGTAAAGGAATAAGAAAATGATTTTTGTACTCTTTAAAATTTTGAAATAATTTGATACTAGATGCTTGTCACGTGCGTGCGTGTGTATTCTTCACCTGTTTACCTTGATTGACATTTCTTTTTCACATATTTATGGTGTCCCGATAAAATGCAACGGAAGTATCGTTGGTACAATACGATTGACTAAGCTATAGCACTTATTTGGGTTTATTAGTTTTTATATCAGTGTCCTTTTTCTGTTTCAGGGTCCTATCCAGAATCTCCATCTTATTTACTATTTTGTTTTCTTAATTTTCTTTAACCCATTTCCCCAGTCTTTCTTTTATGACCTCTTCATTTTTTACAAGTCTTAGACAATTTGTTGCAGGTCCTTAATTTGGGTTTGTCTAATGTTTTCTTATGATTAGATTGAATTTTAATTTTTGGATTGTGTCCGATGAGAGTGTTTGTACATGCATGAATGTACCACATACTTTTGTGCATCAGGAAATCAGGTTTGGAATAGTATGGTGAAAATTGATCTGGAGGTTGAAATCCAAGGTCTAGCCCAGTCTGTTCTAGTGAATATGGACAAATTCACTAGAATATGGACAAATTCACAGGTTTGGACAAATTTTCAACCTGTTATCTTTTAAAATTAGTGATTTCTGCTATATGAACTTGCACGTCTTTTCCCCATAGCTCTAAAAATTCTGTGAAAGAATATATTGGAGAGCACAATTTATAAACTGTGCCATTATTTTCAGTAGGTAGCAATAAATTGGGGAGTAACTGATTCTAGTCTGTCCCACTTTCCAGGAACATGTGGACTTTCCCAGAACTTTCTTCTTTTTTTCTTCAGGAAGATCATATACCCGTTTTCATCTTCTTTATGCTTATTCTTATTTTAGGCTTCTTTATGTGTGTACAGTTGAGGTTAAGGTGTAATTTGCTTTACTTTCTTCTATCCTCTTTTATCTCAGATCAGTCATTTTTGTGGTAGTCAAACTCTATGACTATTACTATTGATGATACTTAGAAAAACTCATCTGTGTAGTCATCACCTGTTATTTCTGGATTACCAGCTAAATTTGCATACATACTTAACTGGGGAGAGGGGAAATCCTCTTGCTTTCCATATTCTTAGTTGGTCAGTTGTTTCTATAGAGGGTGGAATAAAAACCTGATATTTTTCTGCTTGAAATTAAGTATGCCCAGTTGGGCAACTGTTTATATCTAACCAGTAGTTTGTTTGAATCTTTGGCAACAATAATGACATCTGTATACTGTTAAAAGAAAGAATTATTATTATTATTTTTTTAGGAATCAAGACTGTACAGATATCTCAGAACTTTCTATCACTTCTGAAAATGATGAGCAAAATGCCAAGTCTTTGGTATGAAATTTGTCAATTTTACAATGACTTTTGTTAATTTCAAATGATAACTTGAAAATAGTGAAGGAGAAAATACTGATTTCCTTTGTCAATTCTTGCTGTATTCCAATGAACTATGAAAATATGGCACTGGATAAAGGTATAAATTTTGATTATCTAGATGGTCAGTGATAGGATTTGTTTTAGCCAATAATATCAATATATCAAACAAAATATGTTGAAGTGAGTAACTTAGGTGTGGAATATGTTCTCTTTCCAAATTTAGTTTAAGAAAGGTGCATTAAGGAAGTACCTTGGAAATATTTTTTGTAAAATCAGTATCTGAGAATTGAATCAATTTGTAATTAAAAATTAATGAACTTTACCATGCTCCAAGTACCCTAAAGTTCTTCACTCAGGATGGTCTTGAAGTGTCAGTAAGGTGAATATCAGTAATGTTGAATTACTTATAGAATCAGGCTGTCAGATTTGGTGGCAGGGAAGATATTCTTAAAAAACAATGGAGTGTAATTTCTACACAAATTTTTATTATAGTACACCGACTTTCATGCTGATTTATATTGGAATAAAAATGGGTACAGATTTAGGGAATAAGAAAAAATAGGGAAACTATGAAATACAGACATTGTAGGGGACTACATATGAATAGATATAAAATGTAAATTAAAAGCTGCATTTGTAGCTATATTTTGGAATTAGTGCATGTTGTTAGGGAATGTAAAGGGTTATTAAGGATGTTTGGTTTGTTGGAGTCTGCATGCCACAAAGATCATGTGATACAGTCTGTCTTTAGAGATTTTAACAAGTTATAACCTTGTCTCTCATATACTTTTAAAATTAAGATTATTACTTTTCTAATGAGAATATTAACACTTAAAGTGCTCTGATTTTTGTTCCTAGGATGATAGTGATCTACCTAAAACATCTTCTGGAAGGAGAGTAAGTTAATCTGCCTGATTGACATTTGTGGTTTACTTATTCTTTATTTAAAATCAACCTCAGATCTTAGGTGTTGTCTCGGGAAGTTAGGGGATATAGATAGGGAATATTTTGTAAGAGAAAGAGGAGCAATCACTGAAAGCTGGATAGTTAGGGTTCACTGTAAAAGTTGGAATTTTAAGTTTGTTCTCAGAATGAGATGGAGTTTGAACAGTCAGAAAGTAAGGGGATATTATGATCCTAGCTGAAAAAGGAGGGAAACATGGCATGTCATTGGACTACCAAGGGCACTGGCCTAACTGGTACCAAGGTTTAATGTTGGAATGAGCAAAGTGGCTGTGTCTGTTTGGGAGAAGATTATGGTAATATTAACAACCAAGGTTTTTATTTAAAGTAGAGAATCAATTGTATAGCCACAATAGATAAATAGATTTTGAGGGATAAGAAGATAGGTAGTAGCCCTGACTGGTGTGGCTTAGTGGGTTGGGTATCGTTCTGCAAACTGAAAGGTCACTGGTTTGATTCCAGGTCAGGGCACCTGCCTGGGTTGCAAGCCATGTCCCTGGTCGGAGGCCCATATGAGAGAGGCAGCCAGTTAATGTTTTCTCTGACACATTGATATTTCTTTCCTTTTCTTTTTCCCTCTCTTCCCTCTTTCTAAAAATAAATGAATAAAATCTTTTTAAAAAGGTAGTGAAGGATGTGAATCAGGAGTCTTGCAATAATCTAGGAGTAAAGGATGGGAACCTAGTCAAGGATAGTGTTGCTTGGAATGCAGAGGAAGGGAAAAAGATGAGACCTTTGAAGGGAAAAAATTAACTAGCATTTGGTGACTGAAACTTTTTTAAAAAATGAGGATCAGGGGAAAAAAGAGGATTAGTTGAGGGATGTATGGAAATGTTTTGGATATTGTATAGTTAGAATTGTGGTATGACCAGCAGAACTCTTGAAGTTCTAATGTAATATGTTAGTTAAAAGTTAAGGTGATTAATCTGAAAATGCTAAAAAATGTTAACATTTTAAATGTTATCTAAATGGTGCTTACACTTAAGCTTTTTATAACAGTTTTCATAATATGCTTGCACCAGATAACATTGAAAAGTTAGACTTGAAGTACCGTCAGCTGATTTGTCATCTTTATACGGTTCTCTCAAGTGATTAGTACTTGTTCAGGATTTGTTTGCTATGACTGCTTTAGCAACTTACAAATCTAGTGGCTTAAACAACAAAAATATTGTTACAGTTCTGTAAATTAGAAGTTTGACATGGGTTTCACTGGGCTAAAATAAAGGTGTCAGCATGACACCTTCTCTGGGAGTTCTAGGGTAGAAGTTGTTTCCTCGCATTTTTCAGCTTCTGGAGGCCCATGGCCCCTTTCTTCCACCTCAGGTTAACCTCTTCCAGTCTCCTCCTCTGACCCTCTGCCTCCCTCTTGTAAGGACCCTGGTGGTTACATTGTGCCTACCCTGATAATACAGGACAGTCTCCCCATCTCAAGATCATATCTGTAATTACAGATACAAATTTCTTTCTACCAAGTAAAATGACATGCCAGTAGTCACTCTGAGATTAGGTTCTTGGGTTTAGGGTGTGGATGTCTCTGCATCATTATTCTGCCTACCACATTATCCAATGTGGTATTTCAAAATCTGTGATAACATTTTCTAAACAAGAGATATAATTGCTGGAGTGAAAAATGTTTCTAGAGTAAAATATGTGACATTATTGGATTTTTACAGAAGAGTGTATTTTTTCCAAGCGGACAGAAAAACAAATATAGTGTCACTTTCCAACACTGAAAATACTTTTAATATTGTGAATATATTTTTAGGTCCATGATTGGAGAAAAAGGAGTAGCAAAGCAAGCAACTATGTTGAAAGCAACTGGAAGAAACAGTGTAAGGAACTGGTGAACTTAATTTTTCAATGTGAAGATTCTGAACCATTTAGACAACCTGTTGATTTGGTTGAATATCCAGTAAGTTGCCATTGTTTGACTGTTTGGTCTTATTTGTGTAGAGGAGATGGGAGTGGAGGTATTTAAATTAAACTTTTAAAGAAAAAGATGTCTAGGTGTCACGTTAGCTTTTTCTTACCACTGAGTCAGTTACAGGATGATGAAAGGCCTCTACACGGTGCTCATTATCTAAGGAGGCCCAACTCCAGGGAGACGATGAGATAAAAAGTGCCTATCTTGCTCCGGCTGGGTTGTTCAGTTACTTGGGGCATCATCCCATGCACCAAAAGGTTGTGGGGTTTGATTCCTGGTCAGGGCACATACCTAGGTTGAGGGTTTGATCCCCGGTTGGGGCGCATATGGGAGGCAGTCAGTGTTTTTCTCTTATATTGATTTGTTTGTCTGTCTGTCTGTCTTTCTCCCTCTCCCTCCGTGCTGTGTACCCACCTTCTCTAAAAGCAGTAAACATATCCTTAAATGAGGATTTAAAAAAAAAGTGTCTCCACTCCAGTAATAGGGGAATGGAAAATGACCTTCTAGGGGCCATGCTCACACCTCAGTGTGCCCCCCCCCCCGAACCCAGTCCTGCTACCCTTGCCTTTTCTTCTGCTGAACTCCAAGAGCCCTTATTTTGCTTCTGTAACTTGTTTCCTGAGCCTGCACAGTGCAGCTGGCTCACTTCTACTACCTTTGTAACTTTCTAAATAAACTTTCTCTTATAATCTGGGGAGTTGGGGGGGGAGAAAATAACCAGCCCATGTCTTACTACCAAGTATAACTTTTTGGTATATTTCTTATTGTGCCTCTGTGTGTGGGTCTTTAAAAAAAATTTTATGATTCTTAAGCTTCTATTTGTGTTCTCTTCTATAATTTGGAATATCTTAGAGATCTGATGCATTTACATTTCTGAAATCAGGAATGAAATCTTTGAACTAATTATTGTTTTTAAAACCTAGGACTACAGAGATATTATAGATACTCCAATGGATTTTGGAACAGTAAGGGAAACTTTAGAAGCGGAAAATTATGACAGCCCTTTGGAATTTTGCAAAGACATCCGGTTGATATTTAGCAACGCAAAAGCATATACACCAAATAAAAGATCAAAGGTAATTTAAAGCTGGTTTATAAGAAAAAAGAGGATGATCTGTGTAGGTGATTTTCTGCTGGCCGGCAGAGGTTGGAACATTAAAAATAAGTGAGTAGGGCAGGAATACTATTGAAAATAGAGTTTCTGTCACTGACCAAATATCTGCTGTTGCTACCTCACAACAATTAATGTTTATTTTTCCTTAAGTTTTATAAACAAATGATGATTGGTGGGTGAGGGCCTCACTGAAAAATGAACAAATTTAAATTTGATATGTAGAATGGGAAAAATCTATATTTTCATACATATGGGAATCTTGAAAAGTGGGTTGAAACTTCCTGATAAGAGCTGGAAGAATATTAAAAGGAAGAAAAGGGACGTTCGAAGTTGGGAGTGGGATTACTGATGTAAACTAGTATTTTGGATTCTAAGAAGAAGCTCATGAGCTATCTGATTATTTAAGAATACAAGTATGGAGTACATTCCTAAATCTTTGTTTAAAAAGTTATTCATTGGGTAACTTTTGAGAACTTATTGAAGCATAATAAATATACAAAAGAGCACATATACTGTGAGGGAATTTGTACAAACAATACAAATTTGTGTGGTCAAAGTGCTGGGTAATTTTCAAAAACAGTATTAATTTGAGAAGATTTTAAAGTAAAGCACTTGCTTGATAACAGCACTTTCACTGTCATCAGTGACTGTCATCATTAAGTAATCATTTTGTCTTAATTTCACTTTCAGTACTTACCATCAGACTTCCCCTGCATTATCGATTCTTGTCTCAATTTGAGAACTCTTAGCATTGCATTTAGTATCCATATTGCTTATCGGATCAGTTTAACATGCAAGTCTAAATTTTTTAGGCTTGCGTGTCAGTAGTCACCATTTGTGAGACTTCCTTTCTAGAGAGAAAATAAATTTCCTTCATGTCTTTTTTTCCTTTTGTTTTAAACACGTTTGAGGATTTATACTATGTAATTCGCCATTTACAATGTAGAATTTAATGGTTTTGAGTATATTATCAAGTTTTCAAATTGTTCAATCTATGTGACATAAAATGTATAATTATAACCATTTTAAGTGTATAGTTTAGTGGCATTAATTACATTTACAATATTGTTTACCACCATTGCTGTTTCCAAAACTCTTGCATCATTGCCTAACGGAATTTCGGTGACCATTAAGCGATAACTCCACACTCTTCCCTTCCCTTAGCCTTTGGTAGCCTCTGTTCTACTTTCTGTTTCTAAGAATTTGCCTGTTCTAGATATTTCATATAAGTTGAATAATACAATTTGTCCCTTTGTGTCTAGCTTATTTCACTTTTTCATAATGTCTTAAAGGTTCATCCATATTGTAGTGTGTATCTTAACTATTTCTTTTTCTGACCGTAATTGTCCATTGTATGGGTTGGGTGGGTATATGACATTTTGTTTATCCATTTATCTCTTATGGACACTGGAGCTATTTTTACCTTTTAGCTATTGTGATTAATGTTGCAGTGAATATTGCAGTACAGGTATCTGTAAGAGTTCTTGCCCTCAGTTTCCTTGGGTATATACCTAAGTGTGGAATTGCTGGTTCATAGGGTCATTGAATGTTTAGCTTTTTAAGGAACCACCAAACTGTGTTCCATCATGGTTGTATCGTTTTACGTTCCCACCAACCATGTGTGAGGATTCCAGTGTCTCCACGTTCTTGCCAACAGTGATCATTTATTAAATTGTAACCGTCCTAGTGAATGTGAAATATTATCTCAAATCATGTACTGTTTTTTTTTTCTTTTTAAAAAATGTGTTATTCTAATGAGTTTTTAAAGACTTTATTTTTTAGAGAGAGAGGAAGGAGGGGAGACAGAGAGGGAGAGAAAGAAACATCAATGTGAGAGAAACCCATTGGGTTGGCTTTCACAGGCCCACAGCCTCTGACCTGGCCCTCAACCCAGGCATGTGCCCTGATTGGGAATTGAACCAGCAACTTTTTGGTTTGGAGGCTAGTACTCAATCCACTGAGTCACACCAGCCAGGCCTCTGATAGTGTTTTGATCTGTGTTACTCTTGTGGCTTATTACAAATCGTATCTGGGATATATTTTAATCAGGTATGGCAGGACATGCAGTTGGAATGACTGCCATGAAGGGGTAAGTTTATGCTGACAGATTCCAAAAACAAGGAGGCATGACTCAACACGTAGGGCCATGTTGGGATGGACCAGCATTGGTAAGTAGGCAGAGGAGAGGAAAGGGAAGGTTATAGCACAGAGCCTATAGTATTGAGGTTTTTGCAGGAAGGCAAGGCAGGGCAAAGTAAAGAGTTTTTAGGATTGGTTATCTTGAATATTCCCTGTAGCCCTGGGTTATAGGGGTGGTCTCTAAATGTCTGGTTCCTGGCTCTGGGGTGATTTAGGATGAGAGGAATGGAATATTGGCTTGGTATGTGAGAATTTGATAAAGAAATTAGGGGTGGGGACTCAGCATTGTTTTATATGTCAAAGGCATGCTTTTAAGAGAATCCTTTGCTAGCTCTAGGAATTAGCTAGCTACGTGAAGGGCAGTCTCTCCAGAATCAAGTTTCCAACTGGTTGCAAACCAAAAGTTCACTGGTTTGATTCCCAGTCAGGTCACATGCCTGGGTTGCAGGCCAGGTCCCTGGCTGGGGGGCATGTGAGAAGCAACCGATTAATGTTTCTCCTGCACATCAATGTTTCTCTCCCTCTTTCTGTCCCTCTTTTCCCCTCTCCCTATAAAATCTTTAAAAAAACACAAACCACAGAATATAGTTAATACACTAACATTGACATCTTTTTCATGTGCTTATTATCTGCTTACGTATCTTCTTTGGAGAAATATCTAAGTGCTGTGTCCATTTTCTTTTTTTCTTAAGATTTTATTTATCTTTAGAGGGAAAAGGAGTGTGTGGTTGCCTCTTATGTGCCCCCTCCTGGTACCTGGCCTGCAACCCAAGCATGTGCCCTGACTGGGAATTGCACCAGCAAACCCTTTGGTTTGCAGGCCATTCATTCCACTGAGCCACACCAGCCAGGTGCTTTGTTCATTTTCTATTTGGATTTTTTTTGTCTTTTTGTTGAGTTGTGGGAATTTGTTACTATATTCTAGATATTAAACCCTTGTCACATAAATGTTTTCTAGGTATTTTCTCTCATTCTGTAGTTGGTCTTTTAACTTGTTCATAATGTTTCTTGATGTATAAAAGTTTCTCATTTAGATGATGTCCATTTAATCTTTTTTTTTATTTGGTGTTTTGTGCTTTTGTTTTTATGTCTAAGACTCCATTGTCAAATCCAGTGTTGTAATGATTCACCCCCATGTGTTCTTCTAAGAGTTTTGTAGTCTAGCTTTTATATTTAAGTTGTTGATCCGTATTGAGTTAATATTTATGTATGGTGTAAGGTGGAAATACATTTGTCCCAGCACTATCCATTGAAAACACTATTCTCTTCCCATTGAATAAACTTGGCACCATCTGAACTCAGTTCTGTTCATTGCATTCTTACGTATTTGTATGTCTGCCTGTCCGTCTTTATGTCAGTACTACAATGTTTTATTTACTGTAGCTTTGCAGTAAGTTTTTTAAAATTTTTATTTATTTATCTTTAGAGGGGAAGGAAAGGAGAGAGGGAGAAAAACATCAATGTATGGTTGCCTTTCATGCATCCTCTGCTGGGAACTGGCCTGCAACCCAGGCATGTGCCCTGACTGGGAATTGAACCATGATCCTTTGGTTCACAGGCCCACGCTCAATCCACTGAGCTACACCAGCCAGGGTGTAGTAAGTTTTGAAATCAGGAAGTGTGAGTCCTCACAGTTCTTCTTTTTCAATTTTTGGCTACTCAGGGTCCCTTGTAATTCATTGTGAATTTTTTGGAATGGCTTTTGCCATTCTGAAAAAGTCCTTTGCATTTTTTGATAGAGATTGCATTAAATGTGTACATTGCTTTGCACAGTAGTGACATCTTGACAGTATTACGTCTTCTCTTTCTTAACAGGGGATGTCTTTTCATTTATTTAGGTCTAATGTCTTACAGCAGTGTCTTATAATTTTTGGTGACTAGTCTTGACACTTCCTACGTTAAACTAATTCCCAGTTTATTGTTTTAGATGGTATGTGAAATACAGTTGCTTTCTGAATTTCTTTTTTTGATTGTTCATTGTTGGTGTATAGAATCACAACTGATTCTTGTGTAGTTTTGCTGAGTTCATTTATTAGCACTGATAACTTCTTGTGGATTCTTTGAGTGTTACATATAGAATCATGTCATCTGTGAATAGAGATAGTTTTACTTGCACCATTCCAGTTTGAATGATTTTTATTTCTTTTTTATTGTCTAATTGCTCTGGCTAGAATTTTAAGTATGGTGTTGACTAGCAGTCGTAAAAGTAGGCATCTTTGTCTTATTCCTGACCAATTTCAGTCCTTAGGGAAAGATTTTCAGTCTTTCATCGTTATATATGATGCCAACTGGGTTTTTCATATATGCCCTTCTTCATTACAATTTTAGCATCCATTTTTGTTAATGCTTGTTTTCAATTCAAATGTATTATTGAATTTTACTTAAAAGCTAATGAGAAAACATGAAAATGGTGATAAGATAATCAGAGGTTTCAAACAGAATGAGAAAAAAAAGTCACCCTTGTTAAAATTGGTGACTTATGTTAGACTTCAGGTTTGAAAGAAAAGAATACGTTTAGTGTATGCACAAAATATTGGAAATAATTGTTAAATATTATATCAAAGATATTAGCAGGGAGTACAAATTTTACATATTTTATATTTATATAATATACATAGGGTGCATATATGAATTTGAGTTATCTCGTGTACTTTTTTTTTTTAAAGGTTCTCTAGTGTTAGAATCTCTCCACTCACCTGTTCTGTGCACCAAAGTGGTTGATAATTACCTTTTGAACATTGGGCTTTTGTATTTATTTTGCAGAATGGTTGCAGATGAATAAAGAGTACTTTCTGTAAATACATAGCTGTACCAAATGTTATTTATAGTAGCACTTAACATCACATTACTGTTCTTTTGATGTTATTTAATTATAAAAATTGTTAAAATAATCTTTCATATAAGAGTTTTAGGGCATATTTTCATTCTTCTACTGAATGCAAGTAATTCTATCTGTAATTCATAATTTAGATCTGTATCAAAGGGAGTCAAATTTCAAGTAGACACTGGTGTAAAAGTTCCCTTGCTTCAAGGAGACACTCCTTTTGCTGCCTGAGTAGCACCCTGAAAACCAGCTTCCCATCTAACTTTCAGGAAAGGAGGCTTTATTAGGTTTGTACATATAGATGTGAAAATGGGAAAAGCCAGAATACTTCCTCTTTCTTGCAGACTCTTGCAGATGTCACTGAAGGGAAGGGATGGGACATAAAGTCAGTAACAGCTATTGTCTATGACAGTAATATAATATAATAGATTGCAAGTAGCCTCAATGATTATAATCTTATTTAGAAAAGTATTTTTAGAGATATTTTTTGGTTATAGTTTTGCTTTCATATTCTTACAGATTTACAGTATGACTTTGAGACTATCTGCCTTATTTGAAGAAAAGATGAAGAAAATATCCTCTGATTTTAAAATTGGTCAAAAATTCAATGAAAAACTTCGAAGAAGCCAGAGGTTCAGGAGACAGCAAAATTGTAACCGTGTCAACCAGGCTAACAAAAGTATCAGGTGATTTGTCAGCTTTGTATGCAATATTGTAAAATTTCAGGTTGCAATACCATTTTTAATTTTATCATGATAAAAATTCTCAAGCATTGTATAGTATATTCAGAGAAGTCCTTTTTTGGCTAGAAAACATTCCATGTGTATACAGAACTGGTGCATTGATTTGTAATTATGTAAATTTATAAGCATGCAAATTTATCTGGCTAGTAAATATAAGGCAGTTAGGTGTGGATTTCCTTGAGTTTATTCATCTTGGAATTTGGCCATCTTTGTGGATGAGTAATATTTTTTCATCGAATTTGGGTGGTTGTCAGCTGTATTTCTTCCAGTTTTTTTTTGCCCTTTTCTTCTCTTTCTAGTTGCAGTTATATGTATGTTGGTGTATGTATAACTCTGATGCTCTCTTTATTTCTCACCCGTATTTTTCCTTTATGTTTTTCAGACTGGATAATCTTTATTGACTGACCTAACTTTACATTCACTGGTTCTTGTACCAGCTCAAATCTGCCCTTGGGCCCATGTTGGTGTTTTTTTTTTTTTTTCAGTTGTAATTTTCAACTCCAGAATTTTCATTTGGTTTATTTTCTGTAATTCATCCCTCTATACTGATATTTCCTGTCATCATATTTTCCTTTAATTCTGTAAACATGAATTTATTTCATTTTCAGATATTTATAATTGTTGACTTAAATATCTGGTCAAAAAGTTCAGAAACAGCTGAAGTAAAACCAGTGAATTTAATGAAGTAATAATTAGTAAGTTTGTTGTGCAAAAACCCAAAAGACTTTGTAAACCAAGAGCATTCAAACGAAAACATGGAATGAGACTTGGTATATTGTTAAGCAGTTTGTAGAGAGAATTGTGACTGTTCTTCCTGGTGACCGACTATAATACTCAAATTTTCAGTGTTTACCCAATGATAGCTTTGGAAAATAGTGCAAGTTTTGCTTATGATTTCCAGAGGCATAAGCAAGAAGGTGATGTAGGTCAAGTTAGCTGTGCAAGATAAGCTAAATTAAGCTTTATTTGTATGGCTAAACTGGTTTTGTCTGCTCAGAATTTTCAAGGCTCGTCGCTGTTTGTTTTCCAACTGGGTCCTTTCAGAGACAGTTTCTGTTGATGGTATCCTTTTCCTGTATATGGACAAACACTCCTGTTTCTTCATATGTCTTGTAATTTTTTTTGTTGAAAACTCAACATATTTATTTATTTTTATTTATTGATTTTCAGAGAGACAGGAAGGAGGGAAGGAAGAAACATCAGTTTGTTGTTCCACTTACTTATGCACTCATTGGTTGCTTCTTGTATGTGCCTTGATCAGGGATCAAACCCGTAACCTTGGCGTTATCAGAATCATGCTCTGGCTAACTGAGCTATCCAGCCAGGGCCCAAACTGGGCATATTTAATTATATAATCCGGCAATTCTGGAAATCACATCTGTCCCAGGTTTCGTCATTGCTGTTTGTAGAAACTCTGGATTCTGATCCTTCTCCCTTAGTGATAGAAGCTGCTGTTGGTTTTGTTCAGTGAATTGACTAGACCAGTTTCAGCAGAGTTTGTCTTCTTGCAGTATTTAGTCACTAAAGTCCCTGCTTCTTTTTAAAAAGTTAAAAAGAAACTTTGAGCCTGTTTTTCTAGATGTCTTCCCTTGCTCAACATAGCTCCTAGGTCAGAAATTTGCGCTGAACTATACTGTAGGTGATGCTGACCCCTTTTCTAAAAGGGCTGTGTGTGATGTAGGGCGAACTTCATCGCACACCCAAGTGACCTTGAGTTTGGGTATGTCTGGGTTGACCTTTTGCTTGTATTTTACCAGACCCAAGAGTCTCAAGGTCAGCGAAGGATGCATAATAACTGGATTCTCTCCAGTCTTTTTTGAATATGTGTGGAACCTTCTACATCCCAAAGATTTTTTTTAAAGATTTTATTCATTTATTTTTAGAGAGAGGGAAGGGAGCGAAAAGAGAAACATTAATGTGTGGTTGCCTCTTGCACGCCCCCGAAGAGAGATCTGACCTGGCCCACAACCCAAGCAGGTCCCCTGAGTGGGAATCGAACCGGTGATTCCTTGGGTCGCAGGCCAGGGTTTAGTCCACTGGAGCCACACGAGAGAGGGCCCCAGGCAGATGTTTTAAAGACTCCTGGGACTATGTCCTTCACTAAATCTCTCCTTTAAATCTGGTTGAATTCTTTCCTGCTCCAGCCGTGACACAGCCTCAGGCAGCCGTTGGCCTTACCGAATTGCCAGTGGTACGGCGCATTCAGTGCTCTGGAGCATGCAGCTTCTTGGTGGGGCTCCCACAACAGCCAGCTCCTCCCACCTGCTCATCCTGATCCTCAAGGCTGTTGGGCCATAGAACCGGGGTGTATGTATATGTGTGCCTGGGAGCAGCCCCAAGTCTAAATGCCAAGGATGCCACTGTTTTTACTTAGATTCAGAAGTTTTTCTTCAATAAACACTTTTTAATTTATATGCCTTTGTTTTCCTGAGTTCTGAAATTATTGTTTTGGATTATTTTGCCAGTCATATTTTTGCTTTTTGGGTGAGATGATTTGCTAACATTCGAACCCCCCCATGTTTAGAATAACAGAGTCTCATTGAAAACATAAACATTCAGTAAAGCACCTTTTTAGCCTCTTTGCAGTGTGTAATTCAAGTACATACAGTACACAGTAGTATGAGTCTTTTTTCTAACATCTTTTTTTCTATCTTTTTATTTTGAAATAATTTCAGAATTACAGAAAAGTTGAAGAGTTCAGAAAACTCCTGTATATTCTTTATATTTTAACTTGTGTTTACTTTTAAATCATTCAAAAGAATATTTCTGATATCATGCTTGTTTACCCCTAAATACTTGGGGTAGATTTGCTAAGAATAGGTTTTAATCACACCTTACAGTTTAGTAGTTAACTCAATAATGTTCTTAGGGCAGTTTTTCCCCCTAATCTAGGTTATGCATTGGCTTTTAGTTGCTCTGTCTCATTTAGTCTTTTTTAGTGTGGAATTTTATTCGCAACTTTGCCTTCTTGGTTGACATTTTTAAAAACTATATGTTATTTTATAAAGTGACCTTGAGTTTGGGTATGTCGATTATTAGTATCTGACTTTTATTTTTATTATTTTTTAAAACTCTATTTTCTGTTCAAATCATGCAAGAGTCTTAATAGTTGAGAACATAGGATAAAAAAGGAAAGCTTTCACTCTTGAGGTATTACCAGCCTGTCTACTGTTAAAAATTAAGTTTAAGATAAATATAAGCATGTAATGATTTCTTTTTGTTATTTACTGGTCTATCCTCTAGTTGATACTATTGGAGGGTAAAATTTTGAAAAAACAAGCTTGAATTTTCTTGATTATCATGATATTATTTTTTTAAAAGAATTTATTTGTATTTTTAGAGAGAGGGAAAGAGAGGGAAACATTAGTGTGCAAGAGATACATAAGTCGGTTGCCTCTAGCACATCCCCAACTGGGGACCTGGCCCGCAACCCAGGCATGTGCACCGATGGGGAATTGAACCGTCAACGTTTTGGTTCACAGGCTGACACTCAACCCACTGAGCCACACCAGCCTCAGCACAGTTACTTTAAAAAACTGTGGTTATCTTTTAGCTGAAATGCTTTAGATACTCCAGAAAAGCCCTTACCCAGATCTGTAATGTAAATGCAACAATTAACTTGGTTTATACTTCTACTGTTTTCCCCATGGCTTAGGAGCCAAACATGGTGAATTGGCACATAGATGTAAGCAATTTGGTCTTAGAAAAAATAGCCTCTTTGTTCATTTTTCAGTTGAATTTATTATGGTGACATTGGTTAATAAAATTATAGGCTTAAGGGATACAGTTCTGTAATCAGCAGATGTGTATTGTGTGTTCACCACCCCAAGTCAAGACTCCTTCCATCACCATTTATCTCCTCGCCTTTACTTTTTCCTACCATTCCCACCCTCCTTTTTGCCTCTCTGTTCAGGTTTTGTTGATTTCTCTTCTTAATTTTATAGTGTGTTTAGAAACATAAATAGGAGACTAGAGAAAAAGTTGGGTCATACTAAGATTCAGATTCATAATGTGAAAGATGCCTACATCACATACTGGCTCACTTAAGTATTTAATCCAAAGAACTTGAGATATTCAATGTGATTTTCTCTAATTCTGTTACTTGGATCATTTGTTCATTACTTCAGTTGGTAACAAAATGATGTCAAATTTAGAGTAAGAATATTAATAGTAATTCATGCCTGAATAAGATGTTATTAATGTTTGATCTAAAATTATTTTTTGATTAAAGTAATAATACCCTTTTATTTAGGCATTTTTGTTTTGTTAAATATTGTTTCTTTTGTTCATCTCTTTGACTAGAAATATCAAGCAGAAGCGTTTAAAATCTCAGACAAGAGTGGTTACTGAGCTGGTGGGTTCTCCTACCCAGTCTACCTCAAGTCAAGCAGCTTACTCTGCAAGACACAAGACAAGTGCTGGTGTCTCTTCAGGCATTACTTCTGGTGACTCTTCAGATTCAACAGGATCATCAGAAAGAATAAGAAGAAATAGAACTGCCCCTCTAACAAATGGTTCTGCCTTATCTGGTGAGAAGTGGAACATTATGTTAGTCAACTGCTGAGCGCTCAGAGGTTTAACATTGCTAGTTACTGTGGGTTTGCAGGAAGGAATAAATATGACATGGCCTTTACAACTCAAGGAACTTAAAGTTCAGTGGGAGACAAAAGTAACAAACATGGAGCAACTAGATTATGTTTGATAAGTACTGTTCTTTGTAAATGATACTGCCACATTTTATGCAAATTTGATTCCTCCACATTTTAAATAATGTGATACCACACATTGTATGCAGTCTTTGGCATTTAAGTTAAAATTTTTTTTTTAAAGATTTTATTTATTTATCTTTAGAGGGGAATGGAAGGAGAGAGGGAGAGAAACATTAATGTATGGTTGCCTTTCGTGCGTCCCCTGCTGGGAACTGGCCTGCAGGGAACCTGCCTGCAACCCTAGCATGTCCCCTGACTGGGAATCGAACCGCAATTGTCTGGTTTGCAGGCCCGCGCTCAATCCACTGAGCTACACCAGCCAGGGACTTAAGTTAAAAAATTTTGACATTTAAATAAAAAGAGGCATGGTAGTTTACAGCTGATGACCTAGTAAATTCTCAGTTATGTTATTGTTATTTGGTAGTATAACTAGCTGATGCTAACCCTTTGCTGGCATTGTGTGGGTAAGGCTGTAGTGATTATGTGCTTCGGTGTTGTTGCTTTCTGGTGATTTTGGTGAATTGTGATGATAATATAATAATTGTTGCAATTAAAGTAATAGGATCAAGCAGGTAGAATGTAGCCATGTTTAAGAGACTGGCAAGCCTTGCAGAAGAGTCCCCTAATTGGGTCTCTTGTTGAGTAAGGGAGTCACATGAAAAATTCTGTTTTAAGAAGATGGATCATTTTGGAAGTGGTATGTAGGAAAGAGGAAGAATCTGGAAACAGTGTAGTAGGTAGTGGAATAGAGTAGAAGCAGTCAAAGCAGACAAACAGCAGAGCAATTTCAAAAGAAGAAACACAGTTTGGTGACTAACATTTTTCTAGCACATCCACTTTCTTTTCTAACATAGAGTTGGGTTATGTAATGTTGTAAAATTTGTCTTTTAACAGTGTTCCCATCCATTTTGATGAAGTTTTCATTCTGTGATAGGCATGTAAGAAGTAAGTCTGGATGAAGGAACAGGAATTTGAGTTTCCTGTCTTGTGCTCTTACTGGGGCATATACTTGTTTATTTGGAATATGGGGGGGGGGAATGACCTGTGATATTTAAATTATTTATTGTACTTTTTCCATTTTTTTAAAAGCATGTAAAAATGACCATTCTTGAGCTGTGAAAGGTACAATTATACCGTTAAGAAGGGCTATTAGAGAGAATTACTAGGTTTGAAATGTTGGATTTGAAATGACAGGTCTTTTCTGTTGGAAATACCTGTTTCATAACAGAAAGAAGTGGCATAGCAAGGCTAATTAAATGTTTAAATGCAAGTTTGTTTATTAAATATATAAATTGAATTTTCTGAAACCAGGAATAATGTATGTTACTTTCAGAAATAAGAAAACAGACTTATTTGGTATGATGATTATGTACCTTTTGATACCAAAATTTTATCAGCTGTTTTTTCAAATAACTTTTAAGAATATACTCTTAAGTGTTTTAAGAATCTGCTCCAAGTCTTCTGTTGTGAAATAACTGCTTATGTGTGTAAAGATAGAATATATGTAATGAACTGTTGATGCTTTATTTTTCTTAGAAAGTGAAATGGAAGATTCCTTAAGTACCTCTTCATCTTCAGCTTCAAGTAGTTCCGAGGAAAGCAAAGAGAGTTCAAGAGCTCGTGAACCCTCCTTACGTGGGAGGCTAGCCAGAAGCAGCAATCTCAGAGTGACCAGGACCAGAGCTGCCCAAAGAAAAACTGGTAAGAGACTCTCAGTGGTGCTTTGGGGGAATATACATCAAGAGAATTCAAAAGCTAAACATTAAATGGCTTATTGATTCAATGCATCTACATGTGATTAAATGTTCTTTAGGCTTTTTAAAAAATTGAGGTGTAACTGACACATATTAGTCTCAGGTGTACAACATAATGATTTGATATTTGTATACATTGTGAAATGACCACAAGTCTAGCTCCCATACATCACAATATATAGTTATGGAAGTTCCTTTTTCATTTTTCCCTTGAGATAAGGACTTTTAAGATTTACTCTTTTAGAACTTTAAAAAATGCCATACAGTATTAACTAGTCATCATGCTGTACATTAAATCCCTGTGATTTATTTATTTTACTTGAAGTTTGGACCTATTGACCCCCTTCACCCATTTCACTGTTCTCTGTATCTATGAGCTTGGTTTTGTTTGTTTTTTAGATTCCACATAGAAGTGAGATCATATGGTATTTGTTTTTCTCTAACTTATTTCACTTAGCATAATGCCCTTAAGGTCCCTGTGTGTTGTTACAAATGGCAGGAATCTGTCCTTATGGCTGAATAGTATTCCAATGAATCTGTATATCATATTTTCTTTATTCATCTATTGATGGCCACTGCTTGTTTCCATAGCTTGACTATTGCAAATAATGCTGCAATGAACATGTAGGTTCATAGAACTTCTGGAGTTGTTTTTGTTTTCTTTGGATAAATACCCCAAAGTGGAATAGCTGGATCATATGGTAGTTCTAGTTTTAGTTTTTTGAGGACCGTCTATGCTGTTTTCCATCACAGCTGCACTGATTGACATTCCCACTGACAATAGGCAAGAGTTCCCTTTTCTTCACACCTTGCAAACACTTATTCCTTACTTGTTGATACTAGCTACTCTGATATCTCACTGTGTTTTGATTCACATTGCCCTGATGATGAGTGATGTTGAGCATCTTTTCATGAGTACTCTGGCCATCTGTATGTTGTTTTTGGAAAATGTCTATTCAGGTTGTCTGTTTTAAATTGGATTTTTGTTTTGTTTTGAGTTATAGAAGTTCATGATTTCCTTTGCTCTGCAGAAGCTTTTAGTTTGATGATTTAGTCCCACTTTTTTGTTTTTGCTTATTTGTTGCCTTTGTTGGTCAAAGCCAAAATGGGTCTCCTAAGATTCAAAGAATCAACAAGGCCAGTGTCAAGGAGTTTACTGCCTGTGATTTCCCTAGAAGTTTTATATTCTTACGTTTACATTCAGGTTTTAATATTTTGAGTTAATTTTTTTGTGCAGTGGTGTAAGATAGTAGTCTAGTTTCCTTCTTTTACATGTGGCTGTCCAGTTTTTCCTACATCATTTCTGCCTTTCCGCCCCCCCCCCCCCAGCCCTCCTGTTTCTACCCTGTCTTGTTATTGTCCATGTGTCCTTTAAAATTGTTCATGCAAACCCTTTGCCCTTTCCCCTTTCTCCCTATAATCCCCTCCTCTTTGGTCACTGTTAGCCTGTTCTCAATGTCAGCTGCTGGTCATATTTTGCTTGCTTGTTCCTTTTGTTGATAAGGTTCCCATTAAAGGTGAGATCATATGGCATTTGTCTTTCATTGCCTGGCTTATCTCATTTAGTATAATGCTCTCCAGTTCCATCCATGCTGTTGAGAAGGGTAGTAGTTCCTTCTTTCTTTCTGCTGCATAGACTTCCATCATGTAAATGTACCATAGTTTTTTGATCCACTCATTTACTGATGGGCACTTAGGTTGCTTCCAACACTTGACTATTGTAAATTGTGCTGCTATGAACATTGGGGTGCATAGGTTCTTTTGGATTGGTGTTTCAGGGTTCTTAGGATATAATCTTAGCACTGGAATTGCTGGGTCAAAAGGCCAGTTCCATTTTAGTTTTTTTTTTTTTTTTGAGGAAATGCCACTGTTTTCCATAGTGGCTGCACAAGTCTGCAATCCCACCAACAGTGCACTAGGGTTCTCTAGTGCTCCACAGTGCTCCACAACCTCTCCAGCACTTGTTTGTTGCTTTATTTATGATGGCCATTCTCAACAGTCCTACACCATTTATTGAAGAGTCTGTCTTTTCCCCATTGTATATTCTTGGCTCAGTTGTTGTAAATTTATTGACCATGTGTGTGTGGGTTTATTTCTAGATTGTCTATTCTTTTCCTTCCTTCAAGCCTTTTAGATTTAGAAAGAAAAATCTGGTTTGGGCAGTAAAATATAAGGAATATCAGTACTAAAATAATAGTAATTTTAAAAATGTTAAAATAAGGAAGACCTTCCTAATCTTACTGTTACTTTATTTCTAGGTCCACTTTCTTTAGAAAATGGATGTGGCAGAAAAGCCACTAGAAAGAGGGTCTATTTAAGTGACTCTGATAACAATTCAATGGAGACTGGTGAAAGTCTAACAGCTCGAGCTGGAAATAACCGGAAAGTGCTACGAAAGTGTGCTGCTGTGGCTGCCAATAAGATAAAGCTAATGAGTGATGTAGAGGAAGATTCTAGCTCTGAAAGTGTCTGTTCTGGCCGTAAGCTGCCTCACCGCAATGCTTCTGCTGTAGCTAGAAAAAAGTTATTATATAATTCTGAAGATGATCAAAGCTTAAAGTCAGAAACTGAAGAAGAGGAGCTAAAAGAAAAAAATCAACAATCACCAGTGTCCAGCTGTCATGTTGCCCAGAATAATGTCAGTGAATCTGAAAATGGAGACTCAGAGTCAGAGAGTGACTTGAAGGTAGTCCGGAAAAGTTGGCAGGCGAATGGTCACAAGTCACACACTCCAACAACTTCCAAAACGAAATTTCTTAAAATAGAGTCCTCTGAGGAAGACTCTAAGAGTCATGGTTCAGATAATGGACATAACAGAACTATTGGCCCGTCAACTTCTGGGCAGAAACTTAAGGCAAGAAGCATCTCAGGGAAAGAGGAGGAAGCAGATTCTGAACCAAGAAAGTATGATGGTAGGAAATACAACACAGGTCGCAAGAATGCTGCTTTCCTTAAAAAAGCAAAGATCTTCAGTGATTCAGAGGACTCTGAATCTGAAGAAGATAGAAAAGACAGTAGATGTCACAAAATGGCAGCAAACCTGATGTTGGGGAATCTGAAGTGTGAACCTATTGCTGGGTCCCATCGTTTCTCAGATCATGTAGCTGAAACTGATTTGGATTCAGATGATGACAAAACAAAAGAAAAACTGAACAATTTTATGAAAGGTAATGGAAAACATTTCACTGATTTACTCTTACTGTCCTTTCGTCGTAGCATATGTTGCTATGTGCTCACGTAACTGTTTGTTGAGTACATTTAGTTTGATTCAAATGACAGGCAATCTTGGCCTTAACTATTTCTGTAAAGATTTCACTTCTTGTATTGGTGATGGGGATTATTGTATTGGCTAATAAGGGTTTAAGAAAAGCAGAGACAAGCACATTTATGACCTGTTGGTAGTTTGAGAAGAGGAAAGAAAAGGGTAGGACTGGTTGAATGTGATAATAATAATAGCAGCAAACAGAACAGTTACTGAGATGTTCTGTCTGTCATGATGCTTTTCTAAATGCTTTGTTTATTAATCAGTTTAGCATTCATATCTTTTATGAGATAGGAACTATTACTGTTACTGTCAGTTTTACTGATAACTCTGGAGCATGGAGAGGTGCCCTAAGTTGCCAAATTGAGATTGCACTCCTGCTAATGGGATTGATAAAAAATATTAAAGAGCAGGGGCAGCTAAAGCTGGGGTAAAAAGTTGCTGGTGTGACAGGAACTTGTAAAATTAAGAAGAGTTTCAGGAAGGCTAAGTAAGTGGCTTGTGTGCATATGCTAGTGTAGCGGTAAAGAGAGTTTAGTCTGTATTCATGTAAAATGTTTCAGTGTCAGGTGTTTTGTGGAAGTGGCTGGAAAGGCATGGGGTTTTACTGATGAGAATATGTACTTGTGAATGGTGCTGAGGCTAACAAGTTACTTCTTTCCACCATGCTCACTGTCACCTTCCTTCCAAGTTAATAAGAATGAAGAATTCTGGACTGAAGTTGTTTAAATGTTCTATTAAAGATTAAAGGAATACTCTTAATTTTTAGATTCTACATCACAAGATCATGGACAAAGAAGAAAAGTTTCCAGGAAAAGGGTCTGTTCCAGTGACTCAGAGAGCAATTCAAAGGTGGTTAAGAAACCCTCCAAAGCCAAAACGGGTCTCCTCAGGATTCCTCGAAGATGCGCAACCACCGCTGCCAGTAAGATTAAACTTATGAGTGATGTGGAAGATGTTAGTTTAGAAAGGATGTGTACTAGAAGCAAAAGTGGGAGGAAAAAGCCCCTCCGTTCTGCATGTGCCACAGCTAAGAAGACAACGAGCGGTTCCGAGGTAGACGTAAACTGTGAAGTGCCAAATGACCAGGATGCCTGTGAAGGAGAGTCACCCGAAGCCGACTCAGAAGGTAGTACAAAGAGCATTCATCAGTCTTCACATGGAGACTCAGGTTCTGAAGGTATGTCAAATTCAGAACATAGGAACAGGCCTATGAGGCATACCAGTAATCACAAAACAAAAGCTGCACCTTCTAGAACAAAGAATTCATTGATTGGGTCTTCAGAGGAAGATTCAAAAAGCCATATTCCAGGGGGTGAGATTGGTAGAAAATTTTCTTCTGAGTCAGCTTTGGAGCAGACAGATACTGCAGAGACCAACTTTGAAGAGGAACTGAACTACGGGCTGCGCAGGTGGAATGGCAGAAGACTCAGGACCTATGGGAAGGCTCCTTTCAGTAAGACAGAAGTCATTCAGGACTCACAGGAAGCAGCTAAGATGGAAATCAGAAGAAAGAGACTACATCCTGAATTGGAGAATGTGAAAACTTTAAAAACAACAGGGAATTCAGAGTGTGGACCTGACACTAGTCCCAGATCTGATTCAGAGTTGGGGTCTGTAACTGAATCGGATGTTGACTGTGCCGATGAGACAAAAACCAAAAAGAGGAAAATGAAGGGAAAAGCAAAAGTAGTTAGAAAAGGTAAAACTTTTACAGCTAACGTATCTAAAACTGTGAGGCGACAAAGACAGAGCAAGCGCCCTAGGTTAAGTGTGGATGATAATGACTGGGAGGATTTGGACTATGCAAAATCTAAGAGAGTTCTTCGACGTTCAAAAATAAAAACGAGAAATCAGGGTAGAAGGACCGTGAGGTACCATGATGGCGATGATGACAGAAACTTAGAAAGTGTGTTAGATTCTGATGATTGCACCTTATGACCTTGAGGGAAGACCAGTTCATTTAAAGAGAAAATGGACTGGAGTTTATGGTGAAACCTGGCTATTGAAATTATTTTTTTGTCCTAAAATTCAGGGAATATATTTATATTTTTCTATGAAAAGTTATGAATGTGACTAAATCATGACTGTTATTTTTATTTGCACTTGCTTGCCTTTGTAGCAGCATTCAGCACAGGTGCCAAAATATGCTTCATTTTGGGGGCAGATCTACTTAAACAGTATGTAACTACATACGTATAGCAGGAGTTTGAGATACGTTAAAACACTAGACATCCTGGTTATCATAACCAATGAGCATTACTTTCATGGTAGCGAGTGCCATGCAGATGTTTTCTAAATTCGTCAGGAGGTGGTAGTTTCTAACCCGTGTCCCATTGTAGTAGAACAGTTTCACATGACCTACATTTATGGATTTTTCATGAATATCACGTGCATACTGACATTACAATCATGGGGGATGTTGACCATGATTAGTAGTAGGGAGAGGACCTACCACTTTTTTTCTTTCCCAGGCTACTTGAGTAGAATGCATTATCCCGGATTTGGTCATTTTCATTGAAATGGTTTTCAGTTTTCTTTCCAAATACTGTTGGGTCTCTTTATTTTAAAGGAAAATATAATTTTTATTTTATAAACTTGAATTTATAAAGTGTTGGTAAATTATTTTTAATGTTTTGATTGTATATTTCAAACCTCTAAGGCCAGACCTTCGTCCTAGCATTTTCTTTTAAATTGTGCACTAACAAAATGCCATGTAATTTTCTTTTTAAGATCTCCTGGTCTCCATGTAAGGGATTTAACCAAACTCTTGGTCTTCCATAGTCTTACTCTGTGAATTAGAGTTTGTGTGCCTTAGATTTAGGAAAAGTTTGTTCTTTAATAGAGTGTACAGGACTAAAAGTATTTAAATTATATGTAGTTTCCCCCATTTTTATTGAAATCGTAGAGTTGAGTGAAGTGTGCAATGACAGATCTCATCTGTACAGGAAACCAGTTCAATGTTACTCTCCATCTCTTTGTTTTAGCTTTGCTGCCTTGTGCAATCTCAAGCATTCATTCTTTGCTGGGCAACTAAGTGTATCTTTATTAGTGACCTCTAGTTACAATCTAAGAAAGTCATGTTTTGTGGGAAAATAATCTTGGAATCCATTTAAAATGAAACTTCTATCACATCATCAAATACCATAGTACACTTATTTTTTTCGAGCCAAATAATTTCTTACTTGATAGGTTGTGCTACTCCACAGTGTAGGTAGCCATTCCTAGCTGGTTTGTACCTGAAGATGGACTTGCTTCAAATGGTTTACATATTTTGTAGTGAAGGGGTATGTTACAGTACTTCCACCTTTAATTGGCTCTAACTATTTGGTTTCAGACAAAATTAACCTTTTTTTTCTCCTGTGTACCCTTAAGGTGGCAGATATGGAAAAGCACCCGACTCTGGTATTAGTGTTAGGCAATGTTTTTAAGTGCTGTTACTTTATTACCTATTCTGTTTGACATGGTAGGAAATATTTCTCTTCCTGCATTAATGTAAGGGGAAGGCTATTTTTGGACATTACCAGCTGAGATAGGTGGCATACCTGCCTCTCCTTTGGTTGTTTCGAGAGCTATCACCACTTTAGGACTATGATGCGCTTCTTCTCAAAGCTTGTATTGAGTTTATAATAGACAGTTTGATGCAGGGTAATTGTCCTTGATTTTTGATGTGAAAAAATTAATGGAATGTTCTTTCCTTCCCGGATTTTAAGAAGTGGTGATAGATGTCATATCCATTTATTTATTTAAACTCTTCTTTAATATCTCTTCTCAGGGTTTTAACTCCATGTTTACCATCATTTGCAAAAAGGTACCAAAAATCCAAAAATAAATATGTAACACACCCATAAACACATTCTTTTGCTAAAATGATAGATACTTTGACCATTTAACTTTCACCAACAGAAGTACTCTTATCTCTTAGGACTGAATCAATGATTTAGTCAGTGATTGGCTAGTCAGCTAATTATTGATTTTTCATTTTGTCCAAAGTGGTTAGACCCTTGTTTACAGAAGTATTCTGGTTTCATCTGAAAACAAAACAAAAACAAAAACAAGAACTGACCTGGTGACTTGGAAGGCATGATTGACAATGGTAGCTTCTCAAGTTCTGAAGTAAAACTAAGGGATTCTAGAGAGAATAATTTTTATGGTGTTTTTTGGTCATGGTGCTATTCCTAAGTTTAACTTTGAATATGTGACACACACTCCTAAATACCTTTAAGGAAAGTTAATAAATAATGGTTCAAAATGTTTACATTGACCACTAGAAGGCTTGACTTTTTTTCTACTTGTCTTTATGCAAAAATGCACAAGGATTTAATGCACAGATGTACTTTACCGTGTTTGGGATCAGTTTGTACTTTTCGTACCAAAAAGATGAAAGGTTACAAATTGAATGTGAACTGATCCAGAAGTGCTGTCGCTTTCCGTTGCACTTGAAATAACTTAATGGTATGTGATAAAAAAAAAAAAAGACTACTGTGGTTGTGTATGTCCAAAGTCCTACGATTTTATTTGTTTACGGTTTAAACAAAAAGGTTTGATTTGATTTTTGATTTCTTTGAAAGACTAATTTTACCAAGCATATTAAGAAAAAAGTTTTCATTTAGAAAGTAGGTGAGGTTTTAAAAGCATTTTTCCATATCTTACCTATTTAAAAAGGGTATACTGACAATGTATAGTAATTTCTAAATAAAAGGAAAGTTTATCCCTAGATTCCTAGGATGGTCATTCTCCCTTTTTTATTTTAGGGTAAAATCTCTGATTAAACCCTTTCTCAATTTAGCAATCCACAGAAAAGGATAAAGCAGTTACAGCTTCTAAGTTAAAAATAAGAGTTTCTTTTAAATAGTAGAGAGTTGTACCTGAAAAGGGAAATAGTTTTTTAATAACGAAGTGTGAGGAAAGACCTTCTGTTTTAGGAAAATGCACTTTAAAACATAGAAGTGCAAATGGGAAAAGGAAAAATAAACCAATAAAAATACTGTCTGAGGGTACTCCTGTCCAAAAACAGTAACACACGTCACCAAGTTCTTCCCACTCCATTGGTTGATGACATTGTAAGTAAAAATTCAAATTTAGAAAAACACTGGGTCCATACTACATTTCCTGTCCACCTTCTAGCCTTTTTTACTTTAGAATAATTAGAACACAAAGTTTATTAACTTCATTATATAGTATTAAAAACTAAGCTGAAAGGATTTAACATTTTCTGTCAGTACAAATTGGATTTGATTGTGCCACCTGAACAAAATGAAGGTTTTGTATATCAGAATGCAAGAACATTGTTAAAGGTGCCTAACATATATTTTTGGTTTTCTTTTCTACTAAATTGCATTGCTTTTTCGAGTGACTTGTAAATGGCCAGGTAAGGGCTTTTTGTCTTGTCCTTTACTATAGCTGAAATACCAGCCCCATTTTTTCATTGATAAGTCAGCATATCTACTTTGGCAGGTATCTTGTACTGGTCATCAAATACAGTACTGTAGTTTTCTTACACTGTATGGAAATTATAGCTCAATTCTAGTATGATGGGGTACAACAAAGTGTCTTCAATGTAGAAGACATTTTTGTCTGTTAATTACTTAAGTACACCTCACACTCTCCTATGGATATCGGGGAGTAATTAAGCAGAGAGCCTAAGAAATTTGCAGCTTCCAGTTTAAAGACTGTCTCTTGTCTAGTATTTGGGAACAGAAAGACCAGATAAATTTGTCAAAGCTAGGGAGAAAATGGAGTGTTGTAGAAATGTATAGTCCAAAATATAGATTAATAAATGCCAGTCCTACTTGTAGCTCAGTTGTGAATTAATGGAAAGGAATGAAGTATATGGCGTGATGACGAATCCCGTGTTATGTCTTATATTTATAAAGAGCATTTTTATAGCGATTTTCTTAAGTGACAGATAAGGATACATGGGAATTCTCAAAGTTCAGGGGGATTTTTACCAGTAACTGAACCTGCCAAGCTTGTTCCTAATATATTACTAATATGGTAGAAAATTATATAGACTCTTTTTTGTTGTCTGTTCAAGGATTGCTCTTACAAGGGATTTGATGGGGGCAGGGGAGGTTGGCTTCTGTATTTGGCAGCTTGTCCTAGAGGGGTGTCCAACCTTCTGGCATCTCTGGGCCACACTGGAAGAAGAAGAGTTCTCTTGGGCCACACATTAAATACACAAACACTAACAAAAACCGATTAGCAAAAAAAAGTTCTAAGTAAATTTACAATTTTGTGTTGGGCTGCATTCATAGCCATCCCAGGGCCGTGGGTTCGACACCCTAATGAGTCAAGACTAGAAGTTTCACTCAGAATAATTATCAGTGTTACAACCTATTTTCTGGTCATACTGTAGTTTGTGAAGTTAACTTTAAGGTAAGTTTTATTGTGGATTAAAAACTTTAATGGGGATTTGGACTGCTAAAGAGAAAGGGGCATTCGGACGACCTTCCTGAACGGAGTTGACCGGCTACATCCAGCAGCTAGCCCTACTTCCTGGGTTCTGCGAGGAATACCTTCAGAAAGTGTTACCCTTTTCAGTGGTTAAATGTTAAAGGGTTCTTATTTTTTAATATATTGAAGTTAGTTTTCTAAGTGTTGATCCATATTTAGTCCCTAGACTGTACACATTCAGTTCATTTGGGAAATTCTTGCCATTTTACTGGTTGGGAAAGAGCCAAATCTTTTAATTTTCCTCTCCCACACAAGATCTCTAACTCATTAGTACATCCGAGTAATAGCATTTTCATCTAGGAACCAATTTTTTAGTTCATTACTATAATAAATTTAATGCGGCTTTTAAAAAAACTACTTCAAGCCTCCTGGCTGATGGGATTCAGTAAGGTCTGCAATATGGGGTCATTTGTCTGCACACCTCATCTTTACCTCCTGTCTTCTGCAGCTCCCTCCCCTCTACCCATTAGTGACTTCTGGGGTAGGCAGAACAGTGGGCTACCAGTTGGGGGAGCTGGGGGTGCGGAAGGGAGGCCTGAGGTGTGCTTGAACCCCTTGTCATTGGACTGTGTGCCTGCTGCTTTTCATAAGGGAAGTAACAAAGTTGATGGGAAATTCGTTATTTACCTCTTACACCTAACCCTGCCTATGCTAGTTTAAAATGCTCTGAGATAACCTCTTAAAAGTTCATTAAGCAGATAAGCATCAGATTCCTTTCATACTTCATAGAGTTTACGTCAGATTTTTAGGAAAAAGTTGGAATAGCCATCACCAATTTTGTGAGAATCAGAATGTTACCAGTTAACTTTTCTAGAGATGAGAGAGCTGTAGATTAACTGTAGGTGCAAAATAAAACAAGGTTTTGTGGTACCATCACTAGTTGTATCGAAGACTTGATAAATTAATCTATTCAACCAGAAAGGTGACCAAACTAGTGGGGAACGGCTTTAGATGATGTCATTGTTTCTGATAGTCTCTTCACCTGACACTGCCATACAGCAGGAGCTGACTTCTCAACGTCAGCAACTCCCCTAGGAAAGAAACCCATGAGAGTTACAGAAAACATTTTATTCTACGTTCTCTAAAGAGAGTTTTCAGTTTGTGGGATCCTTTTGGAAACTTCAGGGCAGGGATGAATATTGGTGACATGCTATTTGCTTCCTGAGTTTTGGTTAACAGTGAAGGAAAACAACGAAGAAAGGAAATCTCCAACCAGTTCTGATGAAGGCTTGAGAGAGGTTAGGATTTGCCACTAAAAGGTTTCCCCCCATGCGGGACCGATGCACCCAGCAGCCACACCCATCCAAACGTCAGTACTTGAGAAGTATGTGAGGTAGGCCTGTGTACTGTTTTCAGTTCTGAGTCAGGCATTCTCTTTCTGCCTCAGATCTGTTTTTAGTATTCCAGTTACAGTGCTGATCAGATTAAAAGTTCTACTGCAATGATGCGTAGTTTGGATTTAGGAAGGCAATTTAGTATGAAGTATAGTTGGGATATGAATCCTTAAAACATAGAACCTGGAGATTATTGCTTTCAATCAAAGTTGTACTGTCCTATACCCATTTCTGTCCACTACAGATCCTCTTAGAATACACAGTGATAACAGAGATGATTTCAAGTGGTCATTTAGGTACCTGATCAAGCACTACTACAGATGTTTGTTTTTCTACTAATGAGGTTTTTGCCACACCCAGACAGGGATTTATTTGTAGGAGAGCAGCAGTGCCACCAACAGTGATGTTCCAACCCACCCGACTGACCCAAGACCATCCGAGACAGAAGGACTTTGAATGGTACTGTTAGCATTAAATGACACAAATGAATTGAGAGCAGCATCCTCCAAAATTTTGAAGCTTGTACACTAACATATAAATTGGACTTCTCTAACTGAATTATCCTGTATATATTTCTAAAAACTTTGGAGTTTTCCAAGGAAAATAAAGTACTTCATAATTTACCAAGTTCTCAGTAATAAAATTAACACTGACTTACATGCATTACTTTTTAGTTCCACATGTTACTCATGTCTTCCTCACACTGTACGTTCTAAGACTTCAACAGATAACAGCTTTATCAAGTTCAAGTTGCTATATGCAATATAACATTCCCATAGTCTTCCCCACTCTGGACAGTTCTTTATTTGAAGTTCAAATTTCCTTAAAGTATTTTTAAAAGCTACTTGTAGTTTCTTCTGTAGAATCTTAACTTTCCCCTTATTTTGGATTATAAATAAGCATTTACTAAAATGACTTACAGTTAGTTTACTGGGTTCATAAGTTGTTAGTATAGGGTACATCACTCTGTCACAAAGGAATTAATTACTGCAACTTAAGTCATTTTGTCCCACCTCACTTTTTAGTTGTAATAGGACTGTGTGTGCTTGTCAACGGGGTGTATTGTTGGGAATGAACCAGTTGCCTGTTTTTAATGACATTTCAACATGCAAATGGCTGCATTTAGTTGAATGATGCTAGTGTATTCTTAAGTCTGTTACAAGTTCATTATAAGTTCAAGTTCCACCTTAATTTTGCTATGTATTTTTTTCATTTTATCTGTTGTAGCATGCTAATATATAGGTGGGCCAAAAGGTTTACAATTGTAATACAATGAATAATGCAATAATTAATACAAGAAGAAACTTCTGTGGACTCACAACTGTAAACCTAATTTTGCCCACCCCTGTATGGTTTAGCGTTTGCCTGACACTGATCACGTGTTTGAGATTGGTTTTGGACCAAGGGTTGGTTTGCAGAGACTAATGTTCACAATGTAGAAATTCCTAAAAGAAACTCTTTGAAGTGGTAGAAATGATGCATTTTGAGCTATTCCCATTTCACTCCCCCAGCCTCACGGACATACATGACTTCACAGAGCCCGGATGGGGGCGGGGCAGAGTATGCTGCATGGGGTGCTGCCGTGATCACGTTAGTCTGCTAAAATGCCATTTTTGCAATGCCTGGTGATTTGTATTTAATAAGACGTGACATCTTTAGAAATAGAATTCCATTGGAAAGGCATGTGAAACAACTGGCAAAAGGAACTAATGTGTTTTAGGTTTCTTTTAATAAAGTAGTTCCTAACCTATTTGGGGAGAACTCTTAATGGGTCTTGGAGAAAGCACAGGCACATCTTTGAAACGAGTTTCAAAGAATTAAGGTAAAATGTGGAGAACTTTCCTTTTAAGGGCAGAAGACTTTACTCAGAATCCTCACTGTTAACATGTCAATTCAAAGAAGCCATTTTCACGGGTACTCATTTGTTCTCAGTGATGGGAGGGCAGACATCTTCATTCACAAGAGAAAACTAATAGGCTTGGTAGTTGGTACTGGCACTGATACAGAGTACTGCTTGACAGCTAACTAACGCCAAAGCCTTATTTTCTAGTCCTTTGTAGTGAAAAGGCTATCGTGGGCATCAGTTCTCCAAGCTGTTAAGCGAGATTATTTCTTGACCTACAGCCTGTCTTTATGGACTGCTGAATCTGTGGAAACCAGGTGGGGACCTACAGACTCATCCCCAGCCAGACTTGTCTACTTTTAAGAATTTTAGATAGTCTCATTCTTAACTTCAAGACTGGACTGCCCAGAGATAAGGCATAACACTCGGGCTACTTTAGAGGTGTTTTCATCAAGAAATACTTCTGCCCCAAGAGAGTGCTAATTCATCATTTTTAAATTTGAAAATCTAGCTTTGGGTCCACCTAAGTTGCTAAACATCTGGTGGCCCCTCAGCACAGCTCCAGGGCAACAGCTCTCAAGCCGCCCTCCAAAGCTGCCTCAGTGGGCCTGGAGGAACTGCTCTCTTCCCTGTGCAGCTCCTGGCTAAAGGATCCTTCCTCAAAGGCATCCTTCCTTGCCCCCCACTGGAGGTTTGGTTTCTAGAATGTGTTCTCACAGCACTCTGCACTGCTTAGCTCTTTTACATGTGTAGAATTAGTGTGTTCTTGAATCTTTACCCGGATCCTCTGTGTGCCTGGCACATCCCTAGCTCAGAAACTATTTGAATAGTGACACTCGAGTTAAAAAATTCCAGTTATGTAAAATGTGCAAATATTTGGAAAAAATGAATCTGGGATTAAAACTACATTTCAATATACAATTCCTTTGTATCTACTAGTTAACCAATTTGATTTTTTTTGTGGGGGAGGGGGAACCAAAGAAAGTACTGGTCTGTATTCCAGTTAAAACCTTAACAAGGATCTTGGAATCCAGCTGCTGCTGTGTTCCAAGCTGTACTGGAATATGGACCAAGCCATGCCACGATGGCCCTTCCTCCTCGTTTAGGTTCTAGGAAAATTGCAGAACCACTGAGTATGTTAAAGCAGTTCAACACAGAGCACTGGAAATGATACCAAAACCGTAAAACCTGTACGTGGTCCTATTTTAAAATTCAGATTTCTGGCTAACGGCTTTATGATGCTTTATGATACTTAACACCATTCTTACAAGTCTGCTACTGTTTTTAGTGCCTGTTATCCTTACCGATTACAAAGTATGCTAGGTGAAGGGAACTTAGCTTCTTGAATAGACTTCCTTTTGTAGATAATGAAATGAAAGGTTATATCAACGTCAAAAACATATTGATGATCACTTATGTATTTTATTTAGCAGTATGACTGGTTTTACAGTTTATTGTTTAGGAATGTATTGTTGTGGAATGTAAGTAGTAAAATCTTGTGTTACAAGATTTTTGCATTTACATGAACTTTCACTCATTTTTCAGAATCTGTTCCTAGAGACAGAAAACCCAATACAAAAATGAGAACATGTTTGCATAATCAGAAGGATGCAGTGCAGATGCCTAGTGACACTGTGAAAGCAAAAATGGTGCCTGAGAGAGTTCCCCGCAGATGTGCTACTGTTGCTGCAAATAAAATAAAGATAATGAGTAACCTAAAGGAAACAATTTCAGGACCAGAAAATGTCTGGATTAGGAAGAGTAGCAGAAAACTGCCCCATCGAAATGCTTCTGCTGCGGCTAAGAAAAAGTTACTGAATGTTTATAAAGAGGATGATACAAGTATAAATTCTGAAAGTGAAAAAGAGCTAGAAGATATTAATAGCAGAATGCTTTTGTTTTAGGTCAGATCCTGGAAAGCAAAAGCAAGTAGTTAGTGTCTATGAAAATGTAGAAATGGAATTGAAAACCATCCGGGGCCACAAGTAAGCTGGCAGTTGCATTTTGCTCTTAGCTCTAAAGTTAATCCCTTGTTGGCACCTTTCAAGGAATTTTCTGAAAGCCATAATCCAGAGAGTCAAGGTGGGTCCTAGGAAGGCTTCCTCCCATGGAGCCTTTGTACAGACACAAACTACAAAGAATTCTGAGGAGGAAATAGATTTGTGAAGCTGGTAGTTGCAGAGGTGCAAAGAAAAGACTGATGGCCTCTCCTAAGATTATTCCTCTTCAGAAAGGAAGGACCTTGGAGAAATTTCTTGACTCCTTAGAGGAAGAAAATACAGTCATCCATATATCCCAGGGGTGGGGTTAGTTCCAGGATCCCCCCAAATCTGCAGATGCTCAAGTTCCTTCTATAAAACAGGGAAGTATTTGCATATAACCTATGCACATCCTCCCATATATTTTAAATCCTCTCTACATTACTTACAGTGCAAATGCTATATAAATAGTTGTCACACTGTCTTGTTTAAGGTCTAATGACAAAAAAGTATATTCAGTACAAAGCAACTACAGTTGGCCTAACTACATAGTACACGCCAGCAACAATGTGATTCCCCACCCCCGCAACAGTGCATGTGGAACCCTTAGAGATGGAGGACCCACCCTAATGGGAAGTACAGAGGGTCTACAGAAAACACTTAAGGGAATGAAAGAAACTCAAAATCTCAACCTGCTAATTTTCAGGGTTCTGCATTAGAGAATAAAAATTCAGACCACCACACCACGACTGTGGATGGTGTCGTTATCAAATAATAAAGAACATTTCAAGAAGTGCCATTGAGCCTATTTGACTTCTGAGTGAAACATAATTTATCAAGGTGTAGTCTGGACAATGCAGAATCCTAACAGCAAAACTTTTTGGACAGAATGATTCAATGATGTGGATTTTAATAATCGAGTTCTGAAGTAGTATTGGAAACAGAAAATCCATTAATGTCTTATTTTATTCATAATATTGAAATTCATATTGAATGATGACCACTTGGTATGACTATTCAGGGAATATATATTTTTCTACGAAAGCCATGAATGTGACTATCACAACTTCGTGTCTTCATTTTTACTTTCAGGCAGCAGCATTTACAGAGATGCCAAAATGTGTCTCATGATGAGGCCGGTCTTAGTTTTAATCAGTCCGAAAATAAAGTATAGATTAAGATCAAAAGTCATATTTTTAGATGACTCAGTGATGCCCTCTTATGTTTCTCTACAGCTTAAAAGTTAGAACTTTATGAAAACTTACTGAATTTATTAGAATCTCATCACAACCAACTTTAATGGCAGTGTGTCTGAGCTATTTCATGGTGACCTTCACTAGGATTAGAAAATCTGGTTTTGTTACTATAAAGAATTTCTTTGAAATGATGTTTAATTTGTTAATAGGTAGTTGTTGAAATTAAAGTCACCAGATTAAATGAATGCACTGTCAAATCTTAATATAGAACATAATATTGGAAAGCTGAATTGTTAATTGTTTTCCTATTTAAACATACCTATGAATACTAATATATGATTTGCATGTTTAAATCTGAAAAAGTAAAACATAGAAACCTAAGGGTTTCTACTTGTTTTTCATTAAAAGACTAACACAATGCATATTTTTTGGTTATACAGATTGGCCAAGTGTCTAGAGTATTTGAGAAATTTGTTTGTGGTTGCATGTCTGCTTAAAAAAAGGCTTTTTTGTTTTCTTTTTCTTAGCATAAGTCAGAATACTTCTACCCTACAGTTCATGTCCTTTGCTCTGTTCATAGTATATTTTCATGTGAAATACTGATACTAGTATCTTGTTACTAGTGCAGTTGAGAAAGGGGAGGAGAATTCCTAATACATGATTTTTAGGTACATGGGGTTTAATTTTTTGGTAATCTAGGTAATTAAATCTATTTCCAGTCCTACATTTATATTTGTTGGGTATATCATCAACACCTCAAAATGAAAATATTTGAAATATCTGAGTTAAGATTTTTTTAAAAGATCTTATTTATTCTTAGAGCGTAAGAGAGGGAAACATTGATCATTTGGCTCTCACAAGCCCCCAAATGGGGACCTGGCCTGCAACCCAGGCATGTGCCCTGGCTGGGAATCTTACCTGGGACCATTCAGTTCACAGGCCAGCACTCAGTCCACTGAGCCACACCAGCCAGGGCTTAGTTAAGATTTTATGCAGAACTTTTTGACAATTTCAGTGTCATGAAAGAATGTCACTTTAGAATTTATAATTTACTCTGTTGGGGTTAAATTCTGTCAGTACTTGAGATTGTATCATCAGCCTTTTTTCATGACGGAACTCCTCCTCTGGTTTAGTATTTAATTTGAACATATATTTGCCTTTTTTTAAGTGCTTGGCCTAAAATTATTGTAACTGTATGAAATAAGCTTTTGTTTAAAACTTAACATTCTTGCTAAAATGTGTGCAGAATCTTAATCATGGCCAAATGTATTATTACTCTATAATTATAATCAGCTTTCCAGAAATGATTTCTTTATAACATAATAGTGAAATCAAATTTGAGGATCTTAATGTTAAAAAATGACATTATTTTATTCAGCAAAAGGACTAAGATAAAGTGATACCCAAAGTTTTTTATTCTGCAATTTGGTCATTCCATAAAGCCAATTAACCCAGGAATGGTAGCGCAATTTTAAAACATCATGTTGGCAATCTTGTATATTCTAGCTAACTGTACCTAAAGTTTCCTAAGCTCTTACAAGACAGCAATTTGGGTCTTAATATTTATACTTAAAGGTTCAAATTCTGCTTCTAAGCCCAGTCTTAAATTTTGCAGTAATGTGTAAAGTTGCTAAATATCGGTTTTATGTAAATGGTTTTGTTGATCATTGTTTCTCCGCATCTTAAAATGAGATGTCTCTAGTAACTTTCTGGGAATTTTTTTTTTTTTATTATCTCAAGAGGCTTTGCAAAACCCCAAATTAGTACTTAACTTTGTGATTATTGACAGGGTTCCAAAATGTAAGCAATGCCATCTAGTTTCAGCGCAACTAAATTCAGGTAATTTAAAAAAAATTTCCCATTGCAATTCTGGATATTTTCATTTGCATTTGAACTATGTGGTACAATTGTCCTCTTTTCCCTCCTGTTTGGAACAGTGCTCTGTGAACTTTGTCTTCCAGCAAATTTTAAAGAGAACCAATTGAACACTTACTTTGCTTACTAGTGAAAAGCTATTTAAAGCGGAAGTAAACTTTGTATTAGAAATGGCCAAGTTTTAAAAAAGCTAATATTTTTGCAGTCTCATAAAGTCTTTTCGATCAGCTTGACGACCATCATGTTTTGAAATGTGAATTCGTACTGCCAGAGTAAAGGCCTCATTTTTATAACCCCACGAAGCACTGTGTTTCTTCCTGCCCTGCCATCCTCCCACTGCCCTTTGTCTGTCCCATGGACGCGCCCGGGTTGACACCTACCTGGGAGCGATCGCGGTTTGGAGAAGGATGATTAATAAACTAAAGCTCCTAACGGAGCAGGAAAACGGAAACGGAGAGAGGGAGGGAAAGGTACAGGGGTCCGCCTCTTTTTGGAGCACTAAGGACAGGAGAATGGGCAGCCAACCCCTTCCCTCTCCCGGTCCGTTACCTGTTGGGACAGCAGGCGCAGCCCCGCGTCCGCCTCTCGACTCCGCCTCTCCAGCCTGAAGTCATCCGATCTTTCGGTCTCCCCGCGAGAACCCTGAGAAGGGAGAAAACTCCCCGATTTTGCGTGACCCTAAGGGTCCCGCGGCGCGTGCGCAGTGGGTGGTGGCAGGGGTTAGGGCGCGTGCGCGGAGACAGCGTAGGGGGCGTGGCAGTGAGCGGGAGCTGGGCTCTGGGGCGTGGCGATACTCTGGGTCGCTCTGGTGGCATTGGTTTGCGGGGGAGGTGCGCGGGGGGCGCATGCGCAATCCGTGGCACTGCTGTTTAGTGGGGCAGGTGGGAGGGGCGTCATGGCGGCCACGTTCTTCGGTGAGGTGGTTAAGGCACCGTGCCGAGCCGGGACGGAGGACGAGGAGGAAGAAGACGAGGGGAAAACGGAGTCGCCCGAAGATAGGGAGGTCCGGCAGCAGTTGGCACGGAAGAGGTGAGGTCCTGGGCGCGAGGAGCTGGCGGCGCGCTTGGGACTGGGGCGGCGGTTCCGGGCTCCGGCTGTCCCGGGAGCGGTGTAGGTTCACCAGACGTTGGCCGCGGCCGCTCATTCGCGGCCCAGCTCTGCCCTGAGGCTCGGGAAGTCCTTGGTGAGTCTGGCAAAACCAGCTCCTGGGGCGTTGGGTGGAGGTGGGCTCGTGTTGGCCTGCTGCAGTTTCGGTGGACTGGTTGGACTCACGTGTTCTTTAAAGGGGTGGTGTGCAAGACTTCCGTAAGCATTGATTTAGGTGGTTTCTTGCGGCCTTTAACTTTTTCCAGGGCTGCGGTGCTATATATCTAAGTGCCTAAGTTTGTCGTGTATTTGGTTCATTAAACATAAGACAACTGTCTTAGAACTTTTATTTTCCGCCCCAAACTTCAGTTAGCATTGCGTGTCAGTGGCAGGTGTTTTTTTTTTCTAAGTATTATTTCCAAGTACACAAAAATTAGAGGAAGTAACAAAATGAAGATTTTGGCACCATTATCTCCCATCACCCATGAGTTCCAGAACCATGGGTTTTCTCCTACCTGAACCTTTTTCAGAATGCATCATAAATGCTATTGGCATTTAGGATGTTGGGGTGACAATATCATGTGGAAGAAAACCACATGATATTGTCATCCCAACAATATTAATCGTTTTTGATACTTTTTAATAGACATTCCATGTCAAATCTGGCTAGTTGCTTCTGATATGATATTTAACAGTGCATTTGTATAGATCAGAATCCTAACAAGGCCCATGCCTTACATGTAGATGTTTTTGTCTTTTCAGCCTTCTTTCATTTAGAGCAGCGCCCCTCCTTTTTCTCCCTTGCTGAGAGCCTGGCTGCCCTGTGGGATGACCCACACTCTGATTTGTCCGATTGCTTCCTCTCGGTGTCCTTTAACATGTTTACATCACCTGCATTTTCTGTAAATGGACGTTCCTTCTAGAGGCTTGGTCTGATTCAGGTTCAATATTTTGCTGGCAAGAATGCTTCAAAGGTGGTGGTTGGTGTTCGTTACTGCTTGCTGTGTCCCTTTGGGTCATCCCACTTTTTGGGATGCTAAGATTGATTGGTGGGCGGGTTAGGCAGACAGCCTAATCTCTATTGTGGAATTCTCTGGCAGCTTTGTATCAAATGGTTTTCTCTATTAGTTATCACCTGGTTCTGTTGTCTCCTGAAGATTATAATTATGTTCTTGATAAAATCAATGTTTATATTTTACTTAATACAAAATTGTAGTAAGTATTTTTGTCATAGTAAGGTACCATTTATATTTAAGTTTCTTTAATTTTGTCTTTTGTGTCTTGTGTTAGGGAGGTGCGGCTCCTTCGAAGACAAACAAAAACATCCTTGGAAGTCTCTCTGCTGGAAAAATATCCATGCTCCAAGTTTATAATTGCGGTTGGAAATAATGCAGTAGGTGAGTGGACGTGCATTAGACTAGACATTTTGTTGAAAGAATAAAATCTCAAGTTACTTCTTTTCATCATAAAATATTTAAATTTTTTTTAAAGAAAAAGCTATAGTAGAGTAACTTTGTATTTGAGTAAAGTCTATCATTGCTCATGTGGCACTTTTTCATAAACTTAATAAGATTTAAAGGAAATGTTCTTGGCTTTAGGAACTTATAAACTCAAGGAATCGGTTCTGTTGTGTTTGGTGTCCAGAATTCCTGAGCTCCAGGGCCTGTTTTGGGCAGACCCGGAGGAGCAGAGATGGTGTATGTACAGGGCCCACTTGCAGCAAAGGTTCTTACCTGTTTTTGAACATTTCTTAAATGCTCCTTTAAAAACATAATGGTAACTCTAAAAAAGAACTAATCATTATCTTTGAGTACTTAAGTTCTGAAGTCTTTACGTAAATGAGTCCATTTGAGTAGTAGTGAGAACGGTGCAGGAATTGGCTGAAACAACATACACCTGTGAGAGCACAAACCTGTATAATTCTCGGGGGTTCTCTGGCTTGGGGGAGGGCGTTTGGGAACCCCAGTAGGACCCTTTGTTCCGTCAGGTAGCCCCAGTGCTTGCAGAACCAGTGCAGGCTAAGTAAGTCCTGAGTCATTTATACCAAGTTCTCCCGGCCTACACTTTTCCGGGTAAGTATTGCATTGTGAGAGCATTGCACAGTGTGTCAATAAACCTTGTCACCTCTGATACCATCTGTGCTCAGCGTGGCTTTTTACTCCTTAAGGCCTCAGTGTCCTTTACTGCAGAATGGTGGTATAAGGGCAGTGGCCTGGAATGGCTCCTTTAGCTTTAGAATTCTGCAGTAACTTGAATGATCTTATTTTTATTGAATTAAAAATGCATCTTGCAGAACTGAACACTAACTTAAGTTGATTGTTTTTACAGCATTTTTGACATCGTTTGTCATGAATTCAGGAGCCTGGGAAGAAGTTGGTTGTGCTAAACTCTGGAATGAGTGGTGCAGAACGACAGACACTGTGCACCTCTCCCCCACAGAGGCTTTCTGTGTGTTTTATCATCTGAAATCAAATCCCTCGGTATGTGGGCTCTGCCTTGTGTGTTTAAGGAGTGGTTGTGTGGGCCTCATTCACGGAGTGTTCGTCTGAATGCCACGGTCCTCTGTGTGCACTTTCGGCCTGAGGAATTCTGCCTGTAGGCAGTGGTGGTGACCATTTTGTTTATATAAATATGAATGAGGTGTATACATTATGTTGGTAAAGTTGTTAGGAAATTCTGATGTAACTTTGTTAGAAACAAACCATAAACAGTAGATACTTAAAATGTTGCCCGTATTCAAAAAAGTATTTCAGTTGGTGACTCCGGATGTGCAAAAACACATTCATTCTGTGAAAGCAGGGATCCCGCTTCATTGCTGTGTAACGCAGCATTTAGCCAGCACGTAGTACATGCTAGAAACTCCATTAACGTGTGCTGGACAAATGAACGCTGCGTGAATTCTAAGTACAGTCCAGTTGACGTCAGACTGTCAAACCCAGTGTGTCCTGATTTCTTAGGAAGGACACTGTGCAGCGGGTGCTGAGTGCTTTCTCTGGCTTGTGCTTGTACTCGTCCCACTCTTGGGTTCATCAGAGGGTGCGGGGTGCCGGGCAGTCTGGGCAGCAGGGCGGGCAGAGGAGGTGGCCCCACGGGTGAGTGTCTCCCCGTCGGCGGTCTGACAGTTCCACTCCGCACCCACCGGACATGCGCACAGGGCCAGAGCTGGGGCGTGGGGGCACTCAGTAATTCCAGCATGTACAGTGTTGCTTATTTCAGAAGGTAAGGAGCAGGGGTTGGCCAGAGACACTGGAGTTTGATTTTATGGTACTTACAGTTTGTTCCTATAGCATGTACTCTGAAGTCACTGAAGTTTCATGAGGATTTTAATAAAATATCCAGTGTTTATAAAGAAGGAAGCATGTTCTGTATCTGATCCTCAGTGCAAGGCTTTTACTTTACACAGTGAGAGTGAGATAGGAGAAAGTTCTGTCACTGGGTCTGGTTGTCCCATTCCGGTTAGATTCTGAGTGAGCAGAACCCTCCGCACGCAGCTAAATATCCGTGCGGTCGTCTTGTTCTCGCCTGTCCTGCAGCCCCTTCCCCCTCTGGGGCTTGCTCTGTGCAGGCAGCGTGCCTGGCAGAGTTTCCACTTCTGTGGATAGTATCATTCGTGAGTATCCGTGGCCACACTGTTATGGCCTCGCGGCATTGCCGGTTATTTCACCTGAGCCCACGGCCTGCAGCGTGGTTTCTAAACACACGTCTTCACGGGCAGCGGCGGCGCTGCAGGGTGCCACTGGGTGAGGTCCCTCGGGCCGCCCTGTTCCCTGCGCTGTCACCTGCTGTTTCTGTGGTGGCCGCTGCTGGTGCTGGGTCTGGTCTTCAGTCCCAGTGTGTGGCACTCGGAAGGCAGCAGGGCGGCCACCGGCCCTGCTTCATGGAGCAGATTCTGGTGATCTTCTTGGGCGTGTCCTCGGTGTCTTGTGTGCCAACTCTCGTGTGCATTTATTCTGGCAGTTAATTGCCAGTAGTAGCTTGATTCTTTTTAAGAATATTTTATTTATTTATCTTCAGAGGGAAAGGGAAGGAGAGAGGGAGAGAAACATCAGTGTATGGTCACCTCTCGTGCGTCCCCTGCTGGGAATTGGCCTGCAACCCAGGCATGTGCCCTGACTGGGAATCGAACCTCGATCCTTTGGTTCGCAGGCCCGCACTCAATCCACTGAGCTACACCAGCCCTACACCAGGGCTTGATTCTTAAATGTTAAAAAAAAAATAGGCCCCCTGACTGGTGTAGCTCAGTGGATTGAGCGCGGGCCTGCGAACCAGACAATCGCGGTTAGATTCCCAGTCAGGGTACATGCCGGGGTTGCAGGCTGGTTCCCTGCAGGCCACTTCCCAGCAGGGGATGCATGAAAGGCAACCGTACATTGATGTTTCTCTCCCTCTCTCCTTCCCTTCCCCTCTAAAGATAAATAAATAAAATCTTAAAAAAAAAAAATAGGCCCATGGCAAATTCAGGAAAATAAGTGTTAGATAAGTGTTATGTTAGGACGGACATGATGCGTATCTGGTGACAGTCTGGGCTGCAGTTAAAATTTGACCCCACAGAAACTTGGACTTTGGTTTTTCAGATTCTACTTTGTCAGTGCAGTTGCTACGTGGCCGAAGACCAGCAGCACCAGTGGCTGGAAAAGGTGAGAGACGTGGCGTGAAGGCTGGGGTGGCGGGTCAGTGTCTTCACCCTTATACCTTCCGGGCAGATAGTGAAGTGGGGAGAGCACTTTTTTTTTCTTAAAAACACTGTAGAAATTTGTTAGAGCATATAAAGAGTAAAAGCATTTATTTAACAAACAATTAGCATTGTGCTAAAGATTGTAGGTCCTAGAGGCATAAAATGCGAGTTGAATTAATCCTTCCTGTCCACTTTATTACTTTATTTAAAAGAAGCACAAGCCACATGCATGAAACGGAACAGGGTCATGGCCAAGGGTGAGAACTGCAGAGCTGGAGCCTGCGGGGAGGGGAGGCGGGGGTTGGTGCTCAGCTGCCGCCCACCCGACTCCGCAGTACTGTCCCGCTTTCCTCGGCATTACCGTGAGTCCATCGGGGCTTCATTTGGTGGAAAATTATGCACATAGTATGTGCCGAATAAAACAGATTGGGAATAATAATTCCTAATGAAGAAATGAGGACTTTTAGAGAATAATCATTATTTTGGCAGCTATGGACGATGTTATTTTTCAGTGAAATAGCCTATTATGTGCCTCTTAGCAACATTTCAGCTTAAATCTTAGGTATGTTTTCCATAGGTATTACAGTTAACAAGAAATAAGAAATTTGTGTATTCTCATTTTAAACTAGATTGGCACACTGAGAAACATTCATTAAAAGTTATTAAATGCATTTTATTAATTGAGGGATTGTTTAAGAAGGTCTGCGAATCTTCTGATAATTATATACAAGTTTTATATTCATGTACCTATTTGTATTTCTTAGGGAGAGGGTTCACTGGATATCACAGCTATAATTTAATTTTAAATTCGTGTATGATGCTTAGTAAGAAATACTGTTGTTTTTTTTTAATTTTTGTACTATGTAACTACTTTTCCAGACTTTAAAAAATGTGCAATTACACATTTCTAAAACCACAAATTTTAATCGATGTTTTTTTCCCCGGGGACACCCGTCGGGCCCCTTTGCTGTCTGGTTCCTGTGGGCCGCACAGGCTGACACCCACCCACAGCCTGACGGTGCTCGTGTTGTGGGTTCGGACCGTGAGCCTTACCGGGCAGGTGCGAACTATTAGCCTGTGAGCAGCGTTGTGTCTTAAACGGGACGGGCACTGCCGCCAGGGCACTTGGTGGTAACTTTTTGGTGTTTATTTGCAAAGCTGTACAATGAAATGAGTCCTGCAAATCATTTATGATATACTATAAAATCTTCACTTTTTTTGTTATTTGAAATAGCCATTTCTTTCTCTTCATAAAATATTTTCAAACAAGGTGCAGTGACCTAAAGTTTGTTTTCCTTAAAAAATGGCTGCTTTCTTTGTTCACACCATCACAGATTTTTAAAAGCTGAAGCGTCCTCAGAAAGCCGGCAGATGCAAACCTAGGCCAGTGGCGTTAGAGCTCTGGGGCCCCGCCCCGCGGTCCTTGTGTCCAGGAGCCCCCCTCCTTCCCCCGCAGGCATGGGGGTTTCCAGACCTGGCAATGCCTGGGGTCACAGGGTGCCACACAAGTGTCTGTTGTGTTTTTCCCATGTACATGCACCTGTGAGGAAGTTTAACTTGGAAATCAAGAGAGTAACAGCTAATAGCGAAATAATAGCAATAGCAATGAAATCAGGCCGTGACACCTCAGCAGTTGGTCTGGTAACGCAGATGGCTTCTCGGCAACAGGTGCCACACACTTGGTGCAGCTTCCCCGGGTGACCGGTGACTCACAGTCGGGCTGGGATGGTGTGGGGTTTCATCATACTCCTCGGAATGGCGTGACTTTAAAACGTGTGATTTGTTTCTTTCTGGAATTTTTCATTTCATATTTTTAAAACATGGTTGACCATGGGTAGCCAAAACCACAGAAAGCAAAACCTCAGAGAGCTTTGAATTCTTTAAAATTTTGCTTAAAATTGACTTTTAGGAAGACTGGTTTGCAGATGGTGGCGGAAGGGGAGGGAGCGGACGTGCCAGCTGATAGGTGTTGTAGGCAACAGATGGGTCGATAACACGCTCTCAGAGACGAAAATTGGTTTCAAAGAATTGTAGTTTTATTGATCACAAAATAATAGTCCAAATATAAATTTGGTGGCCAAGCTTTACCTGCGCAGGGGCAAACTTCCTACTGTGACCGGAGTCACAGTAGCTTCTCAGAGCTACAGATGGAAGTCGCGCGTGGCTTACAGACTACGGGGTTTTTATAGGGCAGAGCAAGCAAGCACGGGCTTACAGAAGCAGATGTGGCGGTTAGCTATTAGCTAGGTTGCTAAGTTGAAAACGGCGAAGGTCCCTAATTGGTGGGTGTTGCTGCTGGCGGGCCTCTTCTGGCGGGCCTCTTCTGGCGGGCCCTGGTTAGTTACCTTATTTGGCTAGAATTTTGAACCCAACTGTTCCCGGAGGTTTATTTATTACCCAGTCTCAGGAACTGCAGATGCCTAACGGCTATCTGTATGTTTCCACTACTAATGGCCATTACAATAGGGTTCACCGTCAGGGACGTCACTCGGGGTGGCTGCCCTGACCGTCTTTGCTCCCCATTCATTTCTCGAGACCACAGCCCCCTTGGGTGGGTGGCGCTGTCCTTAGTTCACCGGCAGGAGATTGGCGCGAAGGTCACTCAGCCAGAGTCACGTGTGTCTGTCTTAAATTTCCTCTCAATTTTGTGTCAGGTTTTTGGCTCATGTCCCAAGAAGAATATGCAAGTAACTATCCTCACAAGTCGACACGTTACTGACTATAAAACTTCAGAATCTACCAGCAGCCTTCACTGTCCTTTCCTGAGAGCCCTGAAAACACAGAATTTCAAAGAGCCTGCATGCTGTTCGCTGCTGGAGCAGCCGAATATCGTGCACGACCTCCCTGCAGCAGGTGGCGCTACAGTTTGGGACATTTTCGTCAAAGCTTGTAACTGCTTTGCTGACAGCTGTTATCTGAATGTTAGAGATGTCTTCTTTCCTCTTGTCTTACTGAATTTAGTGGGGTGACATTCGTTAACACAATTATGTAGGTTTTAGAGTGAATGTTGGAGATCTTTTTAAGGTAGTTTGTCAGTGTTTGCTAGTGCACTGCTGCTGATAATCGTTACCTGTAGTCGCTGGTCCATCTGTTTGGTTTGAGTTTAAAACTCCCCAGACACAGTTATGTGGGAACAGCTCAGGGTTCTAACTGCTGCCCCTCAGAGTTGCTCTGTTTCTTTTTGGTCTTTGGTGACTCATGTGAGCCAGTGTTAGATATAAATTGCATAAAGAGTTGGGAAAGTATGTTTTAATAGAATAGGAGGTTTCAGATATTGAATCTTGGTAGTAATATTTTTTGTTTTTGTTACATCAGAATCAGATTGTCACTTTTCAGTAGTTAGTGTTACTATGTATAATTATTTGTTAATAAATAAAAGGGTTTTTCCCTTGAAATGTTAAGTTTATTGGAGTAAGTAGTTCAGTGGTTTGTGTTATGCTTCATATATTATTTACATTTAATTAACTTTATTATGGTCAGGAAAATTTTAATCCTGTAGCTCCTCAAGGTGTATGTCAGTAGTATGTTCAAGAAGTGCAAAATAAACAGTATTTGCCTATTTTGTACCCCTGAAACTAATACAAAATACTATCGAATGTCAACTGAAATTGAAAATAAAATTTAAAAAGCCAATATTTTCAAAATCAGGAGAATACCTAAGAAAATAATTGGCTTTGAAAGGAAATACGCATTAGAATCCATTTAAAATGGTAGTAAATGCTTCGATTAAAAGAGGCAATAGAGACAACTGTTTTTTAAAAGCAGCCTTCATTTCAGGTGTTTAATTTTAAATTCCACAATAGAAAACTGAAGCGTTTTTTCTTACATATTTACAGTTCTAAGTTACTGTCAAGTGTGGAAACTCCCCGCCATCCTGTACTTGTGTTACACTGACGTGATGAAATTAGACCTAATCACAATCGAAGCTTTTAAGCCTGTGCTTTCTTCCAGAAGCTTAAAAGGTTTGGTTAAGGTAAGGTTTTATTTAACTCATTAACTTAATAGCTGAGTAATTATAATGAACAAATGTAATAAGAGCCATAAATGTATGGTGTCAGTTTAAAACCTAAATAGTAGTTAGAGATTCTTTGGCCTCAAAATGAAGCTTCCTAAGCTGGCAGTTGGACTTGATCCGACCCCTCTCCTGTAGATTTCCCCTGTAATGCGAGGAGTGTTTAGTTGCTGTGATAGGTCATTTGGGGCCTTTGGAGGCGCTGGTGATTGTCCTGCCAACAGAGGGCGCTGTTATGTGGCAGCCGAGGGGGATAGGCCACTCTGGGACAGTGGCACTTGGGCTGGATTTGAAAGATGGGTGGATCCCTGTGGGTGGCTGTGTGCAGAGGGCAGCAGTGGGAGCCCAGGAGTGGGTGAGTCTGGGAGCCCCGAGAAGGGTGATGAGCGAGGCACTGGGCTGCAGAGGGAAGTCAGCGTCTGCCTGGGGGCTTTCGACGGCCAGTCCTCAGCCAGGTTTGGACGATGGGAGGACATGCTTACATGTCTGACCTGCTTGTCTGTGTGTGTTGGGAAGAAGGGCCAGCCACAGCGCCCGTGCAGCCGGCTGCCTGGGGTCGGGACTGGGGCGCACCTTGTTTCTCACTGAATTCTCAGTCTCACTGTATTAACACCTTGACTCCTTTCAGAACATTCCCCAGAGCACAGAGATACTGAAGAAGTTGGTGACGGCAGACGAGATCCAGAGTAACATTTACACGTGACTCCAGATGGCTTGTCACTTGTGTCACACGTTCAGTAGTCCTTGGGGGCAGCTGCACTGTTCCATGAGGTTCCTTTTCTTCCAGGACTATTTTGAGGGTATTAAAAACAATAAATTAATTTTAAGTTCATTGTAGTTACAGTTCCTTTTTTATGGGGGCGCTGTTCACAGCCGAAATTAGATGTTTTTCTTTATCCACTAGGTGGGAGTATTGTTCTATTTGAATGTTTTGAGGTAATACAGTTAAATTTTTCAAAAGCTGCAGGTTGTGCTAATGTGGCAGAGTGTAGTTAATTTGGTGTAGACATTCTCTGCGACACCTGCAAGTTGATGACCTGCTGGAGACCCTAGTGGGGGGGGGTTCTGACCGGGAGTTCTGCAGTTCATTTGCTTTGAGGGTGAAAATGGACGACAAGGTAACAGGTTCATGTTTCTCCTACTGAAACAAAAGGAAGGTGGTGCTCTCACTTTGATGGTACCTGCCAGTGAGCCTCCTGCCTCTCAGACCTGCCTGGGGCCCTGCAGCGTCGGGCGCGCGACTCCAGGGAAGGCCCCTTGTGGGAACGCGACTGAGTCAGGCGCTCCACTGGTTCACTGAACCGCAGACTGAAGTGCGTCGTGAAAATGAGTTTTAAAATGGTGCAGTTTATGGATGCGTTTTCTCAGTTATGGAATCACTTACATGGATCTGTATGTCTTACCCACTCACATAGTTTAGATTTTAGTAAGTTTACTGGGGTTGGTTGGAGTGGGAGGTGGGGTGGGAGACCCTGTTTGCTGGCTCTGTGGCTTCCTTCCAGTAGTGAATTGGGAGCATGGTATGAGTGTGTCCTTTTTTTCTTTCTGCAAAAGAAAAAAAAGTATGTATCCGTTTGGAAATGTGTTTGCAGACCCCGGAGGTGACGTCAGTTTGTGAAAATGAAAAGACATAAAACTCTAGATACATTGAATTTTATGGCCAAAGTATCCAGGCAGGTAAGAACAAAACAGTGACCTAGCTTGTCTGTCAGCTGTTAGTGCCTGATGCCCACACTCGACCTTGGAGGCTTAAAGCAGCCGCCATCATTTCTCATGAGTCTGTAGGTTGGAGGGGCGCCCCTGCCAGTCGCAGCCGTCTTCACTCCTGAGCCTGCAGTCACGTCTGACGTGAGCTGGCTGTGGCCTGGCACGATCTGGCTGTCCCCCCCGGGTCACTCTCGTTCGCTCGGCAGGCCTGCCCAGGCATCTCTCCTGGCTGCTGAGGAGCGGGAGAGGGAATGGAAGTGTGCAAGTGCCTTTTCAAGCCTTGTGTCAAGTGTGCTGCAGTCCCAATATGGTCACGTGTGGAGGCAGCATGGAGGGCACCACCAATGGGTTTGGATGGGGGTGGCCTGACAAATTGGGGCTGGCCATTAACACAATCAGTATGCCTGCATCTGCCCCATGACCACAATCACACTCCCCTATCCCTGCAAAATACACAGCAGTTCCAGGGCACCAGAGTCTTACCCGGTTCCATCAGACTGGAAGTGCAGGGGCTTGTAATCTAGGTTTGTCTTCTACAGAGACTGGCAGGTAAATAGACAAGTCGTGCTTGACACCCGGGTGCACAGCGGTCAGCCGGGATCAAGCCATCTGTCAGAACTGTTTCCATTTGAAAGGCAAAGGCGAGGACGCACGGTCTGCGAGATCCCACTGGGCACGAGGAGCCAGACCCGCACTCTGCTCGGGACTGAGCAGTCCTCGCTGGGGCCCAGCCTCTGTCCTCGGGCAGAGCCTCGCCTGGCTAGGCCTTTTCCATCTCGTGCCACGCCTAGTCCGTGATCTCTAATAGCAGCTAAGTAGCTTTTTTATCCATAGATAGATGAGTAGTTGCAATATATCCTTAAAAACTCTGCAGGCTTCTGCCCTGGTTGGTGCAGCTCTGTGGATTGCGCTCAGGCCTGCGAACCAAAGGATCAAGGTTCGATTCCCAGTCAGGGCACATGCCTGGGTTGCAGGCCAGTTCCCAGCAGGGGATGCACAAGAGGTGACCATACATTGATATTTCTCTCCTTCTCTCCTTCCCTTCCCCTCTAAAGATAAATAAATAAAATTAAAAAAAAAGAGAAAACTCTGTGGGCTTCCTATGTGTTGAATTATAGCCTATTCCATGTTCTAATTGTGTGGTTTTTTTTTAATTGATTTGAGAGAAACATTGTTCAGTTGCCCTCCGTGTGTGCTCTAACTGGGGATCAATCCCACAACCAAGGTATGTGCCCTGACTGGGAATCAAACCCGCAGCCTTTTGGTGTACAGGGCACCACTCCCACCAACCAAGCCACCCAGCCAGGACCACTACCACCATTTTTGAATGTGAGAAGTATCACCAGCTCCTGTCTGGGGGCCTATTTAAGAACTACCTGCTGCCACTGAACTACACTATTATGATCACAAACAGAAGTCTCTTCTCGTCATTCTCTCTGCAAATTGTATTTGACTCCAGTGAAGCCCAGGGCAGAACTGCTCTTCATTCCGCCCTCGGAAAGGGAAGGAGCAGAGGTGGAAGCCACGCTGCTTTGGTTCTTGATCAGCCGCCCCACGAAGGCGACCTGGAGTTCCCTGCTGGTCTACCTGTGCTGTCTTTGGATTCGCTGCCCCACGTCCATGAGAGACAGTGGACGGGAAAGATTTCCCAAGAGGCCAGTTCAGTGTAGGTACTTGTGTGAAGGGAATGAAAAAAGCCAGGATGTCAGCTTTGCCCACCTAGAACAAAGCCAACAGTATGAGCTAAAGAAACCCCCTCCCCCTTCATCCTCACTGCCACTGTCGCTGTTTCTAGTCCCCTTTCTCCTGAGTCCCACAGTGTGCTAGACACTGCCTGGACCAGTGTGTTTGTCACTTCATACCATTTTAAAAAACATGATGGTTTCATTTCTAGTTTTTAGTACCCCATACAGTGTACGAAGAAACTCTCATACTACAAGCATATGTAATTAACATCATTTGAGGTTTGGGATGCAAACTGGTAAAACGTGTGACATGCAGCCGAGGTATCCAACACACTAACGTCAATCGTTTGAGTTTTGGCCCCATCATCCTTGATGTAGGCCTAGGAAGAGCCTGTCTTACAAAGGACATCAGGGGACCCTGGCAAGTGCCCGCTTCCAGGCCTCACGGCTGGAACCACCCAGAGGACTGGAAACCCGGCAGCCACCGGAGGCTGCGCTCCACCTGGCGCAGAGGGAGATGGGCCGGGAGAACCAGGTGCCCGGCTGCACAGCTCTGCGCCCGAGTGGGCCTGCGGGCAGAGCAGCAGCCTGCGGCCAGGCCAGACAGACGTCGGACAAGGGCGCTGAGCTGTGGTGCCCCCAGGCTCTGCCCATGTGTCCCCATCACAGGCTTCTGTGGAGGGTGTGCTTGCTCCACCTCTGGGCCAGCTCTCCTGGCGCTCGTTCCCTTCTCTGGATTCAGAAGTCTCTGTCAGGAACCGGTTTCCTCCGGTGCCAATTTGAAAGCTGTGGGCAGGAGGCTGGGCAGAGCCAGGGCCCAGGTCCTAGATGCCAGTCCTGCCGGGAAGGAAGTTAGAGGTCGTGCAGGCATTGGCTCCGAAGCGTGTCAGGCTGCAAACCTGGGCAGGTGTTTAGTGAGGGGAAGATGCCCTGAAAAATAGCAGCACTGGCCCCAGAACTGGGCTCACGCGGCAAAGCCGTATTTGGAAGCCTGTCTTCTGGGAAGCTAGCTCCTGCCCCTGAGCCTGGGGATGCCCTGCCAGCAGCAGCCGCGTGGCAGGCCAGCTGTCCCAGGGCATGCTCCCCGCTGCCTCGATGCAGCATCCATCCAGACAGCGTGGCCCAAGAGGCCTGGGCCCACAGGCCCCTTGGCCCCGTGCTTGGTGCCAGCCGGCTCAGCCAACATAAACCCCGCCTTCAGGCCTGGTGGTCCAGGCCGGTGTCCGGGCTCACCTCAGAAGAGGTTGGGTTTCTCTCTCTGATTCCAGAAAGCTGCCAGCTTCAGGAGATGCTGGGCCTGGGCCAAGGCCCCAGAGGCCCAGTCTGTCCTGTCCACAAGGCACAGGCCCGTCACAGGGTCCCTGGGCCAGGCCCAGCTCTGGGCACCTCCAGTCCTTCTCACAACTGGACACCGAGTTCCGCACAGTGGTCGGTGGTCTTGTCCTGCGAGTGCTCTGAGCAGCGGGGGTCTCCACAGGGTCAAGTGTGGGCCTTTGATGTTTATAAGCAAACAACCTTTGTCTTGGCTGCCATGTGGTCGCCAGACTGCTGAGCCTGCCTGGCGATGACTCAGAAATTCCGCTGCATGTTCTCTGACGGCTGGAGTGCTGGGTTTAAACCACATGTTAATAACTTGGCCGCCTGCTCAATCTCTTAATATTAAAATGTGAGATTGCTCATATATTCATGTCTATACGTTATAAACCCAATATTAAACATGACCGATACCAAAATAGCTCCAAGTGTATTTATTTCAAAGGATATGGAGTGATTTACATCTGAATCCTCATGGCCGCAGGGAACTTGAAAGGCACCCAGACAAAAGGGTAAAAAAACCACGTAATTATTACTGCAAGTCCACAGAAACGTTTGCCCTTTTAAGAGCTGAAGTCCGTTCTGTTTAAAAACCTTTAAATGTTATTTATAACAGCAAAAGCATGTCTGCTTTGGGACTAATGATCTGCTTAGAGTTCTGACTGAATCTTCATCCCATTTCTCTCCCTAAAATTCTATATTTCCATCCGTGGACGTGCTGTAATTCTCCACGGTTGCAGAACGCCCAACCTCCTTTCAGTCCTGAAGCTGCCCGACGTTGCTACCCTCTGGCCCCTGGTCCCTGGCCCTTCTGGAATCCCGTGCGTGGGAACAGCGTGAAAGCTCACTCTCTGGGCTTTACTGGGCCAGCTCCTCCCCAATCCTCTGCCGCCTTTTCTCAGACGATCAGGTCTCGGGTGAGCTGAAGGCTCATTTTATCACCACCTCAGTCTTTGCACAGTCCCAGTGTCTCTGCTTCCGCCAGCCCGCTTCTCTTCCCCAGGCTCCGAAGGACGCTCCCCAGGTGAGCTTGCAACTCCTTCCTTGAGGCCTGTTGTTGCTCATCGGATAAACTCCAAATACCTGATCCCCATCCGGGCTCCTGCGTGGTCTGCCTCTCACTGAT